ACCTGCCATTCGTAGTTCTCCGGAAGGTCTGGTTTTGAGTTAACATTGAATCAGTTGGCTCTGGCAGAGATTTCACTGCTTGGAGTTGATATTCGTCCAAGGGACGTCACGACGAAGGATGACCGGTCCTTAGCAAGGATATCACTTACAGGTAACCGACATCTAGTCCAAAATACATTAACAAGGACTCAACTCTCAAGCATGCGGTGAAGATGATGGTGAACTCGATGGGAATCCGAGATTCAATATCGATCATCATTCACACTCTGGATGGAGAAATTCAATGCGAGATCCCCACTGCAGTGCAGCCATCTCCGGGTGATAGACAGATCGCTACTTATCCCAGCAACGGTAGTCTCTCGACGAAGCCGGAATTTTGGAATTTCCATCAGGGTTTCTAGTGATGCTGGTGCGATTTGCAGCAGCTTCTCCACTTGCCCTCTCGGTAGTTGTATTGGCCCCATGGTATCGTAAAGCCAAGTCTCCGACTAGCTCATTTGATAATTGAAGCATATTTTCATACAAGAGTATCCAACAAGCTGGGTTCGCATGATTGGTGCTGATCTCCATCAATACTAACAGTACCCCGCTGCATGTGAGACATCCTTAGCACGAGATGTCAGCGTCGCCGTCAATTTCAACCTTCCTTCATCTTCTCTCCATCCATCAATTGCTTTTAGAGATTTATTCACAGGCCAATTTTATCCGACCACTAGAATTATCCATGGCATCAAGGCGTGGCATCTTTCCTCTCTATGCGAACATCCATCATGGAATAATATCCCGCCAATACGGACTCCGCAGATGCCCTCAACCTATTGCATCCTTCTCGAGCCATTTTGCTGTCGCAAACAAACAGATCGGCCCTCAAAAAGGCCAGTCGCAAGGCAATCATCCACAGAATCCAGAAATCCCATCCTTCAGTTTCGACTCTCTCGGTCTGAGCAAGACTACAAAGACCGTTGTCCTCGTCATTCTCGGTGTCTTTGGTACCATTGAAAGCTGGTTCTGGGCCCAAGCAATCTGGCGCTGGTGGAAGGGCGACGATGAAGATGCAAAGTAAACCCAGTCAAATTATGTTGTGAACTGGCTGCAGTACCTGGCGTCTTGTACGATAGAGAAGTCCTGCCTTCTACACATCTCCGCTCAATAGACTACTGATTCATCCATGATAACAACTTTCATATCAAACAAATTAGCCAGTACTATGAGTCATCCCCTCTTACACCCAGATATCAACATGCTTTCGATAAACGATCTGCACCCTGATCTCAAATACGAGTCGGACATATCATCATATCTGCCAAGCCGGCCATTCCCTCCAATCAAGGGCTATGAGTCACTATCCCCAATAAACACCATACTCACATTTATAAGCAGCTGGATTTCCCATGATCAGTCTGTCAGAATAATTCTTCTTGGCCAATCCAAACGCAATGACCAAATTAACACCTCCTATCCCTACCCAAACATGGACCAAAGATGCATACTTCATCTCGACCGACTCCGCGCTGATCCCCCTCGAAACCCTCAACGACTGGTTCGCATCAGACGACATATACTGGGCAAAGTCACTGCCCCTCGATATCCTGAAACAATCAGTTGAAAACTCCATGTGCTTCGGCCTCTACTACACGCCCGACCAGCCAGACAAGGCCAGCGCAGGGCCCGAGTTCATCGGCATCGCCCGATTCATCACAGATTACACTACCTTTGTCTACATCACCGACGTCTACGTGCTGTCCAGTCACCAAGGCAAAGGTCTGGGTAGTTGGCTTGTAGAGTGCATGGGCGAGGTTATCGATGCGATGCCGTATCTGAGACGGAGTATGTTGTTTACGATGGACTGGGAGCGGTCAGTGCCGTTTTACAAGAAAATCCTGGGGATGAGCGTGCAGGAGAGTAAGAATGGAGAGGGGATGGCTATGATGATGAAGAAGGGCAATGGATATCCGAAGTATGACTATGAAAAAGGAGTTTGATTTGGGACTTTTTCGGCCAGAGTTTAAAGAGTCGGTAATCAGAAGTCGGTCGATTTTGAAGGGAATGCGATAATTACGGACGGAGCATTTAATGCGGTTTATTTAGACGGTTAAAAGAATGGGGGAATCAATCAAAAACGACAAGAAAAAAAGATGACCTACGCAGGATTCGAACCTGCAATCTCTTGATCCGTAGTCAAGCGCCTTACCATTGGGCCAGCAGGCCTTGTTGACGACTTTCTGCCGTTATTGCTAAAATAGACCAGTGTGCCTTTCCGCGTTGGATAATACTTTGCGATTATGGATGACAATGCGTTTCAGCACGAAATATTTCGGGGAACAGAATTTGACTTAGAAGATATATCATTTTAATAAAATCACCAAAGGCTTCTTCTGAGGCAGGAAGACTGAGAAGACTTTGGGATTCGTGTCACCAATATATATTCTTCGCAGCTAGGTTTGTCAACCTCCGCGATACACTGAATGTCTGATGTAGGGCGCTTTTCAATGAAGTGAAGATAGGCAAGCAATCAACCATATTTGAAAGAAGGATATACATCATGTCTGTGGAACATCAACTATCTTTCCAAATGTGTCATATAGATATGAACAGTTTTACCATTTAGATGGTGGTCGAGGATGATTCAGGAGACATGTGCGTTTGCAGAATTGAAGAATCAAAAAAGAAGTTGAGTCTAGGACGACAGTTGCGCCAGTGCGTGGATGGAGCACCACCATTAGATACAACCAACAACATTGGCGTAACAGACCTCACAGACCTCACAGGTATGACCAACCAAGGCTAGGGGTCACAGTGTTGTGCGGCTAAATACAGACACCATTCAGATAAGACGTCCAGTAGCTCTGCTCGTCTGCGCTGTGGACTCTGTCATTCTTCTTGATGCCTCGTCCTGTGTCGACATCGGCAACAACGCTCGGCTCGTGGTGAAGTACAATGATGACTGCCACATGTCCTATGCTTTGCACATACTCCCCCCTTGAAAGATGTTTCGAGTCTTCGGAATATATATGTATATATATATATATATACATATTTGGGCAGGTGCTCCTCCAATTCCATCATGCTGAGTCAGATCTACTCTCAAGTTTAATTCGAGTGTATGCCAGACGCGAAGAAAAGAACAGAGAATATAGCATGACTATAGTATTGTAGCAATGGCCAGTCGAAGCAGGCACATTTTAAACATGGTCCAAAAGTAACCGAGTATTATCTTCATTCTACTCTTGTGTGCATACTATGGTCATCATTTTTGACGCCTGAGCTTACTATAATTACAAAAACAATACTAAATAGTAATGTGTCAGTGATGTGGAGGTTCCATAGGCCAATGTGACCACTACAAGTCCTCCGCATTACCCTTACATATTAGCATCGTTTGACAACAGAAGGCATGATCTTTAGCAGCTTCTCTTGATTCTAGCAAATTATGTTGTATCTTACCAGACGTAACCGTTGACTGTCTGTGTTGACTGCCCCGACCATTATATCTGCATAAATGCGACAGCACGACCCTCCGTGCATCACATGTATTATGAATAACCCCCTTGCAGTTGATGTAGCATTAATAATGTATCTCAAATTATGTTACGCTTTACGGGTTGGGATATCATGAGATCGATCGTCGAGCAAATGAAGGCAAGGCAAAGAATCCAGGTAGGTAGCACCTACGCAAAGGGCAAAAAAAAAAAAAAAAAGAAGCAATAGACTTTTGATGTAGCGATCCGATCCAATAGTATAGAGGTCTTGAGCAGTACTCATCCTAGGAACTCCACTTGCCGTCATCAAAGCTCTCTTACAAGAGAGCAAGCCTTGTGTAGGGTAGAGTGTGAAGAGAAATATCTATAGAGGTTATCCTGTGATTGGTTGTACCTTAGGCATGGGCCGCGTCAAGCTATCTGATAGGTTAATGTAAGAAGTGATTGAAGAGCAGAAGTTCAACGATCTTCATATTCAATTTGAAGATCATTCAACTAAAGGTCCTGTTTGAACGTGTACATGTAGAAATATTGTCTGCCAGACTGGGCCCGGGTCAGGTCTCAGAGACGCTGTCTACAATGGCTTCTATAGATCACTGCTTGACTCAGAACAGGAGTAATATCTAAGATAATGAGTCGACCAAGGATGCACTTCTAGCGCTTACTCTGCAGGCACCACATCATTCAAACCCTGAATTGAAGAGTATCCTTCCATTTCTGTATCCGTGATCTGCAAAGGAAAATCCCTTACACATTGACACGTTTACTAGGTGAGGAGTCAAGACGAAATATAAAAGCCATGATTTGCTAGCAGTAGAGGCTACTGGCATACTGCAAATTCTCTCTGGTCTCAAATGATGTACTCGATAGTCTACCTCCTTCTATTCTCAGTCTGGCTGCTACTTAGATCTGCATCCCAACTTTTGGGCGACAAAGTTCTTGAACTTTGATCTCCAAGAATCAAGGTGACATCCATTTCAAATATTTCCCAGGCCTGGACTTGGCCAGACGCTCATCCCGACCCGAAACAGGTCCGGTTTTCACCAAATCGAAAGAAGTCTTGGGGAAGGGAAACCGAAGCCAAGGCAGTTAGTTCCCTAGGCTACGGACCGAATCCACACCACAGCGGGTTCGGTGTGGCCCGTGTGGCTTTTTCTTCCCGGTATACAACGGTCAGGGTGACCAATCAGCTTGGATCACTGGGCACATGGAAACATGTTTGGCACCCCGTTCAGGAGTACTCGTAAAATTTCACGCTCCAAATCATCATATCCTAGGTAGATTAGTTTGCAGATCGATGTTTCAGAGGGTGGATCACTGTGGATCATATCGGGGGAAGGGAAGATGGGAAATCGTGCCGAATCGTCCAAAATAGGCAGGCAGTAAGTAGAATATACCAACGGAAACCTTCATATGAGAGATTGTGTTCTCTCCCGACTCTTGATTTTGATAAACTGGGAAGATTACCGTGTCATTAGCCAACGAGCACAACGCATCTTCTCAAAGAAGCAGAAATGGAATATGGTCATCCTTGTCTCCTTGGCGGGCTCCTTATCGCCTCTCTCATCGAACATCTATCTCCCCGCTATTGAGACCATATCCGCTGATCTGGGTGTGAACGCATCCCTTGTGGGGCTGACAATCACCATCTACATGGTTGTACAGGGGATTGGCCCCTTCATCTTCAGCACGCTCTCAGACACCTGCGGCCGCCGCCTCACGTTCACCATATGCCTCGTTATTTACATAGCTGCCAACCTGGCTCTCGCTTTTACGCCCAGTTATCCAATGCTAATGGTTCTGCGAGGCCTACAAGCTGCAGGATCTGCAGCCACCATTAGCATCAGCACTGGTGTCATCGTGGACATCACATCATCAAAGGAACGTGGTGGCTTCATGGAGGCGAATGCCGGTATGCGGTAGGTGCAGCGGATACATACCACATGCCACAAAAAGTAGTTCATATTACTGACTCCAACAGTATGACGGGCCAGGCGTTTGGTCCTGTCATCGGAGGTGCTCTGAACAGCGTATGGGGGTTCAGAAGCATTTCTTGGCTGCTGTCTGCCTTGAGCGTGGAGTGACAGCTTGGCCTTTGTTTCCTACCGAATGGCTTTGGCTGCATCTGCGGCTCGCTCAGCTCAGGCTGGCTCCTTGACCAAAGCTTCAGACGTGCCCAGGAGCGGTACAGATAGGAGCACAGCATTCCCTGCGACGAAAGAATCGCCAGCAGGCGCGACTTCCATCTTGTGCGAGTCCGTCTACATTACATGCCCCTTTTCAGCATCGCACTCGTCATCTCGCTCGCGCTGTGCGGACCCAGCTTCGAATTCAACGACTTACGGCGCCAGTTCGGTCCGAACCTCTCCGCGCCGCTCATTTTCCAGTTCTTGATCGCATTCGCGGCAATGGCTCTCTTCAGTATCAACCCGACGTTGCTGATCGACTGCTTTCCTGAGCGCCCTGCCAGCGCGACAGCCCTCAACAACCTGTGTCGTTGTCTGCTGGGCACGGCGGGTGTCAGCGTCATCCAGCCACTAATTGATGAGGTAAGGCTGATGAAAGCTTTCTTCATTGTAACTGGCGTAGTGCTTCTTTTCCAACCGCTCATTTGGGTCGAATGGAAAATGGGGGAGAGGTGGAGGCGAGAGCGAAAGGACAAGTTGGCTGCTGACAGACAAATTGTCTCGAAGCTAATGTGTAATGAAATCTATTGAGGAACAAATTAAACTGATAGAGCCCTTGACGCAAAACACGGCCTCAAGGACCAGTGGATTGGTGAGGGTGAGACTGAATAATCTGCGTGCCGAAGAGATGCCTGTGTTCACTAATCAGAAATTGAGCCGACTCGTGGTTCAAACCCGAAACAAGGATACAGCAACGGAGCAAATAATCCTCCCGATTGCATATACGATGGATGCGAGTAGATTCATTCCACTGGTCTAATAATAATAACGTGCTCAAGAGGCAAGAGCAACGACGTTTGATGGTCGTCCGCCGTCGCCGCTCTGCTACTTCAGCATTTCTGATATGTACAAGAGAGGTCGATGCTGAACTTGGTTGACTATGTAAAGTACTGCATGATTGTAAAAAGAACAGACAGACGTTACTTGGAAGCTGATGTAATGGAACGCTGTCCAGCTTGATCGAAGCGGCGACACATCGTTTGAAGGTAGTTGAGCGTACTTCCAGGTCGAAAGGCGAATCTGCAAAGCCAGCATATGGCTGAAAATAGAGAAGAGCGTGGGTTGCAGTAGATCTCAGCCTGTACCCGTTATAATCGTTATCAGTCGGTGAGATTTCTGTTCTCGTGGTAGACCTGTGTCGCCATCTCTTGATGTTCTTAAATATCAATATCTAGCGGTATGGTTGCTTACAGCGAGGGAAGCGGCTCTATGGTACTGGGCCTATTTCTAATGCCATTGACGAGTAGGTGTGAAGGACTGAAAAAGAAGCCACAGGATATAGACAGAGTACCCCCAATGTAAACATATTTCTAATAGAATCGACAAGTGTATCAGACAATTCATTGACCCTTCGCCGCATGATCATCTACAGTTTTGCCATTACATAATTCGAGCGAATCAAGTGATTGATTTTCAAGAAACAGCAGAGAAAGAAAGTCAAACAGATCCCGGTATATACATGTTGTCAATATAAAGGCAGGTGACTAAGAAGAGCGGCACTTATTCGAATTCCACGACAAGCTTGGTGCCTCGAGCTTCTCCCTTTCGGAGCTTGTTCAAGCCCTCGAAAATCTCCATGAATCCACCTTGTGTAGTTGTGATAGGTGACGGTTTCACAACATCATGGCACAGTTTTGGTAAACCAGCATAAAACTGTCGAAGAGCCTGGCGATCAGACGGGGCAACCGGAAACGAAGGGCCTAGTGGCGCCAACATGCTAAACTGCCGACCGAAGACAGTGAAGACCATTAGAGATTTATACTCGATGTCTGGTTTATTCGGCTTCCCTCGGTCAAGTAACGTTATCACTTTGCCCGTTTTCATCACACTGGCGCAAAATGCGGTGGAACCTCCCTGTGAGAAACAGTCCAAAGCTCTTGTAATATTTGGATATGTTTTAGCTATTTCTGCGGCTGCTGTTGGAGACCGGTAATCATAGACAGCATCTGCACCATATCGCTTCACGAGATCAAAGGAACGTGGCGATGCTGTTACAACGACCTTTAGACCCGCCCTCTTGGCTAGCTGGATCGCGAAGAGACCGACATTCGAACCGCCCGAATAAATGAGGAACGGCGAGTGATCCGTGTGGAGGTCGCGCCCCTTCTCGATATCTGCCCAGGGAATGCCAAGATATGCGAGTGCAAGCATCGCTGTAGCTGCTGGAACTCCGTAGGTAGCTGCTTCAGCGTAGCTCATTGTCTCAGGCACTTTCCAAGCGAGATCTCCGTCGACTTTGAGGTACTCAGCAAATGAGCCAACATCAGGGTACAGTCCGCCATGAACAAAGCCAGCTATTCTGTCCCCGACTTTCCAACGTTGCGCTGAATTCTTCCCAACCTTGGTCACCTGGCCCGCATAGTCGCAGCCAGCCACACTATTCCGTGGAGAAAAGAAATCGATGTCCTTGAAGTCTATTGGATTTAGCGCCACCGCACATACTTTGACCAGGACCTCGTTGTCTGTGATTTCTGGGATCGAGATATCTGCAACCTGTGCGCCATTCCCAAGTGAACTACCAAGAGCAAAGCTAAGTAACCGCTTGGGCAGGAACCGGTTTGTGACTATCGCTTTCATTATTGTTGGATAAGTATAGACGTGATTGTGTGTGGATAGGACTGATTAGCTTCGCAGGGAGTAGAGAGTATTGGGGAGATTGGAAGTTATCCAGAACGGTAATTTCTCGAGATCGAGTAAATTTGTATATAGCACGTCATGGTCCGAGTATGATGGTGATATTGCTGATGAGGCAAGGTTAACCTCATTCCAACCCGGATGGATGTAAGGCCGACGGGGTAAAAGTGAACCGACTCAGTATACAGGCCAGATTGGGTTTGTAGGGACAACGAGAAAATGGGACAGACACACACCTCTCGCAAGTGGCGGAGAATGCGGGGTGATCAGTAATCACGTTTGGGTCGAGAATACCTCAGCCTGGCTTCACGTTTACTACTATTTCCGACTGTATGCTTGTCTCTTCTGGTGATATGTCTGTGTTTAGTATTATGGACAGGAATTTGACCATATATCGAGTGTATTGTTGGTTATTTTAAGGTTATTTAGGATTATTATAATCTTTTGCGGAGTAAGGCTCCAGCATGTGGCCCCTGTACTTTACAAAACCAAATGACCGACTAGTCATATTAAAACATGAAACTGGAAAGGGGAAAGACGGAGACACGGTGATTTCACGACAAGTAAGCATACATGGGTGGTTAGTATGAAATGTTCAACTTTCAGCGATCCTGTTCCACCTTCTCTGCGGTGCGGATCTTGTTCGTTATAGCTGGCAAGTTAATGAAACGAGGAAGTAACAAGTCCTGCGTCAAGTCAGTAAAGTGGAACCTTTGCTTTTGGATAAGGGAATGATCCTACCCAAATGGTTGACCAACCGAAAGTCGAAGCCAACCAGGTCAGAAGAGCTCCTCCTCCAATCCAGAGATGCTTTTTGGGACTAGATCTTGTTGCGTTGTTGACAACAGCCTCAGCATAGGAGTCGACATCCATGGCATTTTTCTCCGCCTCGCGTCCAGCCAATGCTGGCTCAATTACATCCTTAGCAGGATAGTACAGGGAACTTTCTGGTAGGACTGGGTTGTTTGGAAGATTATCGAAGAACTTCGTTCTGACTACACCGGTATTGACGAGGATCGCTCTAACTCCCCAAGGAGAGAGCTCAATGCGCATTTGGTCGGTGATGAGAGCAACTGCGGCTTTACTTGCGTTGTAGTATCCTTGCCATGGGAGCGGCATTTTGCCAAGCACGGACCCGATGTTGATAATTGTCTCTTGCGATGCAATGAGAAGAGGTGCAAATGCTTGAGTTACCGTAACGACACCGAAGACGTTCACATCAAACATTTTCTTTGCTACTGACACGTCCGAATCCAACAAGGGGATAGCGTATCCTGTCGAATAGTCAGCTTGTCGAGGGGAAATAATTGAATGCTCGAGCACTTGAGACGTACCTGACCCCGAGTTATTGACCAGGAAATCCAAAGTTCCCCCAGTTGCGGCCTTGACAGTCTCCACTGCTTCTCTAATCGACTCTTCATCGGCGACGTCCAGTCTTATGATGTCAAGACCCATATCCTTAAGATGTTGGACCTTTGCAAGATTGCGAGCACTTGCAAAAACTCGCATGCCTTTTTTGTGGAATGTTTTAGCTAGAGCATCACCTATTCCGCCTTCGCTGCAACCTGTGATGAAGACCGTCTTCTGAGCCATAGTGCAGTTGATGTTGTAGATAGCCACTTGGAAGCTAGAAAAGTATTATCACTCTAGCCCAACAACTGTATAATAATATCTGAGTGAGCGATTTATATACAACTACTTGAAGGGTGGGCGGTAGGGAACCTTCTACCTACATAGGGGCCCTCGCCACAGTCTTCGAGGTGTTTGATAGATCATTAGTCATTTTGATAAGCTTCTGAAAGTCCTACATATTATTAGGCCTTCCCCAGCTTGACCAAATGAATATCACGTCATCAGTGCTGGACCCAAACAATGGATCTTGGTTTGTGGCTCGGGATGATTACAAAACATTCCGTGTTAACCTATCCGAAAACCCAAATCCCGCTTGGCACCATAATAAGAATAGTAATATCTCAGTAGAAGATTATGAGAAGTAGTGCCGAGCACAGTGAAAGTCCAATACGTAGCAAATAATTCTCTGTCATTCCCCTTGTGTGCCCACCGGACTCGAATCATACAGGTTACGGGAGAATATATGAACCCTGTGCTGCAGACAAGCAAATGACAGACTAGAATTGTTGGCCGCGCCAGTGGAAGAGATTTGCTTGTCAATCCAGTCCCGACAGTAGTATCATATTACGATGTCCAGCAAAGTGTTACTGGCATATCATGTTAGGGAAACGGATTTCACCTATCATTTTGCACTTGGCTTTGTTTTCTGCAATGAAACAATTCCTTAATCTATAGATCAGGTTAGCTTAGTTGTTATACTAGTTGGGAAGCTTATCAAAAGCAGCCAACAACTTTGTTACTGCTTTTCCTATAAGTGTGCCAGGTACCATTTCATCTTTTACTGTGACTGTATTAGACAACTTTATGCCATTTGATATGCAATGATACAGCAGCGCAGCTGGTCACGCGACCCTTTTGCCTCGAAGATGTATCGCCTGCTGACCTAAAGTGCCAGAATGGAAGCTTCCTGATGTTGTGGACTGTCTGGAAGCTTGTAAGGAATAGCAGCCTTTCCACCATAGCGTTTCGAAGTCACCGAATACATGACATTACCAGCCGCGCATTCGATCACCGCTCGAGCATACCTGAACTGCGTCTTGTCCAATGATCTCAGGGTGCGTAATTTGCGTAGTTCTTCATGTAGCTGGAGTTCAATGTCCTGAATAAGGCAATACGCGATGTCTTTTGCTGCTTTGGATTCGACTGACAGGAGGAGCTTCAGGTAATGTACTGTGTTGATAATAGTGGCATTCTTCGATTGTAAATCATTCTCCTCTTTCTCGAACGAATAAAGGTCGTTAACAAGTATTATATGGTCCCTGGCGAGTTTGACGAGCTTATCCAATGGTTCTGCCCCGGCGGACGAGAGGTTGATGCTGTTGACGAATCTGACGCACGCAAAAACGAACCTAGTAACGACAGTTATTAGTGAGGTGTCTTTCTAATTACGTCGTTTCTGCCCTTACTCTGACGCAATATCAACAGCACGGTAATCAAGAAAGTCCTTGAGCCCAGAAAATTCTTGTCTGGACTGATCCCTGGTAGAGTGAATGTAAGATATAAGACCTTTCATAACCTGCTGACCGAGAGCGTCGTCTTCACTAGTGAGTTCTCGAGCAAGACAGAATGAGAGACGATGTGTCGCAGACATAGTATTCTGACGGTCGAACCCGTCTCTGAGCCATGTTTGTGAGATCAAATCAACAAAGGTTGATCCCTAGAATCAAGTTAGCTATCTTTATTGTCCCAGGTGAGATGTCCCTACAGCATCCCTGGGATTAAATTCTACCACATCTATAAGTCTTCTCAGTTAATGCCGCAAGAGCAATATAACATCGATAAGATGAAATAGGGACTGACCATCATGTAGCCATGCAAGAAGGTAAAATTTGGTGACAATGGATATTCTCGCGGCGCTCGCTTCTGGATTCATGTAGATAGCCGCATTTACTGCGTTTGTGATCGCAGACCGCGCTCTTTGGGATAAAGCGTGTTCGGTTGACTGGTCAGAAAGTCCATCTGGCAACTTCCCTCTTTCCGAAGGGTCTAGTGCGCAAACCTCTTCCAGGAAAGATATGCAGGCGGTTCAGCATCACGCCAGTGTTTGCATTGTCGGCTGGCCGGGAAGGAACTGGGCCATGGAAGACGAAGTGAACTGGGATCAATTTCAAGCGAATGTTCGAAGTCAGAAGCAGTAGGGCTGTCTGATCTCAGAGTGTTGAAGTCTTCCAGAGCCCTTGGGCCAAGAACAAGGCTTGGATTATAGGTATAAATGATGGGCTTAAGCAATGCAGTTTCTGTTTCTCTGTGCAATGCCATGGTGCCATGCAAAACTGGACTATGCGTAGAGCTGTCGCTGTGATATGTTTTATGTAATGACCACTGAGAAGGGTTTAGAGTAAGAGTTTTAATTACCAAAGCACAACTAAGGGTAATAGATGGCTATAAGAAATATTGCTTCATGAGTCACCAGAGATCATATTCACATATACCCAATGTTAGTAGCCCCAGATGCAGAAGTCTTCAATGCAATGATCTATGGTTCAGGCAGCGGAGATAGCAGTTGGGTATTTCCAGTGATGTATTCACTTGTATCCCGCGGAGAATAGATGCAGATTTGTAGATGCAGCTCCTCGCAAGTTGGAGCATTCCCTGTTCATCCAAACTTATAACGGCACATTGATTGATACTGAATTACAACAGCCATGCAGAAGATGTCCACAGTATATTAATGCCATTGTGGGATACGGGAAATGCAGAGGGGGTTACAACGATCACAAAGCTACATGTAGTTAAGTTGATCGTACCATGTGGTACTATCCATTTGCAGGGGACTATATATTCACAAGGTAGGGGGCTACTACTATAAGAGGAGTTCTATGAGGTTCAGTTAATAGTAGAAGCTCCATTATCCTACTGATGAGAACTAACTTATGTCCTACAGATACTCCTTTAACGCTTACTTATGTTTTCCGTAGTTTCTAATTGTATTTGAAACACGAATTTCTCCATACTCCCCGTCACCGAAGCATAATTGGACCCTACTCTTAAACCCTAAATTGTATGTTTTGTACGCCTCATAGTAGCAGCCGCCTTCTTCACTGCAACTACTACGGAGAAATTAGCTTAAAGAAGCTTCCGGTTGATGTGGATGATATTCACGTATCGATTGGCTCTGATCTTTTATAACCTCTCCTTCCATCTGCTGAAGAGATATCGCGGACCTCAAATTCTACTAGCAGTAAGAATTGAATAATCCCATCCACATATGCTGTAATTGCTGGTACATCAACTCCATGGCTGCAAATGCTCTATGGCAAATACATACATGTTGTGAGGGTCGCCTCCGATGAACTCAGCTATATTGACTCACGCACACGGAGAGATATTACAGGAGCACCCCGTCTCATACCCATGGCATGGCAAGAGACTCAAGGCTTTTAGTTCTTTAAGCGTGAAAGCAACTGTCTGTTGTTGCTTATGAGCACTGACATGGAGCATCTTTAAATTCGATGTGCATATGCCCTCCTGTATAAGGAGAGCTCTTGTAAATCAAGAGCTGCTGCTTGTCGAGCATGCAGATCTCTTCATTTTGAAGCCCATAGGCCTGAAGACATGGTAGTCCTTATTTCTAAGATGTTTTAGTTTCTTGTCTTTGACATGGTCGGCCACCTGTAATAGGGCGGACGGCTTAGTGTGCTGATTGAAGTATGATAACTGGGGCAGAGACAGTTCCCCTACTCACTGCTCTCACTGCTCTCACTGCTCGCCTCCTTAATGGCTTGGTTTTAGCATAAAACATAATTCTAGTAGTTAACAGATCAGTTAAAGCATGCTTGAAATGGGCACAGGTTACATAGTGGACGTTCATTGTTGACTCATGCGATGGACATATTATATATGATATACCTTATGCAAGGGCTGAGGCTCAACTAGACCACTGGTGAGGTGTTGATGAGCAGAGCCCTTACACAAGCGTGAGCGCTGTTTGCAATATACTAGCTTGTTGTGCCATGCTACCCATTAAACTGCCTTTTGATCCTTAGCTGCTGACACTTCTATAGCACGGCAGCAAACATTCCACATGGCCATCTCAGTTGAATCAGTCAAAGCCATCCCCTTGCGACGGGTGCGTAAGATACTTTTTCCCTCCACGAAGACCATCAGTCACTCCAGTAATCACATTTTCATAGTAATACTGTCCGTCCATTGGGGTACCCAGCGTCTTTCCAATGCCGCCTTTTCTCGTAGGCAGGACAGTATCGCCTGCGCTGTCTCCACTGCCTACTCTCTCGCCGACGAGCCATTTTTCATCTATTGTTCCTAGGAACAGGTCAATCTCCTCCGCACGTTCCTCCGTCCTCCACAACAGTGAACTCCCACACTTTGAGCAGAATCCTCTAAGACAGTTCTCTGACGAACGGTATTCTGCGTAGGTCGGTGATGTGGATATTGCTGGACTGATCTGTTCTGGTGAGAGGGACAGGAATTGGGGAAGTAGACTAGCAGTCCACTTGCGGCACATTGTGCATTGACAGGAACCCGACTGTTTGAAAGCAGGTTTTCAGTTAGCGGAGAACCAAGTTCTCAGGACGACGCACTACCTTTGGCGGCCACTTCTGCACCCCGTCGAAGTGGATAGTGTACCGGATACTTGCACATAGACAGCCACCGGTTATCTCGGAAGGATGTTTCACGTCACTTGTCATCTTCGTAGAGCTGCTTCAACCCAGTATGAGAGAGGGACTCGAGAATCGAACAGTAGGAGATGCCTTGGTCTTTAAACTTGGAGTGTGTGGAGAGCTCGTATCAAAACAAGGCGGGGTCTGAAATGACGCAGAGAAATGACGCAGCTGCCTGCATGGGTTCAGAAAGCGTACAGCAATAGGTCGAGTGTCCCGAACACGAGCTCCGAGGCGCATCACCAGTGAGAGCACCCACCTAGGTATATTGACCGAGTTTAGTTATACGCCGGCTGTTTACTAATTGGGTGGTGACTACCAGTGAATTCTCATATTTTCTGATCCTTTGATCATGATCATGTTTGGTCTCAGAGATGTAACCCAGTTTGTGATGTTACGTCGGGCCAGCACATTGTCTACCAGAGAATATGGAAAATCAAGCCCAGGACATGGGTTTTCTCCAACCACAGTTGTAGGCCCGCAATAGGTGAGGTATCGTCGAAGGGCCGTGATAAATACAGCTAACTCAGTGCTTAGGAGAAGTTACGGATACCTATAAAACGTCATGCTACGGCATGCAAATGTCTCTTAATCCAGCTTAGGGTTACGAAGTCGATGTCTATATGGAAGTCCAAGGCAACCTCCGAAGGTTCTCTGCTTGAGCGATTCGCTTGTTTATTAAGAGCTTCTACTGACCCAGACAAGCTGTATTGGTTTTCCGTTGTAGAATTGGAGTCTCTCTACTAGCTACCATTGGTCCATGCAAGACAAAGGACTGTAAACGAGCCGAACACAAAAACGGAAAGATCGGAAGCTCAAGCTGATCGCTTTAGGGTCGTCATCCACAAGCAAGTTGCATTGTAGTACCATCTGCTGTAAGATGTGGTTCTCCAGTCGCATCCTCACGGCATATCATCATCGGTGCACTGGCTCAAACGCCAACACCCACGAAGGTGAGTATGTTCTGATATCGTCCGTATCGCACACGTAGAGGCAGTAGCTGATCATTTTCGGATCAAGGCTATCCCTTTCGTACAACCATCACAGAGTCAGGAACCATCCGTGTCACTGGCGTAGGACGTCCAACAGTTGGGCGCCAATGAGATGATGGCAATTACTACCAGCCCTACTTAGACTTCCATGCCGAGAACGCCCTCATCTACACCGTTTAAACAAATCGGCCGTCAGGAAGAAAGCGGATTATATTGCCATCAAAGCCAGGGACGATCCCCTTCCTAGTCGCGACAGCCATATCCCGAACTATAAAGTGAGGTTCCACCATGGCTGCAGCTGTGGTGTTGCTCGCTAGATTACAGGCCGCACAGGTCTTGACTAGTGTGTCTACCACTCTTAATACCACTTCGTCTTAGACTCCAGAAGGGAAGACAAGCAGGGATAGTGCGTGGTGGATGGATTCCCTCAATCACAACGGTATGATGGCATTTAATTGCAATTTGTTCAACCTACCCTGTATGGTGAAATATGGTTTCGTATGGCGCAGATTCAACTGGGGCGCTGGACAGTACCGCTCTATCAATAAAGCCATACGCACCTCCTCCTCCGTGACGGGAGCTCTTGTATACTTCCCTCCTGGAAAGTACCAGGTGAGCTCGTCGATCGTGGCAATGTACAATAGCCAGCTCGTTGGCGATACAACCGATCTGCCCACCATTCGAGCTGCCAGCAGTTTGTTGGCCTGGGTGTTATCTGGCCTGACATGTACACCGACAGTGGCGACGGTGCCGAATGGTATATCAACGAGAATAACTTCTTCCGCCAGGCCCGCAACTTTATCATCGATATCCGCTAGGCTACGGTCGAGCACCCGGCTAGTTTACACTGACAAGTGGCTCAAGCGAGCCAAATATCCTGGACGAGATCAAAATGGGCCCGCATCAAGTGGTTTCGGAGGGGTTGTGGAAACCTACTGCTTGAAAGCTGAGATTACTGGGGACTGTGGTTGGCTATTGTTGGTGGATTGGATACCCACCGCTCAATGACACGCTGCGTACTGGCCGCAGTAGTATCTCTATCTTCTCTATCTCTTCAAGACAGGTAGCCGGGGACGTCGCACTACATCTGCCTATAGCGCTTCTGCAAGGACTGATTGCATTTCATAGATATAGTTGCCACATGCTCAGGAGTGAAATGTGGAAAGGAATAAATAGGTTCAAGGAATGACGAAGAATGACAAAGAATAACAAAGACCAACAAGAACAACAAAGAACGAATGTGATCAAACAACACCAAAAACATGATGTCTGGAATGGTTCATCTGCGACCTGTGCACTCGCATCAGATGATCAGCTGCTCACTACCCTAGGCATACGGCTTGCGCTTCTCAGGATAGCTGAACTCGGGCTTAGAGTAACTCCCGTCTTCCTTATGAGTGATCGTCGCGACGGTCTGGCCTGGTTTGGCGGTGGTGAAGTCAATCGTCGAAATGGCGCCAATCTGAGTAACATCTACCGTTTCGCCAGCTTTATAGTTAATCACCTGTGCTGACATAATAGGTGACTTTCGGAGTGAGTATGTATTTTTCGGAGGGTGAGGCTCGCCAAACAGCGACTGGGACAACTTCCTCCTTTTGGTTGAGCTTGCCGAATCCGCAATAAACCGTAGCTGCATATGGACAGACAGTCAGATACTTGCAGTTGTGGGGGAGGAGGGGTTCAAGACTCATGGTATCTTTCCGGGTCGAAAGCCTTGACTTGGATACCGAACGAGTTATCCTTGTCGGTTTCCCCATATGGCGCAATGAATTGAGGTCCTTCGTTCACGATGTCCATCAAGGGAACCGTACCCTTCTTCGCGTTAGTGGTAAGCTCTACCGGCGCGAAATTGCTTGTCGCGACAACAACACCATAGTCGATCAGGTTTGGCGTCGTCCCACAAATGGCAAAGTTTGCCACCTTGACGTGGAAGTCAGCTCTGCCATTGGGAGATGGAACTCCGGGAGACCTGATCCAGACGTTGGTGTAGATCTTTCCAACGGAGCTAGACTCTCCGGGCTCTTGGTTGAAGAAAAGGTAATTTTTGGTCTTTCCCGTCTTGTTTTTGACGGTGATGAAATATTCAGCAGTAGCCATTGTGTAAAGGAAATGTTGATACCAACAGCTCTTACGGTCGATCTTATGAACAGAGGAAGTATGATTGACTTGGGAAGAGAACAGGTCTGGCTGGCAGGTCAATGGAGAGTAAAAGCGATGGTTGGAACGCCTTCTTCAGTTGGGAAACTCAAGGTCGTATTTATACCTGTTGGCAGGAACTGCTTATAGTTTATTAACTTGCGTGATTCTGAACCTCATGAGAAGATGTGCGCAGATCCTGCTATGGACACATCACCCATCACCTATCACCTATTCTAAAGGTAGGCCTGCTGCACTCATCAGGCAAACGAGTAGTGCATAAACAACTCACAGTATCACATCTCCACAAATTATAGTTCATTGGAATAGCGACAACCAATACCGCTTCTTTGACTCCAGACTTAATGACGCGGTCCTATACTCGCACCACCGGAAGCTGAAAGCACTATAGTAGGCAACTAGGTATCATTTTGAGCAGGCCATTGTTTTCTTCTACCCGCCCTCCCCATGTACATGCGTAAGAGGACTACTAAGTGGCTTCTCCGGGTTGCATAAGTGCTGAATATTGGGCATTTTCTGCTCATCGGATTTGAAATATCATGCATGTTGGTAGGAAGACCGAGCACCAGAGGCTTGGTTAGCTCTCCCAAGCCAAGTGTTTACATGTGCAGCCTGAATATGCAACTGGTTGTCACACAGTATGTAAGTTCCACTGTTGTGGCAGTCCCTGCTCAGCTATTTCAGAGTACTTTTGTATGATGTTGCAGGTATTTTGCTGCTATTCTGGCTCTGCACTTTTCAGCAGCACTTCCAGGCTGCGAGGCGATATCCTTTTGGAATATTTCGTGAATGATTTCGATGTTCGACCGTGCATCCTGCACAACCTGTGTCTCTCTCACGATGGCTTTGACCCCTGACCTAACAGCCTTGATGAGAGAGCTGGTCTCCGGCTTGAATTGAGCAGAATTTCGAACTCCGGAATCGGGGGTCTCTGTCGAGGGTTCGAGTATAGAGACACTTGTACAGCGAGCAGTTCTTTTCCTGCATATTGAAATTTCAGGCACATGCGCGATTTTGGGGTTGGCTTTGTTAGGGACAAATTTCTATAGCGTATCGCCGATGCACTTAAACAGCATACTCTTACAGTGGATGGGAGATTACATGATTCTGATCCTCACGGTTCTATTATTATGAGATGATCGAGACTGTGTGCCAATCAAGGAAACCCTTAGCAACGGCATGCGTTTCTGTGTAACAGGCAACCAAGTGCGTAAGCTATTTGCAGACATGCCTCAGGCCAGCAAGTATACCCGTATGCAGCAGGTATGCCTCGGACAGAGACATGGCGCAGGAAAGGCAGCCAAGAACTGCCATTACGCCTTCTCTTCAGCTTTTCCCCAGTGAAGATATTGCTAAGGATTTCTTAGACGCCAAGGGAGTTTGTGCAACCTCTCGCAAAAGTACCACCAGTTGTGCAAAGTGATGTACAGACCGGAGCAATGTGGCTGGCTGAAAAGTTGGAAGCCTGCAAACTTTCTGATCACTGTAGTTTGTACTGCCATCCAACTAGTTGCCTACAGTAATACGGAGTACTCAGTAGTCCAAGTTCAGCTAAGCCATGTCGACCGTAAAATCCCAGTTGAAATCCCAAGTCGAGGGCCAGACCCTATCTTAGTCCCTAGTCAAGGAATCAGAATTAACCGGAAGCGCAGTATGTTTGTGGACTTGGCAAGTCCGTGTACGGGAGTAACTTGGTTGCAGTCGCATTACGAAGATAGGAGCGGCTAGAGGGGCAAGAGACATGAGTGACTTCTCTGTGCAGTATGGTGAATTTCTGTGTTTATAGGTTGCTTCCGTCCAAATTACAGTCTTCTCCTGATACTGGGGGAGGGACCGGGGCCGTGGATAGGGTTCGATGTTACTTGGTGGGAAAGGCTCATTCATGCAATTCTGCAAAGATCAAGACTTTAGAACACGTCAACTGTCATGAAGAAACTGATCTTCTATATCTCCACACTGCCGATCAACAGTCCGTTTCTCAATTGTTGGCTGGGCAGGCTGGTGTAAAAAGTCACCTCTCTGCATTGAGAACATGGTGCAATCATTCTGTATCTGTGTTTTTCAATCAGAAAGAGGATGGCAGCTAATCTATCAAAATAACTCCCCATTTGTATAACACCTAAAAGGGTGAGCATAACTACCATGAATGTGTACAATGGTATAACCAACGCCAAGACTCCCCACAGTGTTTCAGTCTTAGTCTAAAGACTCGGGCCGCTTCGGGGTAGCCGAAAGTTTATTACATGCAATGCAGGCACATGTGTCCCTTCCCACGCTCGTGACAGATTCCGGCAGCCACTTGCGAGTTCTCAAACCCTGACATGAGGATCAGGAAATACCCTCCTTTTCAACGTGACCAGCAAGCGAGCCGATCAGCCCACCCGCAGGTTTTTGACCATGGTTCAAAAACGAAGCTATAATTCAACGCCTGAATAACTTGTATACAAATCGTCTCTATTTGTGAAGCTATATATGATATGGCCTCCAGTTTCTCTTCCTTGGCCTTGGTCTTCTGATCATGTACCGGCTGTTGCTCCTGGTTCTCCATTCTAGGGTGTCTTCTTTGAGCCTTAGGACGAATGCTACGAAACGTCTGCTACCAGAGCATGTACGATGACTTCTTAGGGAAGTGTGAAAGTAGACAGGGAAGACGTGTTTTTATGGCACTGTAGATCACCTGAGGCACCACCTACGGGTGTCAATCATAAGCTCTGACCCACTCTTAACTAGTCAGATCAGAGTAAGGAGAACTAATTACTAAATTTTAGAATACTTCGCAACTTATAAGATATCTATAGTGTATCATGCGATCTGCACTATCAGCATTGGCTACATATGGCTTCTTTATGGTCTGCAGTCCGCTGTAGCCCTTAACACCAGCCCATAAGGAGTAATGAGTATATGATGGATTTCTCCTGCGCTGTGGAGGAAGTAGATCTGGGCTGAATAGCTCTGAGAATGACTAAAACTACTAATCCTTAGATACACTAGGGGACATTATACCTCTACGTTACTGTCTCTACATACACCTCCTTTAGAGTCTCAAGTTGTCCCTTTCCTGACAATAGAATGTCTGAATAAGGCATAGGTAATCTCGAATGGCGCGCCATAGGAAGAAGTTAATGATTTTATTTGGGTCTAAGTTATATTTCACACTTTTGGCTGCTAGTAAGAGTAGCTTATGCTCCAACACATAAGGAAAACATTGCTCAAAGGGTGCTCCCAGGAGGTCCGAGTAGCCTGCTATAACTGTACTAGGAATTGCCTTTTCTGCATCACGTCCATGGAGCGATGACCATGATAGTCCTTAATCCCATTGGTGCTGCTCCAGGAGGAACTTGAATATTAGCCTATCACCATATATGGCACATATTCAAGGATCGGTTCCTCTATATGCTCCTTAAGTTAGGATGGGGATTTGAACCAGAGATTTCGTGGGTATAGTAAGTCCAAGCATCACGTTGAATGCCAACCATGGTTAGCTATACAGACCTGTGAATAAGACCAACCTGGACCGGAGTTTATTCCAGCGGTTAGCCGAGGTATCCGACTCCGGCAGCGACGATGGCCGACATGCACTGAAATGGTCGAAGAGAATCGCCTTTAACGCTATCCATCGGTCGAAAGCACAAGCCCTTAGAGGAACTGTTCTTTTCCGAGCTGAGGGCCCTAGGAGATGTGAGCGGCAATACCCCTGACTCAATCAAAGAGAGCGAGCTCCTCGAAATACTCGCCGAGTGGGAAAAGCCGGGGCGCGAGTCTCTGCTGAAGCATTTGCTCCAGCACTGGCTACCTGCCCCGTCAAATACAGATGTCAGGTACTGGTCGGCTCTTTACTGGGCCGTTCACGGATCCGCGGCCGTGGTAGTCTGGTGGCTTCTGTCAAAGGGGGGATACAGATCGGGCGATGCGATCAGAGACTGCCAAAAGGATCCTCTGGCGAAAGCAGACGCAATCGGGCAGATCATTCAAAATCTCCTGCGGAATCCACCGCCGCAGATGTACGAGATTGCGAATCCGGTTGATAACGAGCGGCCCTTCCCGCCAAGGCCGACGGACTGGGAGAATCAGCGACCTGATCTCCATGGGTTCATCATGAATGTTTACTCTCAGAATGGAAAAACCGTCGTGCCATATACGAGAGATAGTCTCCACGGCATCATTTACAGCCAAGGGCCGACTGCTCTTTCAAGGCACGTGGAAATGCTCGAACAGAGAGACTTGAATATCTTGAAGAAGAAGCTGGGAAATGTTTTGAGCGAAGACCAAAACCTTCCTAATATCTGGAATCGATCTCGAACTCCGTCTGGCGGAGTCAGAAGCACTATCACCCCTCGCCGGCTGCGGCATGACTATAGCGACTCCTCGGAGAACCTGAAACTTCGTTGGATTCATCTGCCTGTGAATGAATTGCAGTTAACCAAGGTTCGCCAGCCAGCATCGCCCGTGAGTTGATCAGTCCTAATATGGTTGACCAAAGGACCTCGTAACGAGACTGTCGCACGACTCCGGCCGATCAGAGATGGACCATAGGAACTTCATGAAGGTCTTCAACAGAAGCTGGACTAAGCTCGCGGCAGGCGCAAGGCAACATTATATGAAGCCGCTGTGTCTGGTACGCACTGCGCCCAAAACTCCTAGTCATTTTCTAATTCCCCTGAAATATCTAGCGCGCGCAAATAAATGAGTGCGGTAAAGACAGAACTTGCACTGCTGTCTACGTGCGTGGAACATACTGTCTCCCCTTGTTCCTATCACTAAACCGACAACAGATGCCGTATCTGACACTGGGTGAATACGACCCAAAGGATCCCAAGAAGAGAACTCTTTCCAGACTAAAGGAAATTGGACATGATAACTTGATCGGCAGAAGAGATTCTAGACACATCGCTCATGCCCCTCTGACTCTCGACCAATACTACTACCCTGGGATCTCTGACACGAGCTACCGAGACGACCACCAGGTGTTCTCAAAGTACCTTGAGACGCACCATGAGAAACCAGTGTCATCAACGAGCAGGTCAAAGAAGAAACAGATATTGATGGTCGACCAGCTTTGGATATGGATCATAGATGATCGTACGACTATTTGCTCCAGCAGGTATGATTGCAGCTAACTTTGATCGACTAGAGTCAGTCATTACAAGCACGTCCCAAAGACACGAGGAGCCGTCGACTGTGTCGTCACAAGATGCAAGGGATTCATCGATGAGCGCTCTGCTGCAGCATGTCCTCAATGACATCGCGTACGGCGAGAGCAGAGGTCGCTCGAAGCGGCCTACGTCAGTGAATGCAGTCATGCAGTTGGTTCTCGGGGCGGCTACTGGATTCTTTATAGAAAAGTGTATACAACTTGCAGACGGCACTTTCAAAGGACCTTTGGAGGTTTTCCGCGAGTCGATTCGTGATGTGGTTCGTCTATTACAATAAACGAAAGTTCAGCCCCGCATATCACTAACGACCGATTAAGACCAACGGAGAAACCGAGCTCTTCCAGAACTTCTTGAAAGATCTCAAGCAGGAGATTGGTAAACGCAAGGCGCGCACCGAGCGCATTTCCTCGAGGAGCGGTCGCCCGTCCATCAGAGAACTGCCCAACAACCCGCATTATATCATCTCGGAGGAGACAGAACTTCTCGACCAGATCCGCGATATCAACGACGAACTCCACATGCTGCGGTCATTGGCCGAGGATCAGGAGATCGTGTGGAATCAAGCATTTGTTGGCATGGAGACGCAGGGCCGTTTCAGTTGCACTCCTACTGAGATTGCTCGAGATCTGGATGGAATGATCCTGGAAGCAGAGATGACTCGTGACTCGGTGAGTGCCTTGCTTTAGGGATCTTTTACTGCTGTATTGCTCACCAGCCAACTTCTCTAGATCGATACGCTGCTCGACTTGCGCCAGAAACAAGCAAGCCTTGCGGAGACCGAGGCCGGTCGACTACAAGCGAACGACACAGCGCGCCAGTCGAACAACATCTACGTCTTTACTCTAGTGACCATCTTCTTCGTAGGCCCAAATTACGCTTCCAAAGCCATGCTAGAACCCAGACTAACTTCTCCCGCAAAAACAGCTCCCTCTTTCCTGGCTGACATCTCTGTTTGCGCTGAACATTACCAGCTTTCCACACAACGGGGGAACAACCCAGTACCAGCCTCAATGGCTGTTTCCTATCCTGTGTGAGGACTTCCCGCCAAATCTTAGAAAGACCTGTGCTAACATAGTACATGAAAGTCGGTGTGACGAGCGTGTTTTTCAGTATAGCCATTTTCGCCCCTTTGAGGGTTGAGGCGTTCCAGGACTGGATGTACAATCGCAACGGGGGTGGACGTGCTGATGGGGGCAAGCCACCTAGTCTGCGGCCACCATCACGGTCTAGCGGGAGTAGTAGATGGAGCTCTTATACAGGTGAGGAGGATGGGACAAGCTCATACCTTCCTAGAGAACATCACGACGAGAGGGGGCATCAACCGACAAGGAAAGGGGTCAGGGCTCGGCTGCAGAGATACTGGCGGAGACACGCGAAGAGGACTGGCTCAACAGTATAGCGTCTTCCAGCTCGGACAGTAAATTGAACATACGTGCGATTACAACCGTGAAGTCCGTCGCCGGGAATCTATTACAGTGGCATCATGGACGTGGCTTATCCTGGTAGGTCTGTGTCTAAACGCCTTTTCTAGCCCATCTCCTATGAATGGTATATTTGAAGCATAGCTACAGTGCCTTAGGTTGTGTCCTAGTCCTAAGTACATGGACATACCGCTACCGCCCCATTCCCAGGATATCATCAGGCATCCTTCTGTCGTGCATAATCGATGCGATTTATAGCTCTAGATCTCAGCGTCCAGTGAGCCTTGAACTTGATATTGAAAGATCCATTCATACGCTGATCTTTTCCTGACATATACTATCCTTCCACTTATTTGGCTCATGTTCGTATTCGCCTTTTGTTAGTGTTCTAATGGGATGATCCCGAAGGCTTGGCGGTGGAGAACTTCGCCGCCTCCGAATACGACCGCTGCCTAATGCGGAAACTCTAGGTGGCCCTAGCTGCTCAATAGGTCATTTGAGTATATTCTTCATGGATGTTGCTCCACGAAAGGATCAGTTTGTACGATTTTGTTGTGGCAATCAATCATGAGGATGGAGGTTGTGACAACGGGGCTGGGAGCCGGGCGGTCGGTACATATATATATATACCCCCATTGATCTCCCACATATGCTAATATCAAGCATCGTGAACTTTCTCAAATTTCGCTGTCATAATGCAGATCTTCTCCTTAGTTGTCTTCACAGGCCTTTTTGTAGCTTCATCAGCGCAACTTCCAACAGCCCTGAGCTCGTTCCTGTCCCATCCTATTCCGGCTGTCCCCCAGATGGTCCCCTTCTCCCTCGTCCAACTGATCTAGCGAACTCAAAGTACATACAAAGCGCAGCAACGAGCCTCTCCAACATTCTAGACTCCGCCGTAGAAGGAAAAATCAAAGCTGGTTGGGTCGTGGAGAATGTTTCCTTTTCTCTAGCACTAGTCTCACCCTATGGTGCATCAGGTGCTGAGGATAATGTGAGACCTTTTTGGGAATATCACCACCGTGCGGAGAAGAACGAACAAGGCACAGCCAACATTGATGGAAACACACAGTATCTGATCGGCTCAGTATCCAAGGTGTTTTCCGATTTGGTGCTGCTCAAGTCTGGGGTTGATTTACAGACCCCGGTTACTCATTTTCTGCCGCAGTTGCGCTCTAATAAGTCAAAGATCCGGTGGGAAAATATCACATTAGAAATGTTGGCTGGCCATCTGGCTGGTATACCTCCGAACGGTAAAGGTCCCCATCTTTCGGTTGTGTTGTAAGATATGTGCTGAGATCGGGTAGCTTTCTACGAATTTTACTTCCTCAACTCCTTCCACGAAAGCCTCGGATTACCTCATCTTAGTGATTCTGAATATCCCGGGTGCGGAGTCCTGGGCCTGAATAGCGGCTGCAGCAGAGAGCGTATGTCTTTCTAACCAGGTGTCTGACCATACCACGACGGCTGGAGCTAACATTTCCTACAGAGATGATCGAGAGCCTTCTGTCCAAAGAGCCAGTGGCACCAATAAACTCTAGGCCGATCTATTCACAGCTCTCGTTCACTCTCTTCGCGCTCTGTCTTGAAGCCCATACGGGCAAGAACTACTCGCAGATCCTAGACGAAACCATTTATAAGCCCTTGAATCTCGTCAACTCCGGCGTCTCCCCAGGAACTACGGAGCGGGCGGCTGTCCCCCCCGGTTTATCAGGCTGGGGAAGTGATTACGGATTCAACGCCCCGTAAGTATCCCCATTCCCACCCCTATTTCGAGTAGAGCTAACACTGGTATATCAGCGGCGGTGGTCTCTACTCCTCCACCAATGACCTAAGCATCTTTCTCAGCGCTATTCTCAACTATAGCATCCTTGACACCCCGGCCAACGTGCGTAAATGGCTCAAACCATTGTCCACAACCAGCTCCCTCAACACCCTGGTCGGAGGACCCTGGGAAATTCTCCGTGCAACAGACCTCCTCCCTCCCAAATATGCTCACACAGTCGATATTTACGCCAAATCTGGTGGTGCAATGGGCTATATGGCCCAAGTTGCTGCCATCGACCAATATGGGGTCGGTCTTATTGTACTTAGTGCCGGGCCCGTCGACGCAATGGATATCCTTTACCGCGCTCTCCTTGGTACATTTATTCCAGCCATTGAAGAGGAAGCACGCTTCCAGAGTCATCGATTCACAGGAACTTGGACATCGAAGACCTCGCCACCATCCAACGAACCTCAGACGCACAGTGACGAGGAAATCAAGCTGACTCTGGACATAGACGACGGAACAGGCATTAGGATAGCATCCTTCACGCGTGGCAACGCCTCAATTGTTGATGCTATTAAAAAAATATGGGACGCTGAATACCTTCCCCTCGGGGTTGGTATTCTGCCTGACACACTCCGTGTCTATCCCACGGATTTGAAGATTCCTGTTTCGGCCTCCGAAGTTGAGTCTCTCCTTGCTCAATCGAATTCACATCCACACCTTCGCCACTCCCGGAGCTATGGTGACGAAGACAAGGTGAGAGTTGAGCGCCAGGAATGGCGGATCAACCTCGATATCGTCCCGCTGAACGGCGCAGCCATGTCAGATCTTCCGGGGCAAACTACGGCCACACAGTACTGTGGTTCGTGGCAGACGGTGGACTGGATGACGTATGGCGGGATCAGTCTAGATAAGATCGTGTTTGTGGTTGATAAAGTTAGTGGGCTCGTTCTTGGTGTTGAGGTCCCTGCGCTGAGGAGTGGATTGTTGACGCGCAACTGAACCTTCATCTTATGCCATTCCTCCTCAACACTGTGGGAAAGCTCCTCGATTTTCTCTTGTTATGTTTGCCTGATTTACGTACCAACAGAGCGTGGTTTGGGCCGATCGCATCACCTCAGTCTCATATGGTGGCGTTGAGTTGACGAATGTTAGCTGGACTCCGATGCGGAATGAATCCCTGCTCTTCCACGTGGACACTGCGCTCTATCCTCAATGGCCAAAATTCGTCATGTTTGGAGTCGAGATTGTCTGGGGAGAGACGACGTACTCGCAAGCAAAGGTTAACCCTTTGACCATGGAGCCTCTGCAAGATTGTGGGGCCCCGGCAACCAACAATACATGGGCTTGCAGGGGCTATGGATCAGCATACTGCAAACTGCGGTTCTGCACTCGCACATACAACGCATCTGTTGAAGCCGGGGTTCTAGTGGAGAACGTCATCGAGGAAAGCCCATCGTCGACGAAGGAACTGGTGCCCCCGCCGCCGAAGACACTAGCAGGAGCCTCCGCGGCCACCCTCGGTCTTCTCGATCTCCATTGTATCAACGATGTGGAGCTTCGGGAACTTCGCAACATTGGCTACAATATTTCCTCCGCATCGCCCCGGTGGGCCGCATACATTGTCGACCACGACCTGTTCCAGCTTGACGGCAACAAGTACAACGATATCGGCCCCGATTCACCATTCCCTCAATCACTATTGGCCCACGGATGCCTCTACACGATGAGCCTTAGGTTCCAAACCAATTGGTTCTACGTCGCAGGCGCCCTCAGCGGAAACGTCTCAACCGGCAGGATCCAGAGCAGCCGCTCCACTATTGGCCCCAAGGTGCTGCAAAACATTGAGCCATTGTCAACCCTGTCCGGTGATGGTGGGCCGATTTTACTCTACAACAACTCCAAGGTCGACTTTGGCAGCATCTCCGCCAAGCTCTCCCATGTAGCCACGCACATGACGACAATGGTGCGTCAAACGGGAAACGTGAACCACAGCGCACCGGCCGAGGGAGTGGTATTTCACTATGCGACGTGCCTCAACGTCCGCTGGATCTGGATCATACTCCCGTCCATCGCAGCCGGCTGTGTCGTAGCGTTGCTAACCGCCGTTCCCCTGTTAACGGCCCACGGCGGGACGCCCATATGGAAGGGAAACGTCCTGGCTCTTATATTCCATGGTCCAGGCGGTGCTGGTTGGAGCGGTATGCCTGTGTCGGACGTGGACGGGGACAATGTGTTGTCCAAACTGAACAGCGGAGAGCACGAGGATCAAGGTTAAGCTTGACCAGTCTTCAGATTCGGCGCAGCCCTTGAAAGTAGGGGAGATGGAATAGATTATTACTATAACGAACACTGGCGCCATGCGTCAGGGCTAATACAGTAAGGCAAGGGCAGCATTCTATCCCTCTGATTGATGCACAGGCGTTGATGACTTAAATCTCCCTCCAACCAACTGCTTTCTCATTACGGCTGAAGGGCAATAGCCAGGGTCAAGCTGTTCTGTTATAGTTCTTAGTTTTACTATTACTGGCGTCATCTGAAGCTCTTCAATTAATGTGAAGAATCGCCAGAACCTGCCGCCCATCGCTTGAACCATGCCGTTGCGACGATTTCATCTCCTACACTGGAGCAGCACATAGTTAACTACTGGTGCAGCTTCGTATTTCCCCAGACCGGAGCCAGGCAGTGTTCAATGATCTATGGTGTCGCAGGGTATACATTGGCTTTCTGTGTAGCCACTACGAGTAACGACCGCAGAAAAAGAAAGTCTCGATACGCCGCAACACTACTGTCCGATTGATCGAGCCCCTAAATCAACAGGCAAATAATAGTCCCAATCAAATGTTGACTGCCTAATAGCGAACGAAATCCCCTCTGGACGGAATTCCGCACTTGAGCCTCCAAGTTTTGCTAAGTCGGCCAAAAGGTCTGGTATTGTCCAGCCTGCAAGTAACGCAGATTATCCGTCAAATGGACAGGCCAAACCGTCAAACAAGAAGAGTCTTTGACGGCGTTGCAAAACTGGCTTAAGCCGCAGGAATGCAGAGCCTTGTTGCGACGTGAGGGCTTTACTGGCTTCCGATGGTCTGAAGAGCATACTCAGCCAGCCCTGTGAGCCATTTTTCGTGCATGTACTTCCGGTGCATCTCTCAACAACAGCTCTAGACCTACAAAATATGCACAAATGTCATATGGAGCGAATGAGAAGGCCACTCATCATCGGCAATGATGGCACATATTTCTTATAAAAGCGGGGTTTCCACTATTTGTTTGCTTCTTTACCTCCGATACATCCAAGTCACTGCCACCCAACTGCACCATTGCAAGCCTCTTTATCCACTGCTACGTGGTTTATGTTTGGCGAGGGTATGCACTGGAACACCTGTCAGAGATGCCCCCTCCGGGGCCAAAAATGGCTGCCCTCGCGGGCAACATTTACAAGTTCATAGAAGCCCTAAAAAGGATCTATGAAAATTTTATCTCCCAACCCGGCGTCTAGTCATTAGCCACGCAATGCCTCTGTGTACAAAGTGCAGGCGTATACATTTTAGCCTGCTTCCATGGCAACCAAATGGAGATTTCTACATTCCTGCAGAGACCACAGTCAAGAGTCATGCAGAGATTGGAGTCAAGTACGCTTCCATGGATGGAGATGTCCCCGGAGGCCTACTTTATGATCTCAGATCAAGCCGCTCGAGACTTGGGACGAGGCACAGGAGATATCAAGTGCTGATTAACTCCGCCTTATCCTGTCCCTTGGTGCGCTATTCGCCGATGCATGTGGCACATTTCATAACGCCATGATGGAGAATGAGCTATGGAATGATCTATATGGCCCCGCTCCAGTTGACATCGATGACTTCCCTACCTACCTATCCAAGCGGATAACCCGTCGAATGTCTAGAAATGGTATTGTCATAGAAGGGTGCTCAATTTGGACGAAGTCTCGCGAATCTAAAATTGCCCTTTTCATTGGCTCTGTGGGACTTTACGTCGATGCTTATAAGTGCACCCACATGTTTCAATTTTATTGGGGAATTGAGTATTGATAGTGGGACAGCGGACCCTCTGGCCGGAGATTTGATGATGTTCCCATCACGAGTGGCCCCGTTGCAAGTGGCTCGACAGGCCATCTTTACTCATGTATTATTGTGGTCCATGACGCTGGGAGGTATCACCGGATTGGTGCCATGAAAGTCGATGGAAATAGCCTGGGATCAGAGGAGTGGGGAAGAGATCCTAGGAATAAGGTGACATTTAACATCTTCTGATTTTGTGTCCTAATTAGGCTACCAATGAGTGGCAACCTTCTCCATATTCGCTCACCCTGGTAAGTATGTAGACCGCCAGTAAATCCGCCCATGTGAGAATCCAACATTGATACTATTCAATTCATTTAACTACTATACGAGTCAATGCCAGTTATATTAGTACTATATAAGAATTTGATATTAATACTAGGATAATCATTCATCGCAGGGGGCATAGAGCCTTCAGATCGTGCAAGGGTAGAGGGTAGGCTGGTGGCCGCGGAGGTCCGTCCGACCTTATTCTTTTCCTGGGAAACGCCAGTGAGCGCCAATCTGAACACAATGGCGGTATTATTGAGACTCGGCTACTATCATTGTGTGGCCGTCATCCATCAAGCAAGCAGCAGATGCCAGACCTTAGGGACAGAACTTGCGGGATCGAGTCCTGATGGCATCAGCTTGAGCACAAGGATTTCTATTGCCGCGAGCCGTTCAACGCTGTTATGTATTCACTGGGTGTTACATACGGTGAACCCGGAATGCTTTTGGTGCGGGTGCCGACGCAGAGTATTCAGCTGACGCCTGATCATAACTAACGGTTGCCTCTCAAGCCAGGGTCGTCCTCTTTACGCCATCACCCAAACATTAACTCTCTTCTGCAATATCATCTCAAACCCTCGCAATTTGGACACCAATCATGACATGGAATTGTTGCAGAATGCTCCCAGTTCCTACGCAGTATCACCATCCGGAAGTTGACCCTCGGCGAGGTCATCCACCTGCAATATCTCGCCGGCTTTACCGCGGAGCGCGCGTGCATTCGTGTACGTGCCGTATCCAAGTAACAAGTGGGACGCCACCGGCACGGATCCCTAATCGAGGAACCAATTACGCAGCGACTTTATTTCATTCCCCATCGTGTTCCGATATACCAGTATTGAAAGCTCAACTGAAGTTCTGGCGAGTGAAGAAAGGGGAATATCATCTGCCACACTCCTGCACTTTCTGCCAATATAGACCATGGGTGTCATGTGGCGGACTACTGCAACCTCTTACCTTAGTAGGACAACCTATATCCATGGCGAAAGACCCCCAAATGGATATGGCTTTTCGCACACCGGGAGAAATTTGAAACGACTGGCGGGCAGGAGAAAGAACACCCCATGTTGTGTACCATTGGCTGTTGGCCAGCCATCGCGACAGCTAAACCAGGTCAGCTTCGCAGGAATCCCATCACAAGCCCCAATGGTGCAATGTAGAGGCGTGATGGCGAAGCATTATCAAATGGCGGCTGACGGGCCAAGACTCCCGCTCAAGCCACAGCCCTTTATCACGCATTGCACCAGCAAGTCTGGCCTTCCGCCATGGCTTTTCTCTACTTGGCGGCGCCTGCCAAGCCTCCCGCCCTAACATTCTTTTGGGCTTTCCAAGCGGTAGATAGGGCTAGCACAGTAAGCACGCAATTGCCTTGATGTCTGGGCACGGGATACCACCATCATGTTGTCTCAATGCCCTCTTGAGCAGGTCATAAATACCTTCTGCGAAACCGAGCTTGAGCTATCAAAGGACCAGCAGCCGATACAACGAGAGCTTTTGTCCCCTAGCATACATCCATTGTCAGGCAGCATGGCCGACCTCAAGACGACCCCCAGTCCTGAGATTCAGGATGGCTATGAAGACGAAATCACACTGAACCGAGAGGTGGACTGGACGAAGGAGGAGGAGATCAAGGCCAAGCGCAAGTCAGTACACCCTATGTCCCCTTGTGCGATGAGGCCAGTATTAATCGTGTCTGCTGTTCAGGCTCGATCTTATGATCATGCCCATCCTGACTCTCGGGTTCTTTTGCCTTCGTAAGGCCTTCATCGTCTATTAGCCGTTATGGTACTAACTGTCGACAGAACTCGACCGCGGTAACATGGCCAATGCCATCACCGACAACTTCATGAAAGATGTCGGCATCAATCAGGATCAGTTCAACGTCGGTCAGCAGATGCTGTCGCTCGGTATCGTGCTGACCGAGATCCCTTCCAATATGATCCTTTACCGCGTCGGACCGGGCAAGTGGCTCACCCTCCAGCTCTTCCTCTTCGGTATAGTCAGCACCTTCCAGGCGTTCCAGCACGGTTACGGCGCTTTCATCGCCACCCGTTTCCTCCTGGGGATCACCGAGTCCGGGTTTATCCCGGGTGGTCTGTGGACCCTTTCAACCTGGTACACACGCCGCGAGACTGCGAAGCGTGTCATGATCTTCTACTTCGGTAACCAACTCGGCCAGGCATCGGCAAAGCTCCTCGCGTACGGTATCCTGCACATGCGTGGTGTTGGCGACCGTCCAGGCTGGTTCTGGCTCTTCGCTTTGATGGGTGCCTTTACTGTCTTTTGCGGATTCATCTATGGGCTTTTCCTGCTTGACTCCTTCCGTAACCCGCACAGTACCTTCCTTCCGGGGGTGCACTGGTTCACAGAGCGGGAGCTTCACATTCTGCAAAGCCGTGTCCTGCTCGACGACCCAATGAAGAGCAAGAAGAAGAGGAAGATCCCATTGCTTGCGTTCAAGAGAGCGGTACGATATCCTGTCTCGAAGTTATTCCCCATCCTTGCTAACGAGGTGCGCTCTTTAGTTCCTGGACTGGCGTATCTGGGTTCACTTCTTGATTACCCTGTGCAACAACGGTCCTCAGCGCGCCTTTGACACATACGCTCCGTCGATCGTCACCAGCTTCGGTTTCGGCCCTCTTTCCAGCAACGCCCTCGCAGCCGTTGGTCTGTTCCTGCAGGTCCCGGTGTCGTTTGCCTTTAGCTGGGTGTCGGATCACTAGTATGTTCAAGCTCCCCTCATCATAACCGTAGTGCTAACGTTCCGTCTGACAGCAACCGCCGCGGCGAAACAGTCATGCTTGGCTTCTTCTGTCATCTGCTGGGTTACATTTTCAACCGCACCTTCACCAACGTCAACCTCCGTGGAGTTCGCTACTTTGGTGTCATCTGGACACAAACTTTTGGAACCTTCTCGCACCCGCTAAATATCGCATGGCTATCGCTCACATGCAACGATTCTGAGCAGAGAGCGCTCGCTATGGCTGGGTAAGAACACTCCCTCCTCCGTCCAAAGATAGAACCTCGCTAACGAAAGCACAGTGTCATCATGAACGCCAATATTGCTGGTATCTATGGAGCGCAGATCTTCCGTGCAGACGACAAGCCGCTCTACCGACGTGGTTTCAGCGTCGCTTGCAGCATTCTGGCGGTCGGTCTTGTTCTGGCCATTGCGCGATTCGTCGATACAGTAATTCATCGCCGTCGCAAGGCACGGCAGGTTGAGGGTGGTGATGAGGGCTCAACCGACAAAGGCAATACAAGAGTTGCTTGAGCCTGAGGTGAGGGCGTTTAACAGTTTCTCAACTCTCAGAGTTAGCCAAGCAAAGCTCAGCGATGGTTTTGCAGGAAGGTCTAGATAGTTTCAAGAGTGCTAGTCGAAGATAATAGTTCACATTCGACACTGTTCGGGAATTTCTCTTGTGTAACTCATCAGCGTGACAGGCACTTCGCAATGGTAGTTCACGTCTGACATTGATAGGTGTCGCTGGCAGAGAAATCTGGCAGAGAAATCAGATGATGAGTCCGAGAACTTCGTGATTGAACTCCGCCAACCCAAGTCTCTGCTGTTTCTGCGCATTGCTTGTGTTCTGGAAGCCATTGCCCTCATTCTACTGACAGCTGGATTCGTTATTGCTCTTCAAAAAGGGCACTCAGAGTCAGATTCAGGTATTCAATGCGCCCGACAAGTATCAGCATATTGTAAGTCCTTTCGCCTGACGTCTTGTAAGCCAAGAATATTGGACAAGACAACAGAGCTAATGAACACAGCCCCTCTTCTTGAAGAGCCTGACTTGGTCAAGTATTCCGAGTACGATCTTCCGCTGTACTTCAACGAGAAAACAGACTACCGTGGCCCGCCAACCCCAGAGAGGGAGATATTGTGGGAGAAACTTTGGCACCGTGCGTGGTCTGAGCATGAATAACTTTTTGGGTGAAACTAAAAAGCTCATTGCATTCGAATACCGGAGCAGAGGGTGCATTTGAGGTTCCTGAGGACAAGTTGGGTATCATGAACAAATCACATTCAGGCAAGACATACAAACATTTATGTGTAAGTATGCAATCGGTGATCGTATACCATGACAACTAATACATTCTAGGTACGTCTGATGTGACGCCGATCCTTATAGAATTAGCTCCAAAAGTAAGCATCAAGTCCTTCAGCAATTTATCGCCTTCCATTTCTAAATTCCAGAGCAGGCGCCGTTCGGAGAGCGTGCGGATTTCCGGTCAAACCATAAATGCTGCAATTTCTGGGAGATCCGTCAATGGGTCATTGGCCATACTGCTATTCTTTGATCTTCAGTCTGATTCAGATCTCATGTATACGACTTTGTTTGGTTACAACTAAGAGGTACGTATGAGAGGTTCTTGGCTTTGGAAGAATCAAGCGCCATTCTAAACGACTACCACCATTGGGATTGACATCCGTTCAATTGACAGCGAATCTACAAGCACATTATCTCGATAGGGGCTTCTAGACTAAATATATGAAACTGTAAAACCATAGCTCCGGCTAGTAGGATAATTGTATCATACGATGTGCAGACTTATCTTAGTGAGTGATAGCGATTTCAAAGCAAATATGTACCGAGGGGGACAAGTAGTTCAATTTAATTGTAGCAAGTATCCAGTGGACTGCATAGCCATTCCGTTCTCATACAATGCATCTATCACGCAATCACAATCGACCAAACAAAGCATGAGACGCTGTTGATCCTCCCATTTCTGCTAAGCAATATTACATCGCTTTTCCCTTATATGTATCTGAGTATCTCAATGCACCTCCTCCACCAGCGACCAAGTCTCCATATTCTTACCTAACCTTTTGGTGAATGGTTAGGTTAACTAAGCCCCCTTATTACATCAAGAATGGCTACGTTTTATGCCGCGGAAACACCCGAACGGGTGAAGAAAGCCCAAGTAAGTATCTTAAGATCAGATACAGACCTTCTCCCATAGCAACGAATCAATCTTGCCCCTCCTCTACCATGGACCCCGCGAAAACGGGCTATAGCTAACTCTCACAAAGGGCCTACACCTTATAACTTCTCTTACCCCAAACGGAAGAAAGGTCCACATTCTACTCGAAGAACTCAAGGACGCCTACGGCCTTGAATGGACGACAAGTCTGATTGACCTCGACAAAAACGAACAGAAAAAAGACTGGTTTCTCAGACTAAATCCTGATGGTGCCTCTATTCTTTTTCATATACGTACATCTCATTATCCAGAATCAAGACTCATAAGAAAATAATCCAGGGCGCATCCCAATCTTAGTCGACAACAATACATGTCCACCACACGTAGTCATGGAATCATCCGCTGAAGTTTTGTACCTCGTCAATTTGGCAGACAAAAACAATATTTTCTGGTTTTCTGATCCGATTGATCAAAGTGAGGCATTTCAATGGCTTATATTCTGGCATGCTTCGGGGCAACCCAATCAAGCGCAATATAATTTTTTTCGGAATAATGCGGACCAAAGCCCTCGTGAGTGTTGCCTTGGAGCTTCTGTATGTGTTTACTGAGAAAATCTAGACGCAGTAGACCGCTTCAAGCGAGAAGTGCTGCGGGTTTACGATGTACTTGAAATCCGTCTTTCAGGGAGATATGGTGGTGGCACACGGGAATATTTAGCTGGGCAGGGTAAGGGCAAATACAGCATTGCTGATATCAATGCCTGGGCTTGGCTACGAAATATTCGACGCATTGGATTCTCGGAGAATAAGTTGGCTCAGTTACCTCATTTACAACAGTGGGTGGATCGCATTGCGGCTCGACCAGCTGTGGAGCGAGGTTTGGGGGAGTGGTATGATGAGGATGTGCATCCAGAGTTGCTGCTTGAGACTGCGTGACTGCCCTGCTGCGTTATGCGTTAATTCTAGGCCATGCTGCAGGGTACTTTGGTAGTCTGTTTCTGAAGCCTATGGTCGCAGTTTTTAGGAGTTTGCTGTCAAGATCTGCTCTCCCCCGGGCGAATGTATAAAGACATCCCAAGTGAGCTATGGTGTGGTCAATCTGGCTAGGAAACAAGTATGTAGAGAAGTAGTACTTCATGCCTCTCTATCTCTAGGCTAGCTAGACATTGCTCCAACAGTTGTTGACCCCCATATACAATAATACACCGCCAATATAATCTAACTTACTGAGCAGGTGGTATGGGATTTTATCCGCCCAATGCTTCCCTACTACTATCTTAGCCTATTGCTAAGCAAGGTTGATCTTCTCCCTAATGCTAGTCAAATTCTCTGCACTCTTTTCCAGAATCTTATGAACCTGCCCTTCGAGTGACTTTAACTCCCACACATTTCCCGTTGTGATCTCCCCGACAGCCTTCGAAGTAAGATCCTGAGCTTGTTGAGCAGACCAAACACTCCTAAGTTAAAGCGCGGAGGGATCTTCAAGCAGATAGACTACTGGAATTGGCGGCTACTATCTTGGTGTTCAAAGTTCTTGAGGGATAGGAAAGTGTTGGCAACGACGTCATATCACTACGGATCATCGCACGAATGTGGAAGCTCTGTTCCCTCCAGCAGCGTCAAAGTCAGCTACGTTTGAGTGTCAAAACTTCAGGGCAACTGAGACATCATTTCAACAAGCCGCGACAAGGCAGAGATTCCATGAGGGAAGCGCACAGAGCGAGTGATGGGGAAGGCAAGTCTTCCTGTATTAACTGTTTCTCCTGGAATTTACGGGCTTTTGAGACGACGGATGAGTCTTTCTCATTTGTATAACCAGAAACTTATGTAGTGGACCATTTCTATGTAGCTGTGGTAGTTCAGTAAAAAGACTCTTTTCATGAATTATTCTTGGCTTTGTCCATGAGGAAATGCCTTTGTATTTTTACGCACTGATATTGCGAGTAGAGAGCCCGAGATCCGATCCTCAACATTCTCCAGCTAGGTACACTCAGGCTCTCAGCTCCTTTATCTCCAGACAATCCACTGATATATGTATAACATCAAATTGTAGGTGCCTCTCATGCTTCATCCTCAAGCTCCGCCTCTTGTTTAGCCTTGAACTCAGTGATTTCCCGTTCATCTAGGTTGGTAATGACTTTAATCACATCAGCATGCCCATCTGCACTGCTAGTTTTTGCATAAAATGATAAAGCCTTGAAGTATTCCTCTGGTTCGTTCACCCTGTATGACAGGGCATCTTCCTTGATAACATCCAGCGCAGTCATATTATTTGACCCGCCGACGATCCCATTTTCCACATCGCCATAGATATGGTAGCGTGCCCATACAGCGTCGCCAAATCGGGCATCACGTATGGCGTCGACGTACATGCTCACCCACGGCTCTATGAAATTTACGCCCGGGCTGGGGTAGAGAACTTGCTGGATAGGAACATCCAGGAATAGCTGCTCAGCTGGTTTAGTTTCCAAAATGTTTAAGCTCATGGCTTTGGTTTCATGTTGTTATTCTCAGGTTTTGACAACAGGAAGTGATGGCGGTGTTTTCATGCCTGAGGATCCTTGGCGATCGGCCCAACAACTCATAATAACCAGATTCAAATGCTAACAGCTATAGATCTCAACTAAGATAAAGAGTTCTGTAAACAGGTAACTCTACCTTCTGCGGTTCCTCTGAGGGTCCTAACCCCCCACCCCCCTTTGCCGTGAATTGTGTACAGATTGTTAAGTACTGTAGACACATATAAAAACTGTGATTAGTACTTCTGTGATCAGGAGTACCCTAGCAACATAGTCCTCATATATAGTGAATGGAAATTGATAGTTAGGTGCAAATGCATAATTTTAGCACATGTTTAATAGGACATAATATGTATTGCTGTGATCCGCCCTCTGGTGCTGGTATATGGCCTATGGATCATGAGTATCTGTTTTTAAGTATCCTGATGAGGATGATGTAATATACTACTATAAGGTTAGAAAAACCTCTAATGACCATGGTGAGAGACTTGCTTTTAGAATTAATAATTATGTTTTTTACTAACTGTACTAGCAATAAATAATAAATGTAAGGGTCTGTTTACATTAGTTATGATTGCTAGTGATCCAGATGCATATAATAAGTCTCTAGTTAACTGATGGACTTTCTATAAGGATGCAGAATAATTAGCAAAACATTAACTACAACATCACAAGCGAAGAAACATTTTCAAAACCAGGGATGACACTGTCGAGAATTATGTCAAGTTCTTGCTTAGCACAATATCACAATATCATGTAAGATAATGTCAACCCTAGCACATACGACCACAGGGTGTGGAAAGCAGGGCTTCCCGTCCGCTCAGCCGTACTTAAGCCACACGCCGGCCGGTTAGTAGTTGGGTGGGTGACCACCAGCGAATCCCGGCTGTTGTATGTCTATCCTGGTTTTTCGTTATTTTTGTGAAATACACAGTCTACTGTTCCTCTGCCCGTTCTTATTCCTTTAGAAACCAGTTTGAGGCCCTGATTTGCGTGCTGGAGTCTGACGTGTAAGTATGAGCGAATATTCCACCTATTAAGAAGCGGTGTGAGACTCGCTGCATACATATGCAACTTGACGAGAACTGGTCACCACTAGCACTCGGTTAGTGACTAGGAGCTCAGGTTATTGGTCAGGCCCAGAATGTTCTGATATATAAAGATCAGCTTAGTGTGCCGTTGACTGTTCACATGAAATAGTGGTGACTGTGGCGCAGTGAGATGTACTGCAAAGCCCACTGGGGTATTGCAACCTGGTCAATGGAGATTTTCCCTCTAAAAACGAGGGTTGTTCCAGTTACATACACGACACTTCTGCTGGGCATATTGAGTTTTCAAGATGGATCAAGCGGAATATAGAGCTCGATGGGATTACGCCAAAGAGCTTAATATCCGATTTCTTGGCCCCGCCCAATCCAGTCAGTGGCCTGATGCCCACCGCAGGCTATTCGAAGATATTCAGAAGCTCGGGAATCAGAAATATTCAAGTTTTAATGAGACTGTCTCTGTTGACTCGATAGACAAGCCCTGGCGACGTCAAACGAAGCAGAGGGCAGCGCGCCTAGTCCAGCAAAGTCAGATATCCAGGCAGGATAGGAAGAACGAGGCTGGGTGGAGATTCTCGATTGAACCGGAGGTTCTCCATAGATTTACGGTTGAAGTAACCTGGTAAGTTATGGCGGGACAAACGCTAGGAACACCGTGCGACCGTGTCTGACATACGTAACTTCATTTAGCCCCAATTGTCGTAGCAGGCTCTGGAAATCGGAGATCGAAGCCGCAGTGCAGTCCTCACAGCCATTTGCTCAGTCCTTGGAGGCTAGGCGTAGGCGCCGTGCGCCATGCCGGTGTGTTGACCAGTGGAGTTACAACAGGTAGGTCGAGCTACGCATTTCAGTTGGTTGAGAAGGTATGGACGGCAGGGAGCTGCAATAGCTAAGCTAAACTCAGTGGATACGAGAATGGGGTGAACATGTTGTTCTCAGACCGCGCTCAAGCAACCATTAAACATGACCCACCTCTACCTATCGAAGGCCGAAGGCGAGGCCAAGTATCGGAAGAACCGGACAGGATATACGGGCTGCGAGACACAGGTAGCTTAAAGAAGGTATTGGACTCCATAAACAAGCACACCGCGTGTGTTGGGAATGTCAAGACTCTGAGGGACACAATTGAAGTGAGCCCTTTTGATGACGAAGGTGAGCGATTGCTCTTTCCTTTCCTGATAATGGAAGCCAAATCTGGCAAGCACGGGGACATGGCAGCCGTGGAGATGCAAACAGCCTTTTGCATTCGGCGCCTGTTGAGCCTACAACTTGAGTTACGGAAGGCTGGTGGTGAGAATGTGTGTGGCACATTTGAGCCGCTAGTCTGGTTTTTATCGTGGTCTGGGGAGCGGTGGAACGTGGCTGGTTGCTTTGTCAAAGACGCATGTGGGTCCATTGAATGGGTAAGCATTCATTGATGTATCCTCATGCCTTCCGGCTCTCTGATATTGAGATAGGTGACTGTAAACTTGTGGAGTGGAGATTTAACGGGCGAAGACGGCTCGCTGCAGCTGCTTCTGATTATTGATTACATATTCGACTGGGCTCGTGACGTGTATCGGCAGTCTCTGCTGGCCCAGCTCAGCAGCCTGTCCACGGAATGCATCCCGGATTCTGACCCTGATATATTGTCAACTATTGAGCGAGGTTCCACAGTCTTGACTTCTCTTCCGAATGACCCCCTTGAGTTTCCATCTCAGACTGTGACACGCTCAGCTATTTCCAGCGGAGACTACTTGAGCCTCTTCCATGCAGAAGGAGTTGTGAGAGACGCTTCCGTGATCGAATCTAGATTCATGGCTCTGTACATAACGGAGCACGACGTGGATCCATTCAGGCTTTCGTTTGCCTCTGAGGGCACATACCGAGTGACAAAGGTCGAAATGTCCTCTCTCCTGGAGGACTCGTGGCGCTGCGCGCCAGATACGCTTTATGGCATCGAGGAAGCTTGGACGGGAACTCCCAGATCTGCCGTTTCCAGCCACGCGCCTGATAGAAGCCCCTTCTTCTTTATTAGGTTCACTTTCCGGGTGTTCGTTGCATCAGACTGGCAGCCAGTACGCCAGCTTGTTTGTCTCGCCATCTCCAGCAGGGCAGTAGCGCAGCTTTGGGGAAACGAGAGGTTAACCGTCTTCAACAGGGCCCCTCTATACACAAGGCGCGAGATGCAGAGATTTCTCAATTTCTTGAAAAGTCCATCGATAGTCGACACTCTGGCCGCCGCAATATCCATGCAGTGCCTCACCAACACTTCGCGTAAACGCGCGGGGCCCATTCCACCCTCATTGTTTGGGTTCAAACGCGACGACTCAATTTCTGTTCTGAAGTTGGTGTCGTTGGTCATCGAATCACACACTATCGGACGACGTTTGTCACCAGACTCCTATTTGCGCTGCTCGCATATGCAGTGCAAACAAAGCATATACACAGAAGGGCCGAAAGTGTGGCCACAACTAGAGCAATTATCTCTCCATTCTAATGGCACTGTACTAGTCGATTGCGAAGAGAAAATGTCCGGAAATCCTCGCCGATGCCTCTACATCGTCGACGGCTCGTATGAAGCTGCCGATGTAGTACATTTGGTGGACCGAATGTCTTATGAGGGCGCCTATTATAGTGCTATCCCTCTGGATCCTAGTCACGACCCAACAGAATATTCGGTCTACATTAATCGTCCCATAGACCATTCCAGGTACTGGAAAACTGAGGAGAACAGGGAAAGTTTCCATCCCTGGATCTCAGCGCTGCAAGAGCTCATATCTACTGGGTCTGTCCTCCACGGCTCGTCGTCCTTCCCGATACTACTCTTGTCATCTGACGAAGAAGCTAGCGACGACGATAACAATGAAACCACGCACATTACAGTAGCGTGGAAAGAAGATAGCTAATTATTACAATAACTTGCTGTTCTGGTCAAAATTCCGGTATTTGTAGTGTCGGGCCACTGGGTCAGTGCGTTGTTATGTCGCGACCCCGACGGGAAAATTCACGCTGGCTATAATACAAATTTATACTGATCCAAAGCGAAAGAGAAAGGGGCACCCGATAATGCTTGTTGGCATGTTCCGCTCAATTCGTCCCAGGATTGAAAGCAGCGGCAATACAAATTTGTGCTTCTCCTTGGACTTCTTGTCCTGGAGGGCAATGAATCGTTGCCTTGACATTGCGGCCATTCACTTCCAGTTTGATGCTGTAGTGGACTTCATAGTACACATCGCCGTCCTCGTTAATTTTCTCCTCCAGCATGTTTCTCCTCCGGAGGACATCAAGGGATGCCTCGACGACTCCCGCTTTGCGGTGGCCTGACAGCCAAAATTAGCGCCGAATTGAGAACTCATGGGTTATGGCGATTATGTTCAGCTCACCACGATTCTTGGAGTGATCTATGCGGTAGTGCTGGAAGACCCGCTGGTCCGAAAAATAGATAGTCTCATAAGCGGCCATCTCCTGGCCCACTTCAAATGCGCGATGCATACAAATTTCAGCAGACTCTCCTTGGGCGACGACCCGGTCCTATTCGAGCATTAGCGACGGCTAGGCGTAGGGAACGACAAAAGTATTGGGTATACCGCGCGGTTTAGGTGCAAGCATACCTTCCTAATAACCCAGTCCATGCAATCTTTCACATATCTCTTTTTATTGAGAGAATTATAGAACCATGGGGCAGCTAAATGACCCGGGAATCTCTCGTCGTATGGTTCGCTGAGACAAACTCCCAGATTCAGCCTGAGCTTGCGGCGTGGGCCGTCCACTTTATTTAGGGCACGAAGAACCCCGCCCCGAGATACTGCCGTAGTCATGTCTCTTGAATAAATTATTAGCGTTTGTGGCTGGGAGAAATGTCAACAGGGTCCGGGATGGGCTACATGTCCTGATCCAGACTGATGACTCCAATGTCTCGCCCAAAAGAATTGTCCAGGCAGCGCTTCAGGGCCGGCGAACGAGAAAACCCACCGAGGAGGAGAATGACCTACAGATATTAGCAACAACTAGACCAATCTCAACAGGGTGCGTTCAGGGACATTGGACGGCAGCTTTACCTTGACCTCTTGGTCATTAAGTTGCTCCAGCTGTTCCCTGATCAAATCCACGGTCCCTTCAAGGCTTCGCCTGTAGTAGTTTTCCATTTGTTCCCTGTCACTCCGTCAGACGTGGATATGCGAGGACTTGCTAGTGTCTTACTTTGTGATGAAAAACATCGAGTTCCCAAAATTCCTCGTCGGGTCCTCCCTAAGGCCGAAAACGCGGAGACTTCTACTCTCACCCTCCTTCCAGTCAGCTGGATCGTAGTTTCGTTTTAATTCGTGCTCAAAATTAAGAAATACGTGTTCTTGAAGGACTGCTTCTTTGGAATATACGGGTTCCCAGCCCAGTTCAATGATGTGTGCCAGTCTTTCTCTGCTTTCTTTAATAAAAGCCTGGTTTATATAGCTTGAACCACAGTCTTTCCCTATTATCATTGTTAATTTGTTGCCTAGTATAAGTACTGGAAAGGGTTATACCGGCTGGGGTGGCTATTTCGTCAACTCTAAAGGGAGGATCCTGCCGCACCTTATAGGTGATCGCATCCTAGAGAGACGTGAATCATTAGTCACCTACAGCTGATGATAAAGCATAGAATTTAGGTGATCTTACAACAGTACCACCTCCAGCATCGCACACAATGAAGTTGGACCCTTTCTGCAGATTGTAAGTACCATCAATAAAGACACAGGAACAGCATCTATACATACTTCAATATTTTCGCGGATGTTTTCGTGGCGCAGTGCAAAGGTTACTGCAGCTTCAGGCTCATCAATAATAAATATAGAAAACTCCCTCCCCTTCATATCCGTCTTCTCCACTACCTCAAGCAGAATTTCCTGCATTGTGAGATGCGCATAGGTTGACCACTTAGAAGGCACGCACAGCACTAGTTCGACCTCCCAAGTATTATTAAAGCCCTCATATTTCCCCAATTGGCCATGGGTATGCTTGAAGACTTTCATGAGATAGTCTCTAATGGCTTCCCTGGCAGTTCTACCTACCTTGCGGAGTGCGCTCCTCGGCTGTGACAGCCGGTCATTTTCAACGCTCTCCCCGTCATCATCCAGTAACAGTTTCGGAAGCTGGATGATACAGTTCATTGACTCTACATCATCGTTCTCTGATAGATTGCGTAGCGTATGTTGCACCTCATGGCCCCACAGGAAATTCCCGTCACGGTACCAGCTTTCGCTAGGCACAAATGGGCTCGCTGCGTTGACGAATCGACTAGCCGCAGGCCAGTTTGCTACGCATCGGACCGCTCTTGGATGGACCTCTATAGGAGGGTCATCTGGATCAAAGGTGACATATGAAATTGAAGTTAGGGTCGTTCCATAATCGAGGCATAGGAGAAGCTTTTTCGCAGTAAGGGGGTTTTGCCCGTATCGTGGACCGTGTCGCAGCTGGATGTCATCTTCGTCCGATATTCTGCTCGAGGAGGTACTGGTCGAGGAATCTGTATGAGCAAATTTACGCCGTACGCGTCTTGGCGGGTTCGATCGCTGGGCCATAGCAAACAAAGTTGATGCTGTATAATAATGAGCACAGTCGAAGTGAAAAAAAAAAAAATGTCACGAACACACCACCTGAATTAGTGATTTATAGCGCCGGGCACGAGGCAGACTGCAAGGCTGCACTCAATAGGCAGCAACTACCCCTTACTGAATTTTCTTTTTTGCGAATCTTACTGGGATTGGTGACTTCTGCTGCAGCTGAACAGGGGTCTCTTTCAAGCCTTGACTTTAATAGGCTGGCCGGAGGCCGCACCTTCTGATTTGTACAACATCGGGGAGCCTTGACCTTCGGTGTCTCCGCTCCTGCTGTCATCACCCCCTATATTCCTCCTGTTGATAATATGGGCTTTCTTTGCCTCACAATTCTTCGGTTTAAGTTGAGAGAGTAGTGCTTTTGCGACCATCGCTCAAACCAGGGGCAAAATGGGCAGCGATCAAGACATTCCCGGAAGCAATTATTTCGAGGGCGTTGGCGGCAGCCGATTCTGCTATGTGCGGGAAGACCACATACCAACGCGCAATATCTCTCTAGAAATAACGGACGAACACATCATTGCCGGTGCGAAGCGGACAATAAAACCTCCAGCACGCTTCATAGAAGGCGAGCGAGATATCCCGCAATCAGATGCATGGAAGTTGAGGAAAAGACCCCGCAAGTCAGCTAATACGCAGAACGAAGAAAAGAAGGGAGGAACAGTATGTTATCGCGCGAACTGACCTTTTGTTGATGAGATTGCATAAAATATAGCAATGTACTGAACGTAGAACTCCGTGCCAGGTCAGAGTTATGGTCCCGCCTCCCGACCTCAATTACGATTCCGGTGGCTCGCCGTTGACCGAACTGGAGGACCTATCGGATGAAGTGGATGACTCCGTCTCTGATTTGCCGTCAAATAATGCTGATGTAGCCGCTGGAAAGTTCCCTGAGCACCCCGAGCCGAATAGCACGAATGACCCTGGTGGACGCCAGCTCACGCAAGAGGATGGGTGTGGTGGTTGTGCTAGATGCGCAGGGAAGATGATCAATCTCCGCAACCAAGCACAACAGGCGTTACTTTACAGAAGCCATGAGACGGCCTCGTTGCGAAAAGAGAATGAGACTCTCCAGCGACAAAACAACCGTCTCAGGGCGGAACTGGCCAACGTCAAAGCATCCCAGGACGCTTCAACTGGCGATCCCACAATAATTAGATCCTCTGCAGACGAATTATTTGCCCAGAAGAATGAGATAAACAGACTCCGCCGCCGCCTTTCAAGTGCCCTTGAGTTTGTTGAGCTTATCCGTCCCCCTCCATCGTGCAACGATGCTTTTGTCTTGTCAACAGGGTTTATATACAAGGAGATGGATACATTGAGTAACTATGTGGTCTATACAGCAAACTTGCTCTGCAAGATCCGACGCCATCACGTGAATGATGAAACTATAAGCCAAGATCTGACTCTCCTAATCGAGCAAACCATGATCAACAAAGACCTTTTCTCTACGGACCCCTTATCAGCCTTTCGTGCTCTTACTTTTGGCTTCATACAGAAGCACGTGTTCCACGCCCCGGAGATATGGAGAGACCTGCACTTCGATAGCGTAATGCTCAGGCAGTACCAGAGCATTCTGGAGCAAAGCAGTATGTGAGGCCCAAACTTGGCCGACTTCGCGTCATCAACAATGACTTGGCTCACCATTATTTGACTCAACCTTAGTTTCACCTGAAAGCCTGGAACGATACCACCGCGCAGCCGTTTATCTTACCCTGACAAAGAACCCTGAATTTAAAGAAGTGTTTGTTCCTGGTTACACCAAACAGATACAATTCGAGTTCTTCAATATAATGGCACCTTTACTCCATTCAGAAGACGTGAGCGATCACCTTATGCACGAAACGCGGATACTGTTCCGTCATGCCATCACCCTACGTGCGAGCTGCTACCCTCACAAAAGAACGCGCTATCAACTCGTGCAGTTCAAGCCAGGCCATGTGTACGACCCGCAGATCATGCGCGCGGAAAATGAGGTTGGAGCAATCGTAACGGTTCCGGAGGACGGACGGCAGCGCCACATTAAGGTCTGCGTGCATGGGATAATGAAGGCATATTCAGTTCGAGAGAATGCAGCGGGACTCGGTCTGATCAAAGAGCTCAGCCAGCCATTTCTTCTGGGGGATGACACCCAAGGTCACATTATAAGTGAAAAGGCGGCCGTTATTCTAGATGATGATTAATTATCATATAAAGGCTGTGTCACCGTGATTATAACCTGAAAAGTCTTAGTAAAACCCGCGACTGGATCCCAACCAGGTGACCAGACGCCATTGGCTAGGAAATGTTGTCGGTGTGCTTCACTTCGTGGCCCCAGCGGGAGATAAAGAGTGACAAGAGAATGTCTAAGAACCGACAACTATAATGACAAGTAAAATGTCTAGCATACTGGCGCCGCGTTGTACATGGTAAATAGGGTGTAACTGGCTGGAGCCCAGCAGCAAAGCCATGTGCCATGGCCTTCTGTACTCCTTTGGCGGACGATGATGAAGGATGATACCGTCTTGGGAAGAAAGGAATCATCTCGTTTCACCACCGAAACGGGACCGATTCTCTTCCTTCTTCGAGATCGGTGTAAACAGCATGTTGGCCTAGTATAACTGAATCAATTCTATTACTGCGCTTCACATCCGGCATATTATATTCCTGTTGTAGAATAAGTCCAACCTTAAAATGTTTACAAGAACCTATTAGTAGACAAGATTGTTTACTACCGTATTAGCATTTCCTCGTCTTAAGTTGGTCCCTCGTATTTCTAGCCACAAATTTCAGAAACCTCTGGTAGGCGATTCGTTTGGATATCAGGAGAACCATGTAGACTGTCTCACTTTTGCTTCTTGTCAGATATACCATTGCTATCTGCTATTCAGTTTCACCTAAACTACCTAAAGATCTCTAAACTACACTTTAACCCACTAAACGGCCCCCTACACGGCTGGCGTAGCCACTTAAGTGTACCATAGTATATGACTGAGTTGATTGGGAGCCAGTTGAGATTGTGGATAATTCGAGGGACCGGCAACTGTGACTGTGGAACGGTCTGATATCATGAGAAACCAGGGTTACCAAGTATATTTCTAGTCAGCCGGGCAGATGCCCCAGAATATATTTATGTTTTGGTCTGGCAGCTCAGGCAAGCATAAGCTCCTATATTCATATCTATATATACTATCCATACATTTTAGCTCACAGACTGGATACATAGTTCCATTTGTTTTGTCTGTTCCCATTTGTTAGACTACTCTGCAGCACAGGTCAAATTCACTTGGGTTCTCCCGCACGATAGCCCGTGGGAGCGAATCAAAAGTTTCCTTCCTGGCCCTCCATTGCCTCTGTTACATGACAACGGCCGCGGACTTCGGAACAGCAGGTATGAGCAAGGGGCGAGTGTAGTTTCAAGAGAGACTTGACACGGTTTGTACAGCAAAGATGACGTGTGGAATCAGGGAATGCAAGTATCCATCTCTTGCATTCCAACTGTTACTTTCGCGTGGTTGCACAGGAATCGGGAGCTGGTGGACAATCGGCTATAGGTGAACAGTTAAACACAAGGAACTCATTTACTGGTGAACTGCGTCTATGTCCCAGAGGAACGATATATAACGGAGATATTGTTAATCCCATGTGATACTTAGGTAGGTTGACATTAACTGGTTCTGATAGGGTAGAGGTTGATTGAGTCAAGTTAGAAGTAAATAGCATGACATATAATCGCCTGGGGTGACATCTAGACTTACAATGGATGTTGAGCCATGATCTACAGTGTCAAACCACGCAAGGAGCTAGCATTCCACAGTCAGCCAGCCATGCAACAGCCAAAGGAGTGCTACCAGATTCGACCTATCAGTATGCAAAGGCATGTAGTGAATTGCATCCTTACAATATGCCTGCATGTTCATGAGACAGCGACCACACCGCTACTTGCCCCTGGTTGCCTCTTGGGTTTCTGGCTATCATGTGTTGATATAAATAGGCCATATGCCCATGACGAAGAAGAAAAAAAGCGCGGAAAATCAAAGCTGATATTTTGATATTTGCCCCAATGACAATCACCGCACAATATGATGACCCAGCCTTCTTCGCCAAATACTCCCAACTGCCCCGAAACTCAGGCGGTCTGACAAATAGTCTCGAATGGCCCATCATAAGTCGCAACATAGGCCAAGTGACCAACCAAACTGTGCTTGATCTGGGCTGCGGCTATGGCCAGTTCTGCGGCTGGGCCTCAGATAATGGTGCTGCCTCGGTGCACGGTATTGATGCTTCTGCGAACATGCTGGAAAAGGCGCGGGAGTTCAACAATGCTCACAATATCACCTATGAACAGGGGGATCTCGACTTATCCTTGACGGACCCCTTGAAACTCCAAGAAAATGCATATGATGTTGTCCATAGCTCCCTCGCATTCCATTATCCGAAGAATCTTGCAGCCACCTTTGCAGCTATTTACAAAGCCATGAAGCCAGGAGGCCAATTTGTTTTCTCAGTGCAGCATCCTACCTTCTCAGCACCGCGGGCTCCCAACTGGGGGTTGCGAAAGGATGGTGGAACACCTTTTTGGGAGCTTGAGAGTTACGGGTCTGAAGGGCCTCGAACGGTTGATTTTCTGGACCACCCGCTCCACGCGCATCACCGTACAGTGGAGACCTATGTCTCTTTACTATTAGAGAATGGATTTATCTTGGTGGACTTCAAGGAGTGCATACCTCCTCCCGGGGCATTGCCAGAGACTCATCCGGATTATGGAAAGGAGGGCCATCGTCCGTTGTACTTGATTCTTGCTGCTAGGAAGGGTTGATGTTTCTAGTGTGATAGCAGGGTTAGCTATTTAGTCCTCCATCTCGGATAATCCATACTTCTCTACCAAAAGTGATAAATCTTGGAATCAGTTCAATAAATATTATAAGATGCCAAGATAATGCCAGTTGCTCAAGGCTCAGGCATAGAAATACTGGCTTACATCCTTAGAAACCTTCCAGGCTCAACTTTATCATACCCTAGAGAAAAAACAAGATCTCCTTGACCCTTCTCGAGATTTTCATTAATAGATGCAATTGATTATTCTCAGTATGAACTCATTGGACTGACCGCCCGAGGATAATGCTATTCCATTGATTGCTCCTGAATTGATGCGTTGTTCAACTACCATTGGTATTTTAGAATAATAAGCAAGGGGCAGAGACCTGCGAAAAGCTTCTTCCTGGCTGGCCGGCCAAGGATCGTTGTGGTCGTGCACCGCCATAGGGCGCCCTAAACCGTAGATCATAATTGTTATATCACGGGAAAGCCATGATCTGCACAAACTGAGAAATCAAAATTCTGTACATAGTAGATCGTGGGTATTAGTTTGCCAATCATCAATATACTACTACCTATAGCTCTGAAGGAGGATCTTGTCATTGGTAGAGAGGGAGAAGAAGTTGTGAATTAGGTTATTAGAGTCATAAAATGCATTTAGTAGGTTCCCTAACAAGTATTGAAAAGATATATAATCCCAAGTGACAACGTTCTCCCTCTCAACTATTTATCAAACATTAATATCACCTACCCGGAGTCCTACTTGGTCCTCTGGCTCTTGTGGTTTAGGCAAGTCATAAATCAAAACTGCCCAGATTCAAACAGATCCTAACCATCCTAATTCTATAGTAAGAGAGGGGAACACACACAGAGAAGTTTCAGCACACAAGGCAAAAAGTACAACACTAACAACCATGCAATCCCCCAGCTCATCTCCATTGCGCTTGCCACTGCTGTGGCTACTCAATCTTCTACTGAATGTTACTTAGCATCTCGCGATGACGGAGCCTGCTGAGCGTCTGACTTTAACTGACTTTACACAGGCTATTGTTTACTTTGACTCCGGATTCTCAGGGCCGTCGCTGGAAATCACTTCTACGGATCAGTGTGTTACCATTACCAATACCATGCCCCCTGAGGTGGGTTCCATCCAACTCGTGTCAGGTGTCTATTGCACGACCTACTTTGACACCGTGTGCCAGACCCCTAACCAGCGCCAGACCCCTAACCAGCACCTCACAGGCACCCAGCCTAACATCCCTGGCCTGCCTGATGCGCAGTCCATCCTATGCAAGCACATCAACAAGGCCTAGTGGCTGTGGTGATGAAGGAAGTGGGCAGACTGAGGCTTGTTTGTAATCTTGAATAAGGATAATGTTGCTTTTACAAACAGTTAGCCATTGTCTGCCGGCCTGCCTCTTTGGGACAGTGGTGGTTAAAGTCCGCTATAGCCTCACTTCATGGCGTTTTAGATCAATGATTGGGCTGGACTGAAAGAGGTAAATACGCGTTGTAATCAATGCCTGTCAGTTTCTATATTTAACCTATCCAGCGTATCTATTATATCATGGACAAGTAGGATATGCCTCCATCACAACCGATATCCACCCACGCAAAAGACCGCGTCAGCTTCTGCATCTGTGTCCAAGATTGAATATTCAGTGTGACACAACCTCCGTAATTGTCCTGCATACCAGCACCGTCATTCCACCTCTCAATCAGAACATAGGCAAAATTTGTATTGGCAATTTGATTTTGTTCACCTATTAGACACCTAGAGTTCAGGTTAGCGTGTGAAGACCTTTTTGTGAGCCAAGATAACATACCGATGGACAAAGTCTGTTGTCAGGTACCTCAACATTCAAATTGAAATCTCTCTTCAAGAGAATCCTAGTCAATTGCCTGAAAAGTCGGTCAGCTATCTGCCAAAACCTGCAATATCTATGACCCTACTTACCGTACGGCATCGGGATTGCTGAAATCTAACTGGCCATTTGGCTTCACACTGGACGGCAGGGTGAGAAAAGCGTATGAATCACCAGGGGATGACGGGCTATCTGGCGAAAGCAGGTTGGAGGAACGATTTACTGAATTCTATTACCAGGAGAGCCCCAGTGATACGCACTGGCGCATCATTGCCCCCGCTGGTTATACCCGCCTTCTCAATCACCCCAGCGCTCCTGGTATCGCCTCTTGTCGGCTGGCTGATTGCCTCCCACTTCTCAAAAGCGATTCCTTTGCTTTGCTTCCACACTAAGATGGTGAGAACAGTTTCTACTTCCCCACCAGAAGCATTCAGCCACATTAGGCGCTGTTGGCTAGCTTGCCATCACTGTCTGAGTAGCACACCGAATTACTACTGATGGCTAGTAATCAGAGCGGCTGACCGGCGCCTGCACAGATAAGTATGACATATCAGGCAGTTTGATGGGCGAAGGAGTTATATTGTCAGGCCTTCCAAGCGCTCACAGCTGATCATCAAGATGATTCTTGTTCATGAACGCGAGCCGCTTGACTGTAATCATACTGTGGATCGCCATGAATGCTTGTTTGGTGGCCCGGGTGGGTGGTCCTGTGGTGATGAGAATTTGGAGCTGAGAGAAATAGTCGTGGTATAAACGTCTCTGCTCACATTCTCAATCCATGTGGGATGGGCATCGTGGACCCAGTTGAAGATTGTCACTGAAGGAGGTGAAATAGCTTTTGTCTATTGCATGATCGAGGAAAGCCTACATTGTGCGCAGCCACAGTGTGCCTGTCGCCGTGTTGTATATGGACGTCGTATTGGTTAACTGCAGCTATTAGCATCTGGCTGTCAACAACTGGGAGTAATCAGGATACGTAGACCTTATTTGAGGCTGTCATCAAATTTCCGATCAAGAGTTCAGGGGAAGCGGCCATTTTTTGCTGACGGCAAAAAAATAAAGGGAGAAGTCCGAATACCTCTGGCGGGGATCGAACTCCGCGATTGAAAGAAAAAAAACCTGTCTGTTTTTGTTTAAGCAGTCTTTTGTTCCCCCTAGCCCACGTAGCCATAAAGCTGAGAAAAAGGTTCGCTAGTTAAATATACGCAAAAAAAAAGCTAATAAAAAGAAAAAGTAATTAGGCTGTCGTCGTTCCCCGTGGTTCTGAGCCGTGCCTTCGAGATGGACCGATGCGGCCATGCAGGTCGAGTGGAATAATAGGGGAGAGAGACCATGTCTTCTTGAAGTAGGTCTCGAAGCAGCCCTCGATCCAGGCGTGAGTGCGACGGAGAGATGGGACGAGGGCTGTGAAGACTGGAAGTGTCAGTCAGTGATGACGACGATGAGGACGAAGATGAGCCCTACAATCATCTAGCAACTGGTAATACCCCGGATGGCCGCGTCAGTTCGCGGGTCCTCCGAATGGCCCGATCTGTGCGTCTGCGAGACCGGTCAAGTGCAGTTGCACGATGCAGTTGATATTGCGCTTGGTCTTCGGGATCACACTATTGTGGCGAGCGTTGATGGCCATTTCCGCTGTTTTGCCACAGTGGTTACAGACGGTGCTCGTTCCCGTCTCATGCCCTGCGCTGATTATCGCGCTGCAAAAGGCACAGCAAGATCGATCACCGTTGGTGCTGCTCGCTAAGCTGGACTTGGTTGTATTCAGCAATTGTGCCTGTCCTGATCGCGTGGTTGCTTTCGACCTGTGAGACAACGCTAGCCCTGTGGTGATGCCCCCGCATGCTGAGTGCAAGTTCGTCAATAGATTGGTCCACATGTGGATTTAACATCTCTTCAGATCGCTCCTCTGGCGGCAATCTCTCTTGATAAATGCGCCTCATCAGTTGGGATCAGATCCGGCGGCGGTCGTTGGTGGTACCTACGGACTCCAGGCAGGGGCCATTGACGAAGACGAATCGATCTGACTTGTCCATTTTTCTGCAGCAGGGATGATCGTTGTAGTTGACTCTTCTTCGATATGCAGAATCGATCAACTGTCTAGACTCCAGTGCTCGCATGCCATTAGGGGGAAGCATGACTATTACAGAGTAGCTAACTAACTAACTAACAAAATCAGTGTATGTGGGGGCCAGAATGCTGTTGGTAACATTTTCCTTGACATATAGCTGCTTTGGTACTAGGGCTTTTTATGCATATATCCCGGCAGTGTCACTGGTGATGACAGCCTCGCATGCTTTCACAAGGTCCAGCTTGATATACTCTCTCTGACCAGTGCCTAAACATTAGAGTGAGTGGGATGTATCCTCACATATTGTTAGGCATCCATTCTTTGACTTCTACCTAGCATCAGTATCGTGATCTACTCATTGCTTCGCTGTAGCAAGGCCCGATATGCCTGGAATCCTCTTGATATAATAAGTCTGCTGCTCATCACACTCAGAAGGGAATACGCACCGGCCCCGACAATTGCAACTTTAATTGTCATGTTAGTCTGAGATAGAATGTCAAGTTAGAGTTGAGAATGAAAAGGAACACTGGGAGTAAAGCATCATTTGATCTTATACCTAGAGGGATGAGACCAAGCTCCTACCTGATTAGCAATAATAGATTCATTTGAATTTAGAACTATCACAGGTTGGATTCACTCTAAAGGCACGGCCCCTATTTTAACGAATCCAAGCTTGGAGGCGGTTGGGGCCGACGATTATCTTACGGTCAATGCTTGCCAAAACAGGCAACTAGATGTTAAAAGCCAGCTCCTAAGTCATACTCTGGAGGCTTGATAATGTGACTAGCAGCGCATGCAGTTCAGTTAAGCATATTATATTCAACAAGGACCCAGGTACATCCTGTGTACTGTACTGGTCGCCTTCAAAATCTCAATACGCGTGAATATCAATCAGATTTCGGTTTCTCCAGTTTCTGCGCCTTCGTATCACCAACATCACTCTGCTGATGAAGCGGACTCTCCGTCATTTTCAGCCCTGCAACTGTCTTGTCACGAATATCGTTGTTAGCATCTTCATTGGCATTACTACTGCTAGGAACTGGGGCGTAGGGATGCGAAACGCTGCCCCGCTGAGGATGCGCTCGGCCAGTATGGATTGCCCCGATGTCAGTTACGCGGTCAGCTGTGGAGAGAGCGAAATCTCCAGAGTCGAAGTATTTTCGTTCCTTCGCCATTAGTCAAGATACGTATCTTGTCGACTGAGAGCAAACGTACTTTAGACTGCTGGTCGAGTAATCTTCCTCTTTGGGGAAGCCGTCCATAGGCGCGAAGCAGACCTTCTTCGTCCTTGGGGGGTGACTGGAATATATTAGCTTAGCAAGTAAACTGTGGTTATAGTGTGTGGATCTACCTCGGGATTTGATTGTTTCTTCTGCTCTGGCTCCATTCCGGTTTGTATAATAATGTATGAGATGTTAACATCGAGACTGTCTGAGTAGACCCACTTGAGTTGGGGATGACGTACATCGCAGCGGCAGCGCGGAGAGTCACGTGTCAATCACTGTTGGCAGTAGCACTTGGCTCAAGGTAGAGTATAGATGATTGTATCCGGATATGGTCAATATAAAACTGAAATGCCTCAATCTGCCCATCATTGTGTCTATAATGCCGGTGTGAAGGGGTATTGGTAAATAGGATAATGCAAGGTGAACCATCCTTTACAGTATAGAACACGACATCTAAGAACCCCATAGCATGATGCCAGAATTTCAAGGCACCTGTTTCAAAGTATGGACATAGTACAACAGGCTATTCAACAGAGACGAACAGAAATACCGACGAATGTCTCATAATCCTGCCAGCAGAGACTATGAACCATGATCGCCAGACGCAATAAATATAAAACAAACACCAACACCATTTATCATCAATCATTACGCGTCACCGGAGTTTACTGAATCTCATAAACCTCCAACGCATGCTGGACATCATGCAGACTGTCCTTGTCCCCGTACGCGTCCATCAGCTTTTGATTGTGTCGGATCCGCTCTTCCTCTTGGAGTTGGTAGCGGGCTTGTTGGGCTTGAAAATCATTGAGGTAATTGGCGATGCCGAATCCTGGTCTTGTCAGTTGCGTTGGAGGGATCTGGGGATAAGGACATACCAGCTGCGACGACAGCCATGGCTGGGAGATATCTGTTATTTGTTAGTGATTATCCCTGGATAACTACGCAGAGACATACAGTTTTCCTACCCTCCCTACTTTGAAGCTGGGGTAGGCGGGCCGCTTGAAGAATGGCCGTGGGGAGTGTGGGGAAGGCGTGGCGAAGGAGGACATTTTGTATATCTTGTTTGTGGTGGTTTGTAGATTGCTCAAAGTTGTTGCGGTTGCGATTGAAGTATTGAAGGACAGATATAGGGATTGAGAGGCTAATATGTCATTCAGGGGGATTGGGATTGAGGCAGTGCCTGAGGTGGATAAGGTGATGTTGCGGGAGTGGCGTTACAGTGGCCTGATCATCATATGACCCTATTCCCAAAGAGGAGAAACTGCGGAGGAAAGGAAGAGGGCTTTTGCGGGGGTTTTCATTTTATAGCCACGGTCGGATTCATGGATGGCCAATCAGCTTGGGTATTAATCAATCATGATATTTAGCGTGTTGGAGGGGAAATTGCGTTGATGTCATTGCGGGTGCGGATCCGTACATAATAAGGGGATGAAGGAATGGCATCATTCGATAGACTTTCTTTGATGGGTTTATTTATCAATCAATATCTGCTTTCGCCTACAGGTCTCAGTTGCAATATATGGATTATGCCGACCCTAGATCGATGGGCGCGACCTTGACGACATGGCAGACTTTCATCCCCTATTAAACCCTCACTTGGGTACTGACGACAGGCATACGAGAGATGACTTCAGTCTCCATGGTAGTCCTAAGTTTGATTTATACTAGCCTTATAGCACACGTTGCTATTAATACTGAACATAACGCCCGCATGGCTTTCACTCTTGCTATAGGGTAGTATATCCAATGATGGTGGGCTCGCCAATTCTAAACGTAATGGGGACCTGAGGATCGCAAGCTCCTGAGACTGAATCTGTCACATTCGCAAGAATGTCATAACAACTTTTATCCAAGTTTTGTGCGAAGGATATCCTGGATGAAGGAAGGTCTGCGTTGGGCGAGGTGTCTCGGGAGACGTTCCACGAATTATCGAGCTCCTATTGAACAATGGTTTTGATCCGACCAACTAGGGCCCTACGCTCTGCTGCCGGTCGGAGTACCATGCATATGGTACAGCTTTTCTTAAAACAAGGCTGCCAGGTGAGTCGGTCATCTCCCATTTCCTGGTGCCATTCGAAAAGACGACCATGACGTGGTCGAGGTTCTTATCCAGTAAGGGGCGATCCAAGAGGTTTCAGCGTGTTCCCGATGGATTTGGAGGACAGCTTGAACTTGGGCTTCACTCGGCAATATCCTGTGCTATCCAGTACCACAAGCCGGCTATCCCGAAGCTATTGATCAAGAAGGGGGGTATCCCGAGCCGATGGATATCAGATTTGCGGAGGAAATGAGAGATCTGAACGATAGCGTGATCTGCAGCCGGTCAGGACGACCGTAGATGGCAGCCGCTAGGCAGCTCAGATAGGACAGCTGTGGATTTCCGCATGGCGAATCAAGTGTTGTTTGATGCTAACCTAAATCTTCAAACATCAGATCGGATAATAGTCGATTTCCAGGTTTCCATGAAAGGTCTTCGAGAAGTTCCGAATCATATGCAGCCATGAGCTGACCAGACCTACCGTCGTCACATTGTCACTGACCGAGCCAGGGGCTTTTTCTTGCATTCGCCGATACAAATCTGCATCGGTCCGTAAATGATAGAGGCATTCTGCGACGCGGTCCGTGTCCCCTACTTTGACAATAAATCCCGTCTCATTATCAATAACCTGATACGGCAAGCCGCCAACGTCCGTAACAATCACGGGTGGTTTGCCTTTGCGGAGTGCTTCCGAGAAGCCTTCCCGGGTGGACAGCTGAAGGGCAACTTTCGACTTGGAAAGAATGGCGTTCAGGACCTGGTCAGATGGCTTCGCACGAACAACGGCGATCTTATCGTCGAGATGAGGCATTACTTTATGAATATGATCCATGGCCATGTCGAATATTTCACTTGCGTCTGGATCATCGACAGACCCATGTCCGCAGATGACGAGTTTCGGGATCTTATGTGTCAGGCGAGTCCGGAACTTGTGATACGAGTCGAAGACGTCAATTATTCCCTTTGATGGGTCGAACCGGGCGATTTGCACAAAGTACTCGTCAGTTGGGTAATCGATCGTTGGCATGCCTGTCTCGTGGCACCACTGATTGGACAGTCGGCCATAGTATGCGACATCAGAATCTATCATTCCCTTAATGAGCCCGTCCAACACATCAGTCGAGGCGGGGGAGTGGCCGATCATCGCACACGGTAGGCGGCACAGAGTCTAGAATTGGATGGCTGATAAACACATCGGCATGCTGCGCACGATGCCATAGCCAGTCCCATGACCTCGCCTGAGGCGCCCCTGGCGTGCACGCCAGATCTACTCGGATCTGGATCTGGATGTGGCTGCGGAAGATCACCGGCCGGTCTGGCGCCTTTTCCTTCGCAATTGGAATCAACAACAACACTACACTTGTGATCCCTATGCTCTGAAATATCTGGCTGCCAATTTTATGGCCAAGACATCTCTTTTCTTTCTTTCTGCTAAACTGAAGGCAACATAATTTTTGCGGCACAGGTTATTTTGAATTACCTACACGAAGAATTATATTACACATAACGATCTAGGTAGATTGTCAGAGCTTTTTCAGGCTGCCCAGCGTCATTGCATATGCACCTAGCCCCCCGTCACTGAATTGAAACCATTTAGATACCGGTCTTTTCCCTCTCAGCCTTCTCAATTGCCTGGTCCTGGTCTTTGAAAACCTTCTTTACAGCCGGGCGCGATGTCAATTTCTTGTACCACGCGGCGACATGAGGGAAGTCGTCGTCGAGGGTATCAGGATTTGTCGCGTATTTCGAAGCCCATCTTTGCCATGGCAAGAAGCAAAGGTCAGCATACGTGCACTTGTCACCAACCAACCATTCGCGGGTCTTCAGTATAGACTCAAGAACCCCGGTCACACGGCGAATCTCGTTGCCATATCGCTCGACGGCAGAAGGAATGCGTTCAGGGTGAAATCGTGCGAACCAACTGGCCTGGCCATAATAAGGGCCCTGGCCAGATGCCTGGAAATGCAGCCATGCCTTGGTTTGATATTTTGCGGCGGTTTCTGTATAGTGGAGCTTGTTTTCAGGGTCATAGTGTTCGACTAGATATTCCACAATAGCACCAGACTCAAAAAGAGTAATACCCTCGTTCGGATCCTCAATTGCAGGCAGGCGACCATTTGGATTCAACTTGATATAAGGCTCTTTCTTGACATCGGTGAAATTGACAAAGCGGGTTTCGTAGGGAAGACCCAACTCCTCAAGGATGATGGCCACTTTCCAAGGATTAGGGCCGTAGGGGTGTGAATAGAGGACAATAGGAAGCATTTTAAAGGTCGATCACGGACTTAATTTGGGAGAAAGAAGAGTAAAAAGCTTTACATATGATGAAACGAGTAATAGTTAGTCCAAAATGTTACAGATTTATACACTCTATCGGATGCCCCATGATAACTCTCGCTTAATATTTGTCGCTGGGAGCCGGCGTTTGGCAGTCTCAAATGCCGAAGTCACCGTCTCCGTGGCCGAGCAACTTTCTGCCAGCTTATCAAGCGAGCCAAACAATTTTCACACGTCTCCCACTATAGCTGCACCTATTTCTACCATGCCCTGTGCGATGGTGAGTATGATTCTTTGTGTGGCAGCCCATTTGACTTATCGGCATTAGAAACAGCCACCGGCGAATTGCCCGACGCTGGCGGAACATAGTCGCCCACGCTCTCGCCAGAGAAAGACCGCTACGTACTTTACATCAGTATAATGCCCTTTCGCACATCGAGTCAACTTAGTACGGTCTTTGAAAGGGCTGAAGCCGTGGATTCAGCTCATTGTTCTTGACCCTGAGCTGGGTCCAAACGGCTGGCTTTTCTCGGGCCGTTTCAGGACCGCGGAACGAGACCCCCCTGTACGGTTCAAATACCTCAAAGTCTTATATCTGAAATCTGAACCGGGGTACAGAGACAGGAGTTCGGTACCGATGTTGTCGGATAAGAAAACCGAAAGGTGGTTAGCGATGAGAGCGGTGACCTGATGCGCATGCTGTACACTTCTTTCGACACTTATCTCCCCCCAGAGTCCCAAGAGTCCAATCTGCCGGGAGGCGGTTTCCACCCAAAAGATATTCGAACCCAAGTTGAGAAGCTCGATTCCTTGATCTACTCCAGCCTTAATGCTGGGGTCTATAATGTGAGCTTGGCCTCGACTTAGGAGGCATATGACCAAGCAAGTGATAAAGTGTTAAGACTTGTTAGACCAGGTGGAACAGCGATTAGAGTCAACCGCTTTTTTGCTTGGACCGAACCTTACAGAAACCGACCTTCGCCTATACACTTCCATAGCACGGTTTGATGTGGCCTACTATATTATATTTCGATGCAACCTTAAAATGATACGCCTTGATTACCCTGCAATTGACCGGTGGTACCGTCAATTGTACCACACTGGTGTGCCTTGGTCTCAGGCTGCCTCTGAGGTGACGACCAACCTTTTCGCTGTAAGTGTCTTGACGCCCTTATCCATGCTGTCTTTTTGCTCATAGTTTACTTTCTTCAGTGTAAGTTCGGGTACACCAAATTCTACGAGGGTCAGAAACTAGGCGAAGGGGACATAATCCCTGCGGGACCATCGCCGCCATCCTGCCTCCATAGACAGGGTTGAAAGACGTGATATTCTTAGCAGAAAACCTTTATTTGCTCCAATAAGTACCTCTTACCTATGTTTTAATAGGATGTCATCCCGAATAAATCTCGTATCTGGGGTATGTGACTGCTGTAGAAGGATACAGTACATTTAGTACTTTCTCAAGAAGTCTATCAGGTATTGTCAGTATAAGTGGCTAGAGCTTCTTTACAGAAGGTTGCGTTTAATCTGTTGTTTTTTTTTGACCAAAGTAGGTAGAAGGGGAAAGATAGAGAAAGGAGAAGGACCCATAGCTGTAATGTCCCCAGATATAGGAGATCTCTGATACTACCCCAATGTGGACAGAAATAAAGAGGGCGTAGGTCAAAAGCAGGATGAAAAGACCGAACAGGAAAGAAAAGAAGACAAAGTTATACTGCGTGGGCCAGTGCGTATTACACACGACAGCATTTATTGTTAAATAGACTTTTCAGCAGAAAATCAACCCTTTTTCTTCCAAACAATCTCCTTTACCACGTTTGCATACGTAGAAACCATAGCTAGGGCATAAGCATGCCCTCGAGCTGCTTGACCCCTTCCAAAGGCTTCAGATAGGCGACGCGATGCTTTGTATACAGCTCATAATCCATTTCCCCTCCCAAATTAGGATCATCCAGTGAGCCCGCCTTGATCGAGAGCTTGTCAGGCATCAGATCCGGCTCACCATAGATGCCTGATCCACAGGTTCCGCAGAAGAATGTACGATAGGTTTTAGTGGAGTCCGCGGTGTAAGGGTATGTTTTTGGTTCGCCTCCATTAAGAGATAAGCGTCAGGGTAATTGTGATTGAAATTCACGTACTCAGCTGATCTTAACTGATGAACGGAGAGGAGAAACCTCACCAGGCCTTATATATATCTAGGTCTGAAGCTATGATGGCCATATTTACGTGTTAATTCTAAGCAGGCTGCGAAAACGTGATTCTAGAAACAACTGCATATTCTCGGTGATTCATCTCGGTGACTGATCTCGTAGAAGCTTTCCCGAACTGCTGGTTAGGTTCCACCAGACAAATTCGGCGGCCATAGTCATAAGAATTGTCAGCGACGAGCAAAGTTACTCCAGCCCGAGGTCCTCTGAAGGAAAGGTTACACTTCTACTCTATAACATCATGGCTTGTGGTTCTCTTTCACCATGCCTAGTCCTGATGCCACGAAAAACTAGTGAGATTGCCTGATTGCCACCCCAGAAGTTCATCTAGTCTAAAAATGACCAGAGTGCATGGATCATTTAGAGTGTATATTGGTCTCCATTTCCTAAAGATATAGACACGTATACCTCTGCGCCTGGGACATCCGTATAGTTTTCTATGTAGAAATATAACTACACTTTCTCAACCAGAGGCCAGATACAGTACAGTGATATACGAATGCTTTTGTTCTAGGATAGCAAATGTGGATGGAGCAGCTCGAACTGCCGTACACTATGCCAGTTCATAAGAGTATAGCAACGTGAGAGGCTAGGAAATAATTCTTTGTAGTATCTGACAAATTGGGCCTCTGTTATTCTAACTATATAAACTTCAACTATACCTCACCATGGATACGTCACCTAGTCAACAATTAGTTACCAGGGTCCAGACAGTTGCTTTTCCACGACTCAGCCAAAGTGAGGCTCCTGCTTAGCACCATCAACCGCACCAAGGTAGGAAATGCGGTCTTTAACGTAGAACTCGACGTCGACTCTGTTGCGCAGATTTGCCTCTCCGTTATCTAGAGTGCCAGCTTTGATGACAGTCTTGTCACCCATAATGTCCAACTCGGTGAAAAGGCTTGATCCGCAGTTTCCGCAGAAAAAATGTCTGTTATTTTTGCCACTTGCACCTGCAATGTCACAGAATTTTGGGGTTCCTATATAATTTGATGTCAGAGAACATTGTAATTAGAATTAGCCTGTTCTTGCATACCTTTGGTGACCTTGAAGGTATCCCTTGGCACCACAACATTGGAGGTAAACGCACCACCTGTCCACTATTGAAATCATTGTTAGTTCCCAGTTACCCGAAGACGCCAGTTTGGCATATTCAAGTACCTTCTGACAGTCAACACAGTGACAGAGAGCCGTTACAAGAGGCTCAGCTGCATAATTCGTAAGTATGTACATTACATGAGGCATGCGCGACATTCACTTACAGGGTGAGGTATAAGTGGTAGCACCGCACATGCAACTTCCGTGAAGAGTCATGGTCGCCGGTTTAATAGCTTCTCTGAGTAAGGAGTACTGTTGTTGGAAGTGGTTATGGATGTAGGACCAACGCTAACCCAGATCAACTCAACAGTTTTCCTTTTGCTTTGTTTTGCCTTTTACCCCCTTTTATACCTGCGCGCAGGACACTGCCGGTCCGGATCGGCACCCGTTGATATTCGGTCATTCAAACACCGAATCGGTGAGGATATCGTGGCATATGTACAACCCATACCTTATCAATGATATACTCATAGTTTGCACACATCGTATTTGACTCGTCCAAATGCTGCTCCAGAAGCATAACGTGCAAAACATTGGAGACAAATGCTTACGAGACGACTTCGGTAATAATCCCATGAGACATCTTCACTGAGAGCTTCGGGAGGCCGGTGCTGATTATTGAAACAGGTGGTAGTACATGTCAGTGGTTATGAATATCACTCCTAAGGCTCCAACGAACAAAGGGGGAAGGGCTGGTTCAGCAGTATAGTATGGATCTATACGATATACTTCGGAGAATATCCTCGGTGATTGCTCTCGCTTTCGGTGATTGCGAGCGTTTGAGGAACCTCTTCTGTTGACTAATTGCTGACTGTAGAGTCCCGTATGAGACATATTATTGATAAATGTTTCCAAACGGTTGGCCCTTTTACATAATAGATCGGGGCGCTAACATCGGATGGAACGCCGAGTGACCCTACGCGCATCTCTCTGAAAACCATTGGCAGCTCGGAGTACTCGGTAGGCTCTAGAGCGATAAAGTTTGAGTTATGTTTGGCAACCTGTCTCTTTGCTGACTATATGAAGTGGAGTGGGGTCCTCTAAGCAAGACTGCATGTCTGAAAGCAAACCTGCCCACACACGGTCGTCCTCGTGACAGGAGCATTTTCGCTGTATGGCGGCCCACAAGTTCCCAGTCGATAATCGGACCTCACAAGTGAAACAGCGCAACCTGGCATTTCCTGTTCGTTAAAGTGAAGTTATGCTGGAAATCTTCTTTGAATGGTGTCCCTTAATAGAAGCACAGTTGTAACAACAAATTCCCCAACATAGGTATCCGCTGCCGTATCCACAGAAATGATATGACCAATTGATTATTTGTTTGAGGGACGGGGTCATTAGTTTGAAACACATGGCAGATGACCGAGTTCAAACACCGAACTCGAGCCAAGGATTACTCTTCGGGCCTTTCCTTCCTATTCTCGGGGCGGCTCTTTCCAAAGCCCTGAGTAGGGGGTCACCGAGATTGCGCCACGGTTGATATCGTTTTAATGGTTTTCTAAAGGTTCGTTTGTGGGCCTGTTCTGTATCATGCATTCACCCTATAACCCCAGTACATTAGATTAACTACGGATGGGTAGACAAGCGATAACTATTTCAAACTTCGGGGAAAGAAACGGAGATATTCCTCTCCTATCCTTCCACATTTAGATCGTTAGCTTAATTCACCTCAATACACATCCAAATCAGACACCGGTCACAAAAGCCAGACACGCAACCAAACACCGAGGTCCAGTGTTGCCGATGTAGAACGGCTATTTTCAGGATGGGTTAAGTCAGTGGCAGAGCAAGAACAAATCAGCTCGGACTAATGACCTATTGGATCTATATTTATTGCAGAAAAAGATTTTGCTTTTGAACATATGCAAAAAGAAGTGGACGTGGATGAGGGGGAGGGGAGTGTTCAATAATAGGATTTGCAATACATGTAGTTATTCAATGTTATGTATTTGATACCGGACTGTTGATGAAGCTTATTCCCGTCACCAGGCAAGTATGGGATATAAATCTGGCGGCCTATCTGTCCGCCTACCCACTTATGATGTTGACTAGTAGATTTACCTGTCTCCCATCGGCTATCAGCAGAGAATTTCTGCCACAATTCTCCATGATGGGCTCTCTCACAGCCTCTGGCTCTCGAGCAACCCAGATCTTTTCCCGCCGTGGCCAATCCGCACTAGTACATGGCTCCAGGATCATTTTGTGGGATATCACCAGCAATGTGTGGCATAAGGAAACAAACTCCGACGGCTATGTCAACGTCGGAGTCGCCGAGAACACTCTGCTTCATGATATTTTGCTGGACTACATCCACGCCAACATCAGGCTGACAGCCAACTACATCACCTACAATGACGGCAGCATGGGATCCAACAGACTCCGACAAGCGGTTTCACACTTCATGAACCGCCATCTGAATCCCGTTCTCCCTGTGGAACCGCAGCAGATCGTCATAACCAACGGATGCTCTTCAGCCATCGAGCAGCTCAGCTGGGCATTCATGGAGCCCGGCGAAGGCATTCTTTTAGGCAAACCCTACTACGGCACGTTCATTGCGGACTTGTCGCTTCGCCCGGGTGCGGTGGTTGTTCCCGTCGACTTTGGCGATATTGATCCCCTGGGTCCGCAGGCTGTCTCACAATACGAGAGGGCTGCGATGGAGTTTGAGAGGCGCACGGGGAAACGTGTCAGGGCCTTCATGCTCTGCCATCCGCACAACCCTCTTGGCCGTTGCTATCCCCGGTCAGTCATCGCCGACCTGATGCGAATGTGCCAGGCCCGACAGCTGCACCTGATTAGTGATGAAATCTATGCCATGTCCGTCTGGGACAATCGCGTGGACACCGACGTGCCACCTACTCGGTTTGAATCTGTCCTGTCGGTTGACACAGCCGGTTTGATCGACCCTGATCTGGTGCATATCATCTGGGGAATGAGCAAGGACTTTGGTGCCAACGGTCTGCGCTTGGGAGCCATCGTCTCCCAGTCGAGTCCTGAGCTGCAGATGGCTCTCAAGGCCATGTCTCTGTATTCCTATGTTTCTGGTCTTTCCGATCAGATCACCTCGTCTCTGCTGCTCGATGATGCGTTCACAGATCGCTATATCCAACTGAATCGCGAAAGGCTGTCTGAAGCCCACGCATTCTTCGTCCAACTACTCTGGAAATATGATATTGAATACATAAGAGGATGCAATGCTGGCTTTTTCGTGTGGATTAACCTCGGCAAGAAGTACCTCGAGGCCAACCCTGGAAAAGCGGTAGGGGGCGGTACTGCCCTGACTGATATGATCATGCAGAAGTTGTTAGATAAGAAAGTCTTTTTGGCAAGTGGGACGAGCTTTGGGTCGGAGAAGCCGGGTTGGTTCCGGGTGGTTTTTGCGCACCCATTGCCTTATCTGGAAGAGGCAATGAAACGAATTTTGCTGGCCGTTGGACCGGAGGTTTAAATTGCTACTCGGGCTTTTTTCTGGGAATTTCCTTGTTCTATTCATCGATTTTACCGTACTAACGAATGAGCTGGATTGTACTCTTCTTGTTCTCTAATGCTGGACCGCGCTATATTTGTAGTCCCCAGCTTGTAACAAGTGGTGGATGGTAACTATTCCTCGGGGATTAAGCCAGCAGCTTGTTCGACTTCCTTTTGCATCAACCTTAGCATAAGGGATCTCCCCATCCTCCATGTTCCGGGCTTTGTTCAGGCACAAGAATGTCTGTGTAGACTTGGCATTCATCGTCTTGGCAAATGCAAATACTAAGCAGCATAGAGGAAGTTACTATAACTAGATAATAACATCAAGACTTTTGTACATCAGTTCAGAGTTTCTAACTGAAGTTGAGGGATCAGGGTGTGAATACCACCACTTGTGCCGGCCGTCACCATAATAATACTACTTACCTCTGCTGCATGGTATTATATAGATTCTGTAAAGCAAGGACCTGTGAATTCCTTCTAGTCTTTTATAAGACAAGTGGTTTGCAGCATAATAGAATTAGTTTTGCAGAGCACAACCAGAATATGAACATTCTATAGTACATTATAAAGATCCATGTATGATAAAATACTAAGGACCTTATACCCCTGCTAACCCACTAAAAAAGAAGATACAGAATTAACTAGAGTATCACAAACCCCAGGTTTAAGTGATTTAACCTACTTTTTCTATTAGTATGGCAGGGTGGCATGTAAGGTATTACTAGAGGAGTTAGGGAAGATCTATATCATATATAGTTATATATTATTAGTTGCATTTGGTCTGAGACTCTGAGTTCGGGTGAGTTCAAACCTAGTTGGAACTGGACCGCTGTGATTTTGAGTCTAAAATTTAGAAATCAGAACCAACCCTGATCTGTTCTAATTCAGTGTGATCAGGGAGAAAGAAGAAGTTGGGAGAGATGATGGTTAGGACAGCAAGGACCAAGGGGACAGTTCTTATATACTGGAGGTCACAATGCAGGCGGTATTTACAAGACGGCGTGTCAGGAGACCATACCCAAAACAGCAAAACTAACCATAACAGGAAATTCACAGGTCCTCGCTTTACACCACCTAAATAGATCTCATGCCCTGTGGCTGCAAACCATGGTTAAGTAATCTTTCCTGCGGGGGAGAAAGCTTGACTTATTGACAGTAGCTGCGGTCCACGGTTATTAATCAATGTCAGATAGTCCCCAATGACTACTTGTTCAGATGGAATAAACTAGCCATTGTCATTATTCTGCTAGTTAGAGAGGTAAGAATCTGGAAAGCGTGAGGTATCCTACTAGTGCAGACTGCAGAGTGTCTGTCAGGACATGGTGTTCTTATCACACTGTAAAGGACGAGACATCATTAATCAATATAAATAACCAGACTTCTATACATTATTAGCATAGAGATGATCAGTGGGACTTACAGAGTCCATTCTACGTAATCGACTGATTATGGTGTCTGATATGCAGTAGCGTGAGTAACTAGGCAAAGCGGGGTATCAGCTACAGCTTACTCTTCCCACACCTCCCACACAGTGCCACACTACCCTCTTAACCTAGTACACCACCAATCCAATGGTCCCCTAGCAGGACACAAAGCATGTCCGGCCTTGAAATCCTCGGCATAGCAGCCAGCATCCTGCAAATCGCCGACCTCGGCGCCACCGTCTCGGTCAAGCTATGCACCTTCTACCGGCAACTCAAATCCGCCGACCAATCGGCGCAGAGCCTCTCAAGCGAGGTCGCGCTCACCTGCAGTATTCTCCGCCAACTAGGCGAGAATCTCAAGCAGGACGAGCAGACGCGGCTGTATTCTGCGCAGGCGTTCGACACCGCGCAGGAGGTGCTGCGCGAGTGTGAGAGGGTGTTTAGGCGGATTAGTGCGGCGGTGGATGAGTCGCGGGTGGACGCGACGAAGAATGCGATTCAGAGGGCGGCGAGGCGGTTGGGGTTTGTGCTCATGGAGAGGGAGCTGGATGTGCTGCGGGGGAATCTAGAGAGGTTGAAGTCGACGATGTTGCTTTTGTTGAATGTGATTATGTATGCGGGGCAGGTGCGGAGGTGAGTTTTGCGTTTTGGGAGATAATGAGTGAAGCTGACGGTTCACAGCCGCGCGGAGTCGTCTGTTCTCAAGGAGCAGAGGGGTTTGATTCAGGTGCTGGTGGAGGAGAAGAAGGCGGGTGAGGCGCGATTCGACCAGTTGGTCAAGGCTCTTGAGTCTGCCGATATCAACCACCACGGATCAGGTGGGCAAGATACCCTCCCTCCATACGAGTCCCTGGCAGAGGAGGACGCATTACGCGAACTCCGGACGTATCACCAGCTCGTCAAGCGGCTACTCCAAGAAGTGGATGCGTGCCGGTCGGGCATTGAGCGGAGCCGGTATTCAAGATTCAGAAATGGAGTGGTCAAGGTGCACGCGGCCGAGGTGGAGGGATTTCGACGAGCTCACGGGGAGATTGTTTCTCGACTATTCGAGGATCCGCTGTTTAGTCTGGCACCTGAAATGGATATCGTCGAGACACACACTCAAGAAAATGACAACACTGAGGCTGAAAGGCCACAACGCAAAGAAGCCATAGCGAAGCGAAGACGAGTCGACGAGTTTACACACCATACGAGTTTCCCTCCCGAGGCATATGAGAGGGATCGTCTACCTCTGGAGCCATCCGGCTTTAACCCTTACGCTGGTCAGATCGAGCACTCTGCTCCTTCGATTGAAATGGTCAATGAGAGAATCAATGCATATCGTGCGCGTGACAGAGCTTTCTGCGACTACGAAGGAACTATCGAGGGCGTCCGTCCCCGTATCAATTCTAACACGGCTTCTGGTCGTGCTATCGGGAGGCAGATTCACCACATTGCTCAGCAACAACAGGCGCAGCAACAACAGGCTCAGCAACAACAGGCTCCTCCCAGGAGCGAGATAACGCCATTGGAGAGATACGTGTTCGAAGTTGATGTTATCCCAGTTCCTGCTACGAAGACAGAAGAAGTTAAGGAAGCTGCTGATACGGTGGACGATTTACTTCTGAAATGGACAACATTAGGGCAGAATGACCTCTTGGCTTGATCTAGGAACTTTCTTTTTCCTGCAAGTCCAGTAACAGTTTCCTAAGACTATCGTACATGTTCCTAGGGATATTGGCAAAGCGCCTATACACTGTGAATAGCTTGAATACGTTGCGCGGTACATACTTGCTACTGGCCTTGGGCATAGTAGAATAATCACGAGGTACTAAATAAACCTCCATCTGATCATCTGATAATTTCAAACAAGACCACTCGTCAAGTTCATCAATCATCCTCGCACTAGAGTTGACTCCCTTGCTTCTCCGGCAGCACCAAGAAACTTACACCTCAGTTTCGAATCCTCAACAAGCCAACCAATAAGTTCTTACAATCACGACCATTCCGCCTGGACTTACCCGCTTCGTCACTCCTCTCGTCCCTTGTGGACAGTCCCCAGTGGCCCCGATAAGCCTTACATGCCAAGGCATCGTTTGATTCGATCACAAGATATCCCGCCCGTCGATCATGTGCCCGGAAGTGGTACAAAGAGGTGTCAATGGTCTGTTGTACGCCTCATTCTGTATTGCTTTTCTTTTTGCAACTGGGGAGATGAGATAAATATGAGGAAGGGTTTTCGGGTATGGATTTTGTCTTTCTATCGAACTGCTGAGTGTTGTTAATGAAGATGCGGTTGAGATATGTACTTCCTCTTGTAGCGGATTGGATACTGCAGACTTGTGAGGGATATGTGGCGCAGCAGGTGCCTCTGAGGGATAATGGCAGGTGTGCGAGGACTACAGTGGCTATTCTGTAAGTGTTTATCCGGGTATATCAGCAGTGCTGACTGTAGAAGAGGAGGAGGAGTGACAGGGATTACCGCCGCTGTAAGTACTATATTTCGATACTGACGAGTGGCTGACTGTAACAGCAAGCGCTGGCAAATGCATCCATTGATGATTTTCTTATCCTCGAGTATAGAGATCGGCTTGGAGGTAGATTGAGACATGAGGAGTTTGGAGAAGATGAAAATGGGAATCCGTATGTGGTTGAGCTGGGGGCGAACTGGGTATGCAGCCTTAGAACTCTATGCGTAGATGGAGTTGACTGGCATAGATACATGGAGTTGGAATGGGTGTGAGAGGTATGTATTGTACAACTCAGTAGCCGTTCATGCTAACGTGCACAGAGAACCCTATTTGGCAACTGGTACGTCTCTCCTCCGATCCACGGCAAATATTAACGGCCCCAGGCAAGAAAACACAACTTGACAGTTACACATTCCAACTACAGCTCAATACGCACCTACAACGAGACCGGCTTCATCGACTACCGACATCTCCAGCGCGAGTATGCCGAGGCCAACCGCGCCGCCTCTAGAGAAGCAGGACGCATCATGACCGAAAACCTGCAGGATCAGACTGCGCGGACTGGCCTCGCGCTGGCCGGCTGGCGGCCACGGAAAGATGATTCGGCAGCGCAAGCAGTGGAATGGTGGAATTGGGGTACGTCTCACCTCACTCCGAGATCGAGATAACTGATCCAGTTGTAGACTGGGAATCCGCCCAAACACCCGATACCAGCTCTCTCGTCTTCGGCCTCGCCGCCGAGAATATCACATTCCAACAGTTCGGAGCACGGAACGAGCTTGTCATCGATCCTCGCGGCTACAGCGCCATCATCATCGGCGAGGCCGCCACATTCCTCTATAGCGAGAATGGCGCTCCGAGGATGGATCATCGGGTCTGGCTGCAGACACAGGTCATTGAGATTGAGTACTCCGACAAAGGCGTCACGATCCGCAACAGCGACGGTAGCTGCGTGGAAGCCGCGTACGCCATCTGCACATTCTCCCTCGGCGTTCTGCAGAACGACGCAGTCACTTTCCGTCCTGCACTACCCGGGTGGAAACAAACCGCCATCCACAAGTACACTATGGGCACATATACTAAGATCTTCATGCAGTTCGAGAAGATGTTCTGGCCGAACGACACGCAGTTCTTTTTGTACGCGTCGCCGACGACAAGAGGGTACTTTCCCGTGTTCCAGTCTCTGTCGATGGAGGGGTTTCTTCCAGGGTCGAATATCCTGTTCGTGACTGTCGTGGATGCAGAAGCCTATCGGGTGGAGAGGCAATCCGACCCGGAAACGCAAGCTGAGATCCTCGATGTCCTCCGGCAAATGTTCCCTGACAAGCACGTTCCCGAGCCGAAAGCGTTCTTCTACCCGCGCTGGTCGGAAGAGCCCTGGGCGTATGGGAGCTACTCCAACTGGCCGGTGGGTACGACGCTGGAGATCCATCAGAATCTGAGAGCGAATGTACAGCGGCTGTGGTTTGCCGGTGAGGCGACGTCTTCGGCATATTTTGGATTTGCGCACGGGGCTTGGTACGAGGGGAAAGAAGTCGGAGAGCATGTGGCTGCGCTGCTGCAGGGGAAGTGTGTTACGTTGCAGGGGCAGAAGGCTTGTGGGGAGAGGAGGCACTACGAGGTGCTACATGGGACGACGCCGTTGGAGGCATATAATGCGATCAATGGGTGGCCGATGAGTAGCGTTGAGCTGTAGATTCACTGCTTTATTTGTTTCATGGAGTATGGTGAATGAGAATAATCTATAGCTGATTCATATGCTTTTGATAGTGAATAGACTGATATTATGTGAATATTTAGTCCCTGGGTTTCCCTCCGACTGCCCGGTTCAGTCATCTCTCCTTAAGCCTATACATGGACTTCTGGATATGTCCTCTTAAGAAGTCCATGTTAATCCACACATCTACTGTGTGAGCAATCTTCCTCTCCCACTTCGTCTATACTTGTCTTTTTACTTCTTACTAAGAAGGTGATAATAGCCATTATCAATCTATCATAGCCAGTAGCGCAAGGCTACATAATAGCTGCCGGCATCTTGATTTCCAACAGAACGGGAGGGATGAAACCGGAAAACATCAACAATCTCTCCAACGGGATGACGCTAAGAAATGCTCTACGTGAGGAGTAGGGCGGGCCCTTCACAAGACTCAACTCCAGGATTGCCTGACGCGCCTTGCATCCGCAATCATGGACGATATCAAGGTGTTTCTTGTATCCGTGTCCGGAGGTTCGACCTTGCAGGTGCAGTACATTATCCGCGTATGTTATATCATTCAATATGAACCCCACAGTCAAGCTAATCCTTCTACAGAAGTCTTCGGACCTCACCCGTTCCACTTCGCCCCTTCCTGTTGAGGAAGCTCCATCTGAGACGCCCAACCCCGACTTGGACCATACACGCACTACTCTGGCCGCGCCCTGCAAACCCCCGTGCCTGACAGCAACTTGACCGCGCCAACCTCAGTATGTGGACTTCACCCAATGATTCCATTAATCATTGTAGCAACTGACCCATGTTCAATTCAAGGTATGTTCAGTCATCAGAAGTCTGCTTAATCGCCTGGCTAATTCGCTCAAGTACTCGCTGGCGGATGAGGACTGGGAAGCAAAAGCTTGCCAGCAGTTCTTCGAGGCGGCCAGTGCACTAATGCGTTGTGGCGCGCCAGAGCTTACCCTGACTGTCTACGTGCAACTCAGGGTTGGGGATGGAGCCAGTGGCTCCGGATCCGTGCAACTTGAATTTGCTGTAAGTGTCTTACTTATATTCTCTCCGCGGCTGGTTATGCTAACTTGTTATGTCAAGTCCGCTTTCCGGAACAACATCGGCACCAAGGAGGAGATATCGGACATGCTTGGCTCGTCGTCAATCCTCTACGGGGCCGATGACAGTCTTGCAACGACGTTCGTAAATTGCAAGAGGATTATCCAGCAATCCTCCGCCAAAGCGATTTATGAAGTCACATGGGATGGAAAACCGGCCATCGCGAAATGCTGGTCCCATCTCGAGTCGAACGGTCTGCTGCTGTGTCCTTATAGCATAGTATCTCAATCGCTAATCCTTTTGTTCTGTAGGTTTGCTGACGAAGCGAGGACGTATGAGAGCATCCATGCGCAACGTCCAGCCGGTTTCGATTTTTTCCCCTCACCCTTTGGGACTTGCATGAGCACATGCTGAGAGCTGCACAATGCACTCGATATAGCTCACTCACTGCATCTCTGCGTCGATAGGAATCTGGATCTCTTCATTCTCAGTTCGGGGGCAGGTGGCTCTCCAGGTAGTGGTCAAACTTAGCGACGATGGCGGTTTACCTCCCTTTGCGTCGTCTTTTGCAAGTACCACCTCTGACAGTTATTGTAAGAAGCTGTATGTTTTGATACCTTCCGTGTTCTTTTAACATGCTAACAGTAGTGTTGGTTAGGTTGTTCAGGAATGGTGGGCAGGTCCTTGCCTTATCTTGTTGGGGCTTCGTTTCGACCTCGACGGCGAGATATGCCTGCAGTAAGTAATCTCGTGGAATCTTCATGGCAAATGCTCAATGAAGGTAATACAGTGCGCATGCAATGTGGAAACTTGCAAAGATAGGAAGCCACAGCCTACGCTGGTGATTACCTGAATTTCCAATCAGATCAGGTTGCAGAGCTTCTGTCCGCAAGACATCAGTTCTAAAGAGCATTCTATGTCTGCTCGCTACACTCAGGTAAGTCTATCAAGAACAAAGCTACATCTTGATCATCTATGGAAGTATGGATACTAATGATGTGGTTATACAGCTCAAGGCCAAGAAGAGCACTCCGGCCAATAGCAAAGAAGAAGAATGATGAAGACGATAAGCCTGGCAAGAAAAGACATCGCTCCCCGTCACAGAAGAAGAGATCTAGAGAGTGGTTTCAAAAGAAGATAGAGGAACGCAAGGCTGCCTCGGCAGCCAAGAAGGAGATAGCTACTTGGTGGTCTCCGAGCTACAAGCCCGGTCGGAAGAATGCCAACCTCGCAAGATGACAATGACCATCAGACACCTGGCCGCGCCGGAAAGTGGCGACCAGTTTCCATCTGTCCAGGCGCATCCCTGCATGCAAGACCTGCTCCTTATGACATATTCGGCTGGCCCCCATTGCTTTCTCCTCGCACAAGCCATTTGCAAGGTACTGGTATTATCATGCTTGGTGCCATATTGTCCCTCACCATGGCCCGATTCCGCGAGGAATAGCACCGGGCACTCAGGCAATACGCCTAACACGGCGGGTGGTTTTTGGCCAGTCGGTCAGACCTGGCGCTAGTCCAGGGGATGTTCTGCCTCTGGACGTAGATAAGCTGCGAGCCATAGCCCCAGATTGAAAGGGCCCGACGGACGAGCTACGACAGTTCATTCACATATACGGGATAGCACCTTCGACGATGAAGCAGATTGGTAACTTTCACTTTCTCCCTTTACGCGAGAGTACAATGATTGCTAACAGTTATCCATACTAGTATCTAAGGGCTATAAGAAGATTCTGAGAGCGTTGAGCGCTGTCGGCGGCTACTTTTGCAGAGCCTGTATCTGAACGACGAAGAGGAAATCCTCTTCAAGCTAATCACAACCCTAGTCGATGGAGGCAAAACCGACTAAGTGGAATTGAAGAGTATCTGTTCAATGATTCCCCGCGTGCGGAGGAGAGAGAGATGACTCCTTGGGCAAGGAGCCAGGGGAAGGTCAATCACAGCAGTATAATACGAACCTTGCAGGGCAAGTTGGGATGTAGATCGACTCGCAGATCGCAGGGTGTCTCGCTGGAACACACACACTTATTCAAAGACCTGCATGACATTCCCAAAACAAACGGCTCGTTCGCACGGTGGCCTTTCGACCGGTTGAAGGACCGAGAGGCTAGTGCTGGTTGGATCCAGAAGGGAGGTCAGGGATGGCGATGAAAGTCGATTCATGCATCAATAGACTGATACAAGAGGGTTCGCTGCTGAAAGGACGGTCATCATCTCGAGCATGGGCAGGCCAATACATCGTTTAGAAATGGCAACTGCTTGGTTATACGATGCCATTAACCATGGAACAGTCTCATGGGACGTCCACCTACTGAAGCTGGGTATGGTCGCGCTACAGAGCGCTATAGGCTGCCGGCCCGGTTCGTCTAATCTTCCATCATTTTGAATATACATACTGATGTTTAACTCCAGATAGGAGATCTAGTCCGGGACATGTTTGACAAGGGCTTTTCCTGAAATGGGGGGATATGATCCTCACAGTCGGTGATACACCTGATGCTGTTCATGGGCGGATCAGTCTCCAGTTTACTAAAGGCCACAGGTACATCTATCCTTCCCTAATCATGCCACATCCCATACTCACAGATCTTCTTTAGGAATGAACAGAACAAACCAAGCCTCGATGTCACATCCCCTGGCGAAACTCCTTCTAATACAGATCGATAATCTCCTTTCGTCTCTTTCAGATACGGACTGCCTTAGTGTCCTTCGTACCTTGCTCCGTATCCGTAGTGACGACTTCGCAACCATGCCTGTCCAGTTCGCAGATCGAGAGGGTGCACTAGCTGCAGCCCGAAAGGAAGTCCCCTTTTCACTCACGAAGCCACATGAATCGCTCATAATTCTCATGGATCCCGCTCGTCCACTGGAATGGGTATCCCGAAATGGGATCGACCAGAAAAAAGACGTTAAGAACGAAAATCACCAGAACGCTGTTTTGTTATACACCCGGGGTGTGGAGCCAGACGAACCATGTAAGTCTTGTGCGAATGGCGCGGGGACATTCCGACGTTGCATTGCTGCCCCCGACTTCCTCATAAACGAAGAGCGTCGTTCGCTCTTCGTGGGAGCATGCGCCAACTGCGTTTGGAACTCGAAGGGATCGCAATGCTCATTCTACCTCGGGAAAGGGCATGGTTGGGATACCAAGCACGATTCGTAAGAGTTTCCTCTCTGACTATCCGCATTCGGTTCCCCTTGATTGATAATGGTCTTCGAATAGGATGTTTCTCCAGCGTGGCGGTCTCTTGGCTACCATGAACGGCAACCCCGTACGCCAGATATCGTTCACCACCAACCCGAATAGAACCTGCATGTGCCCGATCGCCCTCATTCTGATCATGGCGCTTCGTTTCGGACAAATTGAGACAGACATCACTACCTGTTTATATACCGCCCAGACACGACCAAGCGAAATAATACTGCGGGAGAACTAGTCACCATTATTTTGGCGACCATGCGAGTCCCAGGATCACTGTTGAGAAGTGGGAGAGGGCCGTTTGGGAGAGGGCCGTTGTCCCAGTCAAATCTCACACATACAATTTAGAGGCCCATGCATCGCCCGACATTGATTCTGTGCCCAGGCGCGCTCATTGATATGCGGCTAGCGAAGCTTAGGACGCAGAGGGACGTTGAGCGCATAAAGGCGCGTATGACACCGTGGCCTTCCAAAGGAAGTGTCGCCGAGTGAGAGGCATGCATGCCGGAAGCGATCAGTATCAGAGTTCCAGCCACAGGGTGACTCCTAAAGGGCCTGAGTATCAACACCGCTTGGGGTCTTTGAGGTCCTTGTGACCACAGTGTTACAGTCAAGAGACTCACGAGCAGACGGTCAACCAGGCTTGTTCAAACCATGAGACATCTTGCTTTATGTTGTTTTACCAAACTTGATACGTTCCAAACTTGCCGCATGCCCATCTTTTTTCGGTTTTCTTTTACTACATGGGCAGATTGTTGTACGCCCACGGTCACGGGCGGCTGTATGTTGCTTATCCAGCTCTCTTAGCAGGTAGGCTAAGAATGACAACTATCGTCCCCGACATAGTGCTCCCACCAATGTTGACTCAAACGATATCCATGGGTGCAGCATCGTGCCTACATCAGATGAGGAAATCGTCAATATGCTATTGTTGACTGCCCTCAGAAAGTCTGCCCGAAGATGGCTATGGTACACGCAGAATGACTAGGCAGCAGTTACCAGTCTAGGGCAAAGTGTTGTCTAATGAGCTGAGGCTTGGACAGATGGAGCTCTTTGAATTCTTGCCGTGGGGTTAACATGAATGCATTGCAAAAGAGAATACCAGACGACGACCTAGGGAAGTTCCCATGGGCCAGTTTGCCACCGAACTCTAGTCTAGATGCCATCAGACGGATCATTTCGACGCCGATAATGGTCCATATACACGCCCTCCGTATAGAGGTTCAATCGGATCCGATCGAGGAATGGTATTTCAGGCGAGGAGGCCAGAGCGACAGGATGAGGAGCCAGAGAGAGTCCATGCAATCATTGAGCGTATGGCCTTAATATTGCTATAAGTAGACTGAGATTAGCCAGTTCATGCTCACTGAAAGATTGAACGGATGTTTTTAGTATTCAGTACAAGCATCATAATATATCTAAGAATCTAAATTGAGTACGGACTCATTTACACTGACCAAAGATTACTTCAACATACGATAAGCAGGGTACAGACCTCTTCAACCCTGAATCACTCTGAAAGCATATCAGAAGATCCCATGCAAACCCTGTCTTTACTACACTCACTGCATCTGTACATCCTTTAAGCTCACCGTCAACAACACAAAATGGCCACACCTTCGACTTTAGCCCCAAATTGCTCTCCGAACTCCCACCAACACCCCCGAGCTAGTCACTCCCGACATCCACTTCATCATCATCTCCCCTGTCCCACCAGACGCCGCGAGGAAACTTATCATTGACCCCCGTGATGGCGGCGACCCCAAGCCCCTACACATGTTCTACAACGCAGACATACGCAAACTATCATCAACCGGCCCAAGCTCCCACTGGAGATAGCAACGAGTTACTTTGCAGACTTTACCCGGTATACAAGGCTCAAAATGGACCTTGCAGGGAACCCATCCCGACAGGCTCGGTGACGGTGGAAGACGGGCCGTCCGTATGCCAAAGTGCCCAATGCTTCGTACGTGGCGGGGCAGACGCTGCGACTGCGACGCAAATGGCTGAACTACGTTATTGAGACGGGATTTAGGAGTTGCTTTGTCGGTTGTGGCTGACAAGGAGTGGTGGTTTGGTCAGTCGGATGGACAGGTGCGAGGGGTGTGATTGTTGGGGTGAGTGGAACGGCGCGGAGGGTCGTCATTGAGAACTGGGCGCAGAGGGGTGGTTCTCCGATAAAGAGCAGGAGGTTTGTATTTCTGGAGCTGAGGAGGTAGCGGTTGTTGTTGCTGGGGATGCACTGAGAATCAAATTTGAGGATCTTTTTTTGTGGCCTGCGAGTGGTGATACAGGGGATTGGTGTTTCGGCGCGAGGGGTTGGAAATCATGGCTGTAGTAGTTTGATGTTATTGCCTTGTGAATGAGGTATATACTACTTCCGGCGGACCTAAGGTTGGAACAGGAATGCTGATTAGGCTTAATGGTATATTCGGTGATATGTGAACTGATAGCTACTCGAGATGAGATTAATGACCAAGGTTCTTAGGAGCAGCAGTCGCGGGGCCTTCAGGGGTAACGTATGCCTGTTATTGTCAGCATGATTGTCTGAGCCATGGAGTAGAAGTCATACCTTGGTCATGCCCCCATCCACGACAAAATCGCTTCCATTGACGAAACTGCTCTCGTCGCTGGCAAGGAACACGACCGCATGCGCCTGCTCAATGGCCTCGCCGAACCGGCCTGTCGGGAAGTGAACCTCGCGGCGGTGACGCTTGGGCTGGTCATCACCTAGCCAGTCTTGCAGAAGAGGAGTGCTGCGACGCGGTTAGCAGGTTCTCGCTATCTAGCGACGGAACGACTTACTTGAGCGGAGCAGGGCAGAGAGCATTGAACCGGAAACCCTCACGAGCATGGACGATAGCCAACTCTCGAGTCAAGGCGAGAACAGCACCCTTGCTGGCTGTGTAGGCCAGCTGAGGCGTTGCGCTTCCCACCAGGGCAACCACACTCGCCGTGTTGATAATGCTACCCCTGGTCTTCTTGTGACGACGCAGACTCAGCACCGCATGCTTGCAGCCAAACCAGACACCCTTGACGTTGATGTTCTGTGTCAGATCCCAGATCTTCTCTGGTGTATCGACCGCATCGGCGTCGTCAGCGTGCATGATCCCCGCGTTGTTGAACATCACGTCCGTTCCACCCCAGCTATCCTGGGACTCGACCATGGCTTGCACTTCAGATTCCTTGGAGACATCGCACTTGATTGTTTCGACTCGGGGCGCGTTGGGGACGACTTCCTTCACTTTGGCCAGGGCTTTCTCGAGAGCGGGAGCGGAGATATCGGCCATCAGGACGTTGGCACCTTCGCGAGCGAAGAGGATGCTGGTTTCGAGACCGATACCACTGCGGGGGATCAATCAGTATGTCAATTGAGTGATTAGATGATGCCTTACCCTGCGGCACCAGTGATGATGGCATTCTTGCCTTGGAGTCTTCCTCGAGAAGCCATTTTGTCTGTGAAGCTCGATCAGTAACTGAGGCTGCGTAGTGTGGGGTAATTGATAGATATGACAGGGGGCGTGTGAAGGCAAAACGACTTACTATGAGACTTGGGGAAAGACCGGGAAAGGACAGACAATCTATGGAAGCGATTGAGCACTCAAGATTCTATGGAGGAAAAGACGGTCAGGAGTCGACGAGCCAGCAAGGAGAGATACTGTGACACAGCTCCGACGCGGGGCATGTGGATCGAATTATCTAATCGGCGGATGGCCGGTGACGATAACAGTTGGCGACAATCCGATGCTCGTATGCAGGAAATATAGTGAAAATCATTTTCTATTTATCTCTTCAATCATCTAGGCAGGAAACTACTATTCTGTCCTCCAAAAGCAACTATCATGATCGCTTATCTACATCGGCTCCTACCCCTGTCAGTAATATGCAATAGGACCGATGTGGCCAACAGACCGTCGATAAGCTCCGATAAGGCACCTAACCTAGGCTCTGAGGCTCTCCACACTCGAGACGGCCCCCGTCCTTCCGCATCTCCAACCCCCTGCCACCACGCTGGTGAGCTCCAGTGCCGTCTACAGACTCAACTTACCGTCCCAGGAAATCTTGTCAACTATGTCCGCGTCCACATCCTCCTGCGAAGTGACCCTCGACAACGTCGCCGAAATCCTCAAAAATGACACCAAGGTCAAGCTAGCAGGTGTCGACGTGGACGGCCAGCTGCGCGGCAAGCTCATCTCCAAGAAGAAATTCCTCTCCATCGCGGCTGACGGGTTCGGATTTTGCTCGGTGATCTTTGGCTGGGACATGCACGACCGGACATACTTTAAAGAGCTGGCGATCAGTAATAAGGAGAATGGATACCAGGATCTCGTCGCAGTGCCTGATCTGAGCAGCTTTCGCCGAATCCCCTGGGAGAACGATGTCCCCTTCTTTCTTGTCAGCTTTTTCGATCCGGAGACTAAGGAACCTGTTTGTGCTTGTCCACGGGGGCTGTTGAAGACGGCCCTCAGTAAGGTGGAGGCAGCGGGATACCGTGCTATGGCCGGGGGTGGGTTGATTGCTCTGCTTGATTCCCCACGACTTTGAAACGCTTACTGATTGATTTCAGCGGAGTATGAGTTCTATCAATTCCGCGCACCAGGCGACTACCCCACACCCGAACGGAATGCCTCCGCGACCGCCGCCTTTCTCCAAAAGAACCCTGTCGAAGCGTTGCCTGCGCTGACGGAGGGTATGTTTGGATACAGTCTTACTCGCCCCATACACAATCAGGATTACTACTACGGCATATTTGACGCATGCGAGCAGTTCAACTGCGAGATTGAGGGATGGCACACAGAAAGCGGGCCCGGTGTATTTGAGGCAGTGAGTGTCCTTGGCTGATGGACAGGGCATGGGCTGACGCGTTCAGGCATTACAATTCGGGGAAGCCAAGGAAATGGCAGACAAGGCCGGGTTATTCAAGTAAGTCGGTCGTTGTATACGAAGCTTTGGCGACTTGCTGACCTTTCAGATACGTGGTCAAGTCTATCGGCGCGAAACATGGCATCACGCCAGCATTCATGGCCAAACCACGCGAAGGTTTGCCCGGCAACAGTGGACACATGCATATCTCGCTGGTTACGGAGGATGGAAAGAATGCTTTCCTCCGCCCGACACCTGACCCATCCCCGCCCTATCCAGACGTAGCGCACCTCTCCGATCTAGGAAGACACTTTTTGGCAGGTATTCTAACGGGCCTTCCGGATATCATGCCTCTTTTTGCACCAACGATCAACTCATACAAGCGGCTGGTGGAGAACTTCTGGGCCCCGGTCACCGTATCCTGGGGTCTGGAGCACCGGGCCGCTTCCATCCGGCTGATCACCCCGCCCACAGCCAGCGCGAAAGCAACTCGATTCGAGGTGCGTGTGCCCGGTGCAGACGCGAACCCACACTTTGTCCTAGCCGCTATCGTCGCGTTGGGTTGGCGCGGTGTCGAGAAGAAGCTGGAAATCCCGGTCCCGCCTCTGTCCAAGGGCGAGGACATGGGTGGTGCCAGCGATCAGGGCATCCGACTGGCCAAAACATTGAAGGAGGCGACAGTTGCATTCATGCGCAAGGATAGCGTTGCACGAGAGGTATTTGGCGATAAATTCGTAGATCACTTTGGGGGGACGCGAGAACATGAGGTGCACCTGTGGGAGGAAGCAGTGACTGATTGGTTTGTGTTCTCCGCATGCATGACGACAGGGATTATGCTAACGCAGGACAGGGAGGTGCGGCGGTACATCGAAACGGTCTAACGAGTCTTACGGTCCAACGGCTGTTGTATATACCCTGGTTGTCTGTTTACCTTGACCATGCTGTATCTTCGAGTTGATGCCTCAGCGAGCGTTGTACATTGATTGTCACTATGCAGGGAGTATGAAGTAAAGCGTGATAGATCCTCTATTTGTCTCTTATCGTCAGTCTGAAACAGACACCACCCCGTTTGCTCCCGAGTGTATATCAAATCGGAATGGGGCCCGGAAGCTAGAGCTCTGTTCTCGAGCTACAGAATATCACATGCGGTCAGCCATCTTCACATGCCACATGCCAACACTCAATATCGCAATGTCGACAGTCAGTAGATATAACATTTGATATAATAGTCGGTTGCAGTCCAAGAATAAATCGTATCCTTGATATTGAATTGCTAAATGCGTCTGTAGAATGTGGTGTTGATTGTGGTGGTATTGATAGTAGTCGTCCTGATGGAAGGATGCTCCATCGGAACAAGTCGGACAAGAGCCTGAGGCAGCGACAGGCCGAAACGGAGCTGCAGGGTTCAGGCCTAGATCATCCTGACGTTGGACCGCGGCTTCAACGGCCAGGGAGATCTCGGGCATGCGGGAGGACTTCCTCGGTTGATCTATTTTGATCTCGAGATGATCCCGTCAGTCACGATTAGCCGTATTCAATAAATTAATCAGTGCACCGAAACGGCCGAGAAATTCATTCACTCATAATAGACTAAAGCGAGCAATTGATCCTGAATGCGTGATTATATAGTAATAGTATTAGCAGTGGATGATAATCGATCGGTCTGCGGCGGCCCCCGGGTGAGGGGAAGCGAAAGACACCTCAGGCAGGACGCGGGGAGTCGGCCGAAAGATCAATACACGCTAGTAAGATAACTGGTAATCTATATTTCCTGTCTGGGCTTAGTGCGAGAGATGTCCGCGGAAAAGTCATGTGATTTGCTCCGAAATAGTCAACTTCCGCTCATCCAGCCCTGGTTATGCACGATGACTGGCTGTGGTCCATCAGTGATAGGATGTTTTCCACAGTTTCCCTGAAGAACGCTTCCCCATATCATGAGAATAACTTACCGATTACAGCTGGATGACTGGAATGGAAATGGGTGACCTCCAAGGTCTCCGTTCTTCGCCCATGGTTGGTCCAAACTTCCAATGGGCCGCGGTTGTTCATCGTTCTGACGTAGTCTCCGTTCGTACTCCCGAAGGGACTATGCATGCGATCCTTCTATATATTGTCGTCTAGGCGCTACGCCGGGCTTTGATTCTTTCCTTCTTCTTCTTGAACTTTATTTGGGTGACTTTTCTTCATCCATCACATCATCCTAAGTCATTGATCATTAGCACAGACAATATCAACATGAGCCAAATGGAAGTACAGCTCAAGGATGTCGCCATCCTGGGCGCCGTGAACAACGAGCATCGCAAGATTCTCACCAAGGAAGCTTGCGCTTTCCTCGCCATCCTCCACCGCACCTTCAACCCTACCCGGAAAGCCCTCCTGCAGCGCCGTATCGATCGCCAGGCCGAGATCGACAAGGGTCATCTGCCTGACTTCCTCCCCGAGACTAAGCACATTCGTGAAAATGACGCCTGGAAGGGTGCTCCTCCCGCTCCCGGTCTGGTTGACCGTCGCGTGGAGATCACTGGTCCCACAGACCGCAAGATGGTCGTCAATGCTCTGAATGCGGACGTCTGGACTTATATGGCGGATTTCGAGGGTGAGTCGCTTGCATTTGGTTGCATTAAGACAGACTGACAGGCGTAGACTCGAGTGCCCCTACCTGGTCGAACATGATCAACGGCCAAGTCAACTTGTACGATGCTATCCGCCGTCAGGTCGACTTCAAGCAAGGAAACAAGGAGTACAAGCTCCGCACAGACCGCACCCTTCCCACCCTGATTGCTCGTGCTCGAGGCTGGCACCTTGACGAGAAGCACTTTACTGTTGACGGCGAGCCTATCTCCGGCAGCTTGTTCGACTTTGGTCTTTACTTCTTCCACAACGCCAAGGAGCTGGTTGCTCGCGGCCACGGTCCTTACTTCTACCTCCCCAAGATGGAGTCCCACCTCGAGGCCAGACTCTGGAATGACGTCTTCAACCTCGCTCAGGACTACATTGGCATGCCCCGGGGAACCATCCGTGCTACTGTTCTGATTGAGACCATCACTGCTGCGTTTGAGATGGATGAGGTGAGCCAAGGATACTCTGCAGCTAGCTTTGGTGCCGTGTACTAACATGTGCAGATTATCTATGAACTGCGTGACCACAGCTCCGGTCTCAACTGCGGCCGCTGGGATTACATCTTCTCCTTCATTAAGAAGTTCCGCAAGCACCCCAACTTTGTCCTTCCCGACCGCTCCGACGTCACCATGACCGTGCCATTCATGGACGCCTATGTGAAGCTGCTCATCAAGACTTGCCACCGCCGTGGTGTTCACGCTATGGTAAGTTTCGCTCTGCCTGATCAACCGACAAAAGCTGACAATCGCAGGGTGGTATGGCTGCTCAGATCCCTATCAAGGACAACGCCGCCGCCAACGACAAGGCCATGGAGAACGTGCGCGCCGACAAGCTGCGTGAGGTCCGTGCCGGCCACGACGGTACCTGGGTTGCTCACCCCGCTCTCGCCGCCATAGCCTCCGAGGTCTTCAACAAGTACATGCCTACCCCCAACCAGCTGTTCGTCCGCCGGGAGGACGTCAACATCACCGCCAACGATCTGCTCAACACCAATGTCCCTGGCAAGATCACCGAAGATGGTATCCGCAAGAATTTGAACATCGGTCTTTCCTACATGGAGGGCTGGCTCCGCGGTGTCGGCTGCATCCCGATCAACTACCTGATGGTATGGCGTTCACTTTTACTTTTATTTCATCCTTGCTAACTTAGAGTAGGAGGACGCCGCTACCGCCGAAGTTTCCCGGTCTCAGCTCTGGCAGTGGGTGCACCACCAGGTCACCAGCTCTGAGGGCAAGAAGATCGACAAGGCCTACGCTCTGCGTCTGCTCCAGGAGCAGGCCGACAGCCTGGCCGCCAAGTCACCCAAGGGCAACAAGTTCCAGCTGGCGGCCCGTTACTTTGCCGGTCAGGTGACGGGTGAGGACTATGCGGACTTCCTTACCAGTCTGCTGTACAATGAGATCTCGACCCCGGGTACTGCGTCGAAATTGTAGCCTGCGAACTGTGAGCGTGCTGGTGCCAGATTGATGATTGATGATTCCCCTGTACTGTACATTTAGCATCAATACATTGTCAGTAATCTTCATAATCTTCAAAGTTATCTTGTAGAATAGACAGAACTATTGGACATAGGCGAGACGCCTCTCTTTCTCCCCAGTGGATGAGTTTATCACATCTATACCTGGACCACAAGGATTTCCTCTTCAATGGTATTACTAGAGTGAGAAGCAGTATCTATTCTACGCGTGTGCTAAATAGGTGCAGCCTCACAAGCAGAAAGCAAATTCCACTTCACTAGCTATTGGACGTGATATCTACTCGTATCGATTCCAAGACAATAGACAACCAATTGACCATTGTTCATCTCCATAGATCACAAATCGAGATTCTTTGCATCACAATGCCATTGTGCATGTCTCGCTTCGTCTTTTCACCGATTTTATTTCTTTGTCCAGAGAACCTCGGGATGTTCCCTCGCCGGAGTCGACTCAGACAATGCCTTGACATGATGTCTCTCAATCCGTCGGTAGGCATTTCTTCACACAGCTTCTTACCCTATGTCTCCGATCCTCTTACTTCGTGTCTAGGACATCTATCTTCATCCTTCAAGTTAGATGTCTCTCTTCTCTACAAGACATCACCGTCTTGTCGCGATCTACCGAACTGATGTCTTATATCGACAGATTGTGTCTCATTTCTCTGCTCGCGATGGATATAAATTTCGTGGAAAGTCTGCTCAAAATGGACATTCTTCTCACCATCACCATTATCCTTTGGATACACTGCTCTTTACTCTTACTCTTCTCTGCTCTGCCTTGTTCGAAATACAGAACCTACAACTACTACAACAGCACATCCTCTACAACTCTCGTCCACACTCCTACTCCTTCACTCGAAGAAGAACCAGGGTAAGAAGGACAAGATGTCCCAAAGACCAACATCCTCCCATGACCCCTCCGCCCCGCACCTCATCCCAGTAGACGACTGCCTAACCTACGAAACAGGATACCGCCCAAACCTCCCCGGCCAACGCACCTGGTGGGTCTTCTGCCCTGTGACCGGGCTCTTCGGCAACAGCTACTCCCTCCTCGGCGCGATGATCGAGTGCGTCGCGCGCGGACAGGCCACGCTCGCGCCGAGCTGGGACCGTACCTTCGCGGGAGGCATCTGGTATGATTTCGATTGCGGGGCTGATGTTCTGGATGAGCAGGTGCTGATGGATATGGCGGTTAGTGATATGCAGAGGAGGATCGAGAGGTATATGTATGCGAATGATGGGCAGGTTGAGTGTAAGCCTGCGCTTGGGTTTCGGTAGGTATTGTCTGTGGTTGCTGACAGCTGCAGGTTGGTTGAGGGAGAGGGGAAGGGGTTGGGAGATTGATAGGTATGTTTCCTTTATTGTTGCAATTGGTTTGGTTGGTTGAAGCTGCTTGAGTTACTGTGGGTTACTGGTTTGATATTGCTGACTTGCTTGACTGCTATCGATGCGCTTCGATTATGGCAATGAATTGAGTTTTACCACGAATATCCCAATACTGAGATGCAATACGTAGGCTTGTAAATGTAGCGCATGATATGGCATCCTCAGTGAGGAAAGCATCCAGGTTTTGGATTGCAGAACCCAGTTGATGAAAGATATGTTGCGACATATATGTAAACGATACTTCTAGAAGTGTAGTTAATCTGAGAGGAACCATGTGAGCTCCAAAAGGTAATTAAGCAGTATCCATTGAATGAGACACAAACTCATGATACCATTATGCCACAGGATGCACATGATATTATTGCCTAAATGACATAACCTCTCCAACATGTCTAACATCAATTGAATTCCTGTCCTCAACGCTCAGAATTCACTCTTCTTCCTTCAGGTTTGTCATGACTGACCAATAAGTGGATACCTTCCTTACTCGAGACAATGCAGAGCAGCAGTCTGACATTAACAAATGTCAGAGAGATAGGGACAGTACAATCAACCCTGGTGGATGAACAACCCATCGAGAGCGAAAAACATCCGTTGTAGTTGCGAGGACGCCACATGAACCTCCTCTTTGTATTGCCTGTCGTAGATCTATATATTCCCAGAAGTAAAGAAGCGTGCTGGCAATTACACTTGAGCTGTTGGGAAGCTCCGTATATAAATAATAAATAGTATCAGCGAGATAAAGTTTATAGTATATACTGGGGTATACAAAATGCATGGTGCAGAATATCTACTACATCAAGGCAGACACGACTTTAGTAGCAAAGCTCAATCCAGAGATCTAGGCTACGCTTGCGGTGACGAGGTCTTACAACTCTTTCTTTCATATGCAGACAGGAGCAACGGTCATAGTCCAGTGAAGTTGACTCTATTCCAACGACCACCAGCACTTCCACTGCTTCCCGCCTGGGGTCAAGCTATGCTAGTCTAGCGTACACCAATTCACTCCACTCATGTACTCATGTCAGTATCCCAAATTTAGATATACTCCCAAGCGGCCGCCCGAGTATCATTCGAAGGCACCGCCAAAGCATTGAAACCAAGACATTCCGCACCGCTAGTATCTTTCGCAACAGAGGCATACACCTGCCAGTGCGTGGCGGTGCCATTGCTCTTGGGGCAAGCGACGAAGCCGTTGGCGCCCTGGCCCTTGTAGGCGAAGTGTCCGAATGGCGTGCCGGTGGTGTAGACGAAGGGACCGGTAGAGGAGCCGGGGGGGATGTAGCCCGAGTGAGCGGTGGTGAAGCGGAGGGCACCGCGGGGGTCGACGTAGATGCGCTGGCCGCCGGGGACGGCGACGTCCTGTGTTTGTTAGTATATGTCAAAACAGGTGAGGATAGGGAAGGACGTACCAAGGCGGTCGCGCTGTCGAACCGGGTGGTTGTGCCTGGGGGGCAGCCGCCGACCTTCTCGACGGACTCAGGGCAGAAGGTGGAGGGAGACTCGCCGAGCCAGAAGTTGCCGTGGGCAGCGTTCATGGGGAGCAAGTGGATGGGCGAGCCGGACCGAGTGGACATGACGGAGAATTTGGTGCTGTTGCTGGTGCGGTAGCTGTGGCTGTGGCCATTGTTGCGGACGGGGATGCTGACGGCAGAGGCCAGGGTGAGGAGCGAGAAAAGAGCTGGGATCTTCATTTTGCTTGTAGATGTAGATATACGTGTAGCTGTAGTTGTAGTGTAGCTGCTGAGAATGGGTGATAGATGGATATGAAGAGGGAGTGGTTTAAATACCTGCTGTGCCAGCACTAACTGATGAAAAACCAGATCTGATCAGCGACCCTTCATTTTCATCATCCCTTATCTATTTCTTTCACGAGAGACAAAGCCTTGCCCCATGTGGCATCTCGAGCGCCCATCTCCACTTGGCCCTGACGATCCCGGGTCGGTCTCCGTCTCGATTCCTACCGCTGGCTCCGATGGTTAATACCCTTGAAACAGAGGGACAGCTGATCATGTTACCTCGTTGCCGTACCCTTGTTCATTCTCTGACACGGCACTGATGATCAGGTTTCTTTGGCAGGGGATGCTGTACGGAAAAAGAAAAATTGATCCAGCAATGACATGCCCGATGATGCCGATGATCGACGGTTGCTCCACTCCGTGTCTCGGGTTGAGTACCTTTCTGGTCAAATCGAATAGCTTCACGTTCTGCTGCTCCTGTCATTGGCCAAGAGTCAGTAATAGCCCCTCAGGGTCCAGTCCATAGCCTGTTGCTGCCGAAAACTCTCGTGGAGCTGGAAGATTCGGCGCAGCCACTGATCCACTCTGGGCCACTCCGGGTGCTCATGGCAACAGAAGTCGGTCTGATTGCTTGGAATAAATTCTATATTTGTCGAATGATGCCTGCTGTGGCATTGCTTGGTCTATTATGTCCCACATCTATGTACAAGAATTAGTCTATACAACAAGGCAAATCAATACTCCCCCATCAATGGCAGATCGCGAGAACTGCGTCCCACCCAGATCTGGAATTTGCCCTCGGGCATCACCCAGTTTTGCTCGCGCGTGCTCCAGTAGCTCAGATCTTTCCGGCTGAGCGTCATCTGCACCTCGCGTCGCTCACTAGGCTCCAGCTCGATCTTGGTGAAGTTCCGCAGAACCCGCTCAGGAAACTCGATTTTCATCCGCTCCCTCTGTTTCTCCCCGGTCTTGTCTGCGTCAGAGTCCACCTCCACCCAGTCGCCCTCCTCGGTCACATCGGGCGGAAAGGATACATAGAGCTGGACAACTTCCTGTCCTTTCCGATCCCCGGTATTGCTCACCTGAAGCTTTACGCTTACCATCTCCTCGTATAGCGCGGGATGGCCACCTGCTCCGCCCCCGGCCGGCGAGGGACTTTGTGTCTCGTTGTAACCCTTGGGGTAGAATGAATAGTTGCGCGGCGCCGTCCCGTCAAGATTCGAAAGGTAGGGATAGATGTACTTGAAGATTGGCTGGAAACCAGTCGGGAATAAGGCCGATGCAGGATCCGGAAGGCTGGTATCGTACACGGGTGGAGCCACGGCGTCTGCAGGCCGTGGGGGTGGAGAACGCGATTTTCTCTGCAGCGGGCTGATGCTGAGATCCGACAGTTCAAATGTGGTATACGACAGCCCGAACCCGAATTCGAAGCGCGGCGTGATGTTATACCGGTCAAAATGCCGGTAATCGATGTACAGAGCGTCCAAAAAGTCTGCCTGCGGCACCGGTGCATTGGGCTCGTATAAGACCTGCGCGCCTGGCCCATAGTCCTCCAGACTCTTCCCAATTGTGTACGGCAACCGTCCACTGGCATCCACCTCGCCAAACAGCACGTCCATTAATGCATTCCCACTCTCCTGTCCGGGCAGGTTGGAAAGCAGGACGGCGTGCACGCCAGGGAGATCAATCCACGACTCCATCACGACCGGACCGACCGCGTGAATGACAATCACGGTCTTCCCCTGTCCGCCTCCGCAGTTGCTGGCCACGGTACGGACCAGGGTATCGCCTCCTTTCTGCAGAAAGAGATCGTTTCGGTCGCCGTGAATTCCGCCTGCGGAAATATAACCCTCCCCTGAGTCTGCATTCACAAAGACGAGGCACAAATCTTTGTCAACCGCGTCCGCTGGCATGACGGCGTTGCGCAGGTACGCGGTGCTCTCTATTTCCGTCGACCATGCAGATTCCAACGCCTCGATAGGGCTGACAAGGTACGGAAACTCCACGGTTCCACTGCCCCAGCCGGTAGCCAGGGTGCCCTGGTTGCATCCCCGGTCAGGGCAAGCATTTGGCCCCGACGCCGGTCCGGCGTCGTCACCATAGATACCAACGCGGAGAATGCCGCCGGATGGACTTGAGGCGTTGCGCGACAGCGGAAGTGTGCGATCTACGTTCTTCAGCAGCACTGTCCCTTCCGCCGCAACTTTTCTCGCAATGATGCTATGTGCCTCTGGTCCGGTGCCCTGGGCGTCAACGTAGTGGTTCACCACAGCATAAGACCCGTCGTTGCTTCCCGTATGTAGCCACCCCACCTTGTCGTTGGTCCATGAAGAAAAATTAGGGCCGCCGTTGCCTTCCGGCGGCGGACGTTCCCAGGTATCCTGCCCCAAATGATACCACGCAGCCACAATTCGAGTGACCATGTCGTTGAGTCGCTCCACGGGAACGGACGTGTTGAGCACTGCTCTTGTCAATTCACTGCCCCAGAGAGACTTGCCGTCCACCCAATGCAGACCGTCTCCCGGCATGCTCATGTCGAGGCCCCCAAGGACGCTGTTGATGCCAGACCGCTGGGCCAGCCAGTCGGACTGCACGAACCCTTGAAACCCCAGTTCATCCTTGAGGATCCCGTTCAAGAGTTTGCTATTTTCACAGGCGTGGCTGTTGTTCACCATTTGATAAGAGCACATCACGCTAGCCACGTCGGCTCGAATGCTCTCGGCAAACGGCCATGCAAAGACTTCGTGCAGGGCACGGTCGCCCACGTTGGACGATAAAGCGGTCGGAATCCCCCACTCAAAGGGCTGCCGGAAATGTTCCTGCTCATTCATCACAAAATGCTTCGCCGTCGCCATGACTCCATTGCTCTGAATACCCCGGATGGTTTCCGCTGCAGCCACAGCTTGAAGCACAGGGTCAGAGCCGAACCCTTCCCAGTTGCGCCCTCCCGCAGGCATCATTCCCAGGGGTCCCATCGACGGGCCCAGTAGGACATTCACACCTTTCAACCGAGCCTCTCGCCCCATGGCGACGCCGCGCTCGCGCATGAGCTCCCGGTTCCACGTAGACCCCGTTGTAATACCCGCCGGAAAGGCAGACACATGGTCCGCAAATCGTAATCCTTGAGGACCGTCCTGTAGACACAAGGAGGGGAATTTAACAATATCCGCCGGGCCTGAACAATCAGTATGAATCCGTAGTCACAGTCAACCTACGTACCAGTGTTTCCAACACACAGTCCCATCTGCCAGCCAATTCCAGTTGTGATATTGACCTTTTCGACGAGCGTCATATTCCGGACCAAGCTCTGCGCCTTCTTATAACTCTCCTCCCAATGCTTGAGCGTCCCTCCTTTTGGTGACGGAAACCACGAATCAGATGGTACCATCGGCTAGACAATCAACAATCAGCCCCCAGCCTCAGAAAAACGGATGGCACAGCACTCACCCAAACCTTCGGCTCCTCCCTATGCGACACCGCAAAGCTCAAAAACCCCCACACCACCACCGCCAACGTAACAATGACAGCGAGCAGCGTCCGCCACCAGATCCGAGCATACTTAACCGGCGGCCACGCCTGGAGCCTCGCGCGCCGCCGCTTCAGCCTATCCTTCAACTTGTATCTGAGTGTGGCCTCCTCATCGGAGTCGAGATCGTCCGAGTCATCGTCATCGAAGAGATCATACTGTTTCGACGCGGAGAGGAGCTCCTGCTCTGCTTCCGTGATGCTGTCGAGGTACGTCTCGACGCCGCCATCGTCGCGGATGACGGGGATGAATGCGGAAGAATGGTGGGAGCCGTAGCGGTCGACCGGGCGAAGCTGGTAGGAGCCTGAGTTCTCGTGGTCGGAGTCCGAGTCAGTGTCGGCATCGGCATATTCGGAGGGGGAGCGGAAGGAGGAGATTTCTTCGGGGATGGCTTCGTGGAGGGGTGCGTAGCGTTGTTTTCCCTTGGATGTTGAGCTCCGGTCGTTGGTTTTGAGGTGGTCCCTGAAGCTTCCGCCGTGGGTGGAATCAGGGGGAGCCATGCCGGGTTAGGGTAGGGATGGCATTGATTAGAGAGATGTCTTTACAGACTGAGAAAAAGGAGAGAGACCGAAAATGCACGATAGACAAGTAAAAGACAGCTCGCTTTCGATGGAGGAAATGACAGAGCCGACGCGGTGGAACGGGGAGACAGCTATTCGGCCAATCAGAGAAGAGCTGTATCTCCTGTATTGGAGATTACGCACTGCTGGCGATCGTTTGCACTCGATTGCAAATGCCGTGCTTTTGATATGTAGGAGAAACAGTGCGAAAGATTATGATTGTCATGAAAAATAGATAGCTGACGTGCTGAGTGCTGGGAACTTGACGGATTGCCTAATATGGCATAACAATGACAAGGTATTGGATCCCTACTGCAGCACCAGAAATGCTCAGCTTTAATAGTCAGGGGAAATAGCCAAATATTACGAGAAGAATGGTTTGCTTTATATAAGCCACCTTAGACAGTCCAGAGAAGGATATATTGGTGAAGTGTCAGGTATTTGAACATATTTCTATCTACACGCTCATCCGCGGCAAAGACACTCAAAGATGTCTTGCTGTAAAAACTAACTTATGAACGCGAGACGAGCGAGACAGCATCATTTCATGCGGTTTATGTACGAGCTATGCAGTAAAGGGATAGAAACAGATGATGAACGTAGGCAAGAAGTCATGTTCTCTATGTACTAACATGTATTATTCCAAACATAATAACACCAGACCGTCTATAGCAAGATATGCCCAGTTGAATCATAACGCTCATATGCAGTAAAAGATGCACTTTTGGAAGGAAAAGCAAAAGCTCTATTCGGCTTCGTCGTCGGTGTCGGGGGGCTTGGGAGTACCCTTGGGAGATTGCAACCTATGGAGAGTTAGCAGTCTGCAGAAAGTCAAAAGTCAAAAGGAAAGGAGGAACATACCACTCGAGGTGACGCAATCTACGGCGCGCCTCGCGCTCCTTCAGTTGAGCACGAGTCATCTTCTTCTTCTTCCTGGCCTTGAACTTCAGTTCGCCTTGATCTTCGGCGCCAGAGTTGACGGCCGAGGGAGCGGCGCTGGTAGCAGCCGAGTTGGCGACGGTGCTGCCGGGCTGAGGAGAACTGGCGGCGCTGTCCTCGAAGCGGTCGAGAGCGACGGCGTTGTTGGTGCGAGCGACGATGCGACCATCGGCGATGTGCAACTGCTCGGGGCACAGGGCACCCACGAACTCTTCGTTGTGGGAAATCATGACGACACCTCCCTTGAAGTCACGGATGGCCACCGCCAGACCACCGAGAGAGTCACGGTCCAAGAAATTGGTCGGCTCGTCCAGCACCAGCAAGTGCGGGTTGTTCCACATGGCACCGGCCAAGACAACCTTGACCTTTTGACCACCGGAGAGACCGGAGATCTGGTTGTGGTTGGCAATCTCGGGGTCCAGACCGATATCCTCAAAGTGTTTCGAGATCGTCTTGGGTTCAAGGACTCGGAAACCGAGACCCTCACGGGAGGCTTCATGATCGTCAAACTCCTGGACCAGCTTGAAGAAGCCAAGCTCGACCAAGGTCTCACGCGAGATCATGGTATTGTGCTTGGGAAGAAGGCCGACCCACTTGATTTCGTACTGGAACGTCTTCTTCCACTTCTGACGACCCATGATGGCTTCGATGCGGCGAGGGCCCCGGCCATCTCCGAGGTCGACCGGCTTCTCCATCTGCGCCTTGTCCTGCTCCGTCAGAATTCGGGTCTGCTTGAGGAAGACTTCGCGGTCGTCTCCGTTGGCGTAACGCCATTGCAGGTACTGGCTGGGAGTCTTCTCGAGATGCATTTCAACGTGCTCCAGAGCGTGCTGCTTGATGTATCCGATACGAAGGTTGGGGTGCTTCTCAACCTTTCCTGTCTGGGGGATCGTCTCACCCGTCAACATCTTGATGAAAGTCGATTTACCAGCACCGTTGCCACCAATGATGGCGACGCGAGACGACAGTGACAGCGAGAGGGAGGCGTCAACCAGAGACGGCTTGCTAGCGCCGGGGTAGGTATAAGAGCAGTTGGTCATACGGAGGATGGAGCGGGTGTTGGACTTGATGCCGGAAAGGATACCGGGGGGAGGGAACTTGAATTGCACCATGCTGGAGGACAGGGTGTAGTAGCTCTTGGCTTCGGGCTTCTGCTTGACAAAAGCGGCCAGGTTGCCCTTGTAGTGGACCAGCTTCTTTCCTTCGTAGTGGTAGATGTCGGTGCAGACCTCGTCCAAGAATCCGGAGTCGTGACTGACAATAAGACTGGTGATGTCAGTGTGCTTCTTCAGATACTCCTGCAACCACTTGACGTTGGCAACATCGAGATGGTTAGTAGGTTCGTCCAGAAGCAACACATCGGCCTTCATGAGCATAGCACGGGCCAAAGCCAGCTTCATCTTCCAACCACCAGAGAGGGACCCAACACGCTGGTTCTGTCTTCCCTCGGGGCCATCGGTAAAGCCGAATTCCAGGAGGACACGGCTAATGTGCTCTTGTCCGGCTTCGGCAATCTTGGGGTCCTTGGACACATATTCGATGATGCTCAGATCGGCGTCTTCGCCCTGATTGTGCTCGACGAAGCACGTGCGGACAACATCCTGGGGAGGGAACCCCTCGAGCTTCTCATTGGCAATACTGCGCATGAGGGTAGACTTGCCGGCACCGTTCCGACCACAGAGACCGTAGCGGTGGCCCTTGAGAAGACGAAGGTTCGTGTGAGAAAGGAGAAGCATTCCTCCGTAAGCGAGGGAGAAGTTGGCGTTGACAATCTCAACCTCGTTGGGGTCATCAGGAACGGGCTTGCCGAACTTGCGGTGGTCTTCCTCGATGAAGTGCTCCTGGACGGCCGAAGCGACAGCCTCGTGCTTGTCATCCTGGAGGAATCCACGAAGATAAGGGCCAACACAGGCAGGAATGCGATCGTGCATTCTGGCGTTGACATCCTCGCGCACCATCTCAGCGATGTAGCTCTTGCCGAGCTCGAAGAGGGTGTGCTCGCTGGGCACTGCAAGGCCACCGTTCTCCTTGATCTTGGCCTCGAGCACAGCGAGAACATCTTCAGCCGTTGTCTTCGCCACGGAGCCGGCCGCCAGGCTGCTGTCACCCATAGCTTTGTCGATGACATTCATGGCGCGGGTCGCGAGTTCTCTGACTTCTGGCAGCGAGGCGCGATCCTTGACCGCCTGAACACCGGGCTTGAGTTTGGGCAAAAAGGTGCGTGCTTCCGCCGGGTCATGGACCAATTTGGTCAAGTTCTCCACAACCACCACAGTGCGGCGCAGGGTCTCCTGGGGCGTCGTGGGGGCATTCAGGGAACGTTCGAGCAGAGGGGTCAAGAGGGCGAGGACGGGCGAGGTGACGATGGCGACAAAGGTAGTCTGAGACAGGGCGTGGATAGCGTTTTGCAAAGTCTGTTCGGAAGGCTGCTCCATGGTCTTGATAAGCAGGGGAATGCGAGGAGCGACATCGTCGTTGTCCAGCAGGGTGGTGAGCGCAGTCATGGTCTTGCTGGCCTGCTTGGCCACTTCGTTCTTGAGATCGTGCATCCCAGACTCAACCAGGGGAATCAGCTCCTTGAGAGTCTTGCCCATGGCGCTGCGCAGAAGATCCTTCTGGCGCTCTTCCTCCATGGTTCCCGTACCAATCTGTGCCTTGACGGCCATCTTTTCCAACAAGGCATACGCACCGACGAAGCCCTGCCATTTACCGGAGCTCTTGTTGAGATAGGCCGAGAGAGCGGGAATGAGAGCGTTGACCAACGACTCTGGTTTCAAGCAATCGAAGAGCGCGTCGATGGCGTACTGAGCCGCATCACGCACGACGGCGCCCTTGTCAGCCAGAGCATCGAGGGCAAGATTCAAGACACCACCATCCTGAAGAAGGAAGACGACTTCGCTGAGGGCGTGCTCGCGAGGAAAGCGCTCGAACAGGGCACCAATGATCAACATGGCACTCTCACGTCGGGCACCGCTCTTCTTATCGGTGGCAGCCTTTTTGATCTCCGGGAGGATGTTGTATCTTTGAAGACCAAACGTTCCGACGCTCTGGATGAGAAGGTTGGTCAGCCCGTAGGCAGCATCTAGAGACTGTTGCGAGGTCTCAGCCGTGAAGATTGTGTTCGTAAGCGATGAAACCTCCTCGACGGTGGGAGGGACTCCCGAGGGAGTTTTCGAGACGGCGACAGGTGCGGACATCTCGGAGTGAGGCATTATCATGAGTCTTAAGGAGGAGAGTGGAGAGTGTCAAAAAAGAGTGCTTCTGAGTCTGTTGAAGCAGGCCGACAGGATTATGTTCGTTCGAGACGACGGCGGGGAACGAACTATTAGGGGAGGGTATATAAGACGATTGAGCTGGTGGACGAAATTAAACGTCCTTCCCCCGAGGACAGATCGTCTAAGAAAAAGACAAAGTCTAGGGTATATGAGAAGAAGAAAGAAAACAACAACAAGAAGAGAAACAAAAGACTTGAAAAGTCAAGGCTGACGCTGGATGATGGAGGGGTCTCCACTATCTCGCTTTATCAACAAGAAAAAAATTCGTCCCAGCATTCGAAAATTTCTGCCTGAGGCGATTCAGGGGGTAATGGCCAATCAGAGCTCACCGCCAGCACATGCGGACGGTGATTTGCTCATTGGATCATGTGGCGTGTGGCTGGGGGTTTCTGCGCCACAATGAGGCTGAGTGGCAAGTTGGTGCCTGACATGGGCCTAAATGCCTCAGGCATAAACTACCCCGGTCTTGGCCTTTCCTAATCGGGACTCCCCGCATGGCAACAGTACAGAGTAGTCAGTAATGTCGCTGACAGTATACGTGTAGGGGGGAATTACAATTTGTATCGCTTGTTTATGTTGACAGCCCTTCTTCTAGCAGTCCATCTCAGAATAGATCCGAACGTGGTAGAGTCAGTAAACATGGAGTGATTGAGTACTCCTATCCCTACCCCAGACCCACGAATACCCGAACCCCTCATGTGATAACCGACTGTTGTATGAACTGCCTCTGTATGTCAACAACAAAATGGATAAACCGTCGAGAATCTTGTGAATAGATCTTCGTCGAAATTATCCCAAGAACAATTACTTCGTCAGCATCCTTGAATCAACCGCTGGACCGAACATCGGGCATGCAACACCGGTAATGCCATTGTCTTGTCCATTGCTGATCCGCCGACCGCAACTCCGCATGCAGCCGCTCGTTGCCTCGGTTTTGACTGACTTCCCCCTGCCGTCTGCTGTCTGTCCACTGCCTAGCTCCGCGGTCAACCGGAGGTGCCGAGCTGTGCTCTTTTCCTCCTTGTTTCGCTGAGGTTTATCTTTTGCTCTCGTCTCTCGTTGTTTGTCCCCCGCATCTTTTTCCCAGACCATCCCTTGATAGCATCCCATCACAATGGCCATGACAATGAGATCAACACGCCATGCATCCAAGCTGGCTCAGGTGAGCATCCAACCTGTCAACAGTCGCATGCAGAAACTCATCCCGTCATCCCCTCTAGACTGCCCGCTTGGCTCTCAACAATTCCCGCAGATACTCGACGGCCGAACCAGATCTCAAGACCGCTCTGAAGGCGGTAATTCCCGCCAAACGCGAGCTGTTCAAGCAGGTCAAGGAACGTAGCGATGAGGTGATTGGTGAGGTCAAGGTCGCCAACGTTATTGGCGGCATGCGCGGTCTCAAATCCATGCTCTGGGAGGGTTCAGTGCTGGATCCTGAAGAAGGTATCCGATTCCACGGCAAGACCATCAAGGACTGCCAAAAGGAACTCCCCAAGGGCACATCAGGCACCGAGATGCTCCCCGAGGCCATGTTCTGGCTGCTCTTGACGGGCCAGGTCCCCTCGACCAACCAGGTCCGCGCGTTCTCGCGAGAGCTGGCCGAGCAGTCCCACCTGCCACAGCACATTTTGGACCTGATCAAGTCCTTCCCCCGGTCCATGCATCCCATGACCCAGCTGTCCATTGCCGTGGCGGCCCTCAACACCGAGTCCAAGTTCGCCAAGGCCTACGAGAAGGGCCTCAACAAGGCCGACTACTGGGAGCCCACCTTTGACGACAGCATCTCGCTGCTGGCCAAGATCCCGCGGGTCGCGGCACTGGTCTTCCGCCCGGACGAGGTGGACCAGGTCGGCACCCAGGCCCTGAACGCCAGCCAGGACTGGTCGTACAACTTCGCCGAGCTCCTGGGCAAGGGCGGCAAGGAGAACCAGGACTTCCACGACCTGCTGCGTCTGTACCTGGCGCTTCATGGCGACCACGAGGGAGGCAACGTCTCCGCGCACGCCACCCACCTGGTCGGCAGCGCGCTCAGCGACCCTTTCCTCAGCTACAGTGCAGGTCTGCTGGGCCTCGCTGGCCCGCTGCACGGTCTCGCCGCGCAGGAGGTCCTGCGCTGGATCCTGGCCATGCAGGACAAGATCGGCACCAAGTTTACTGATGATGACGTGCGCAACTACCTTTGGGATACGCTCAAGTCGGGTCGTGTGGTGCCCGGGTACGGCCACGGCGTCCTGCGCAAGCCCGACCCGCGCTTCCAGGCGCTCATGGACTTTGCCGCGACCCGGTCGGACGTCCTGGCCAACCCTGTGTTCCAGCTCGTCAAGAAGAACTCGGAGATTGCGCCTGCGGTGTTGACTGAACACGGAAAGGTATGCACCTTTTTCCGGGAGATTACTTTCAATGCGATGTACTGACCTGACGATAGACGAAGAACCCCCACCCGAATGTGGACGCCGCCTCCGGAGTCCTCTTCTACCACTACGGCTTCCAGCAGCCTCTATACTACACCGTCACCTTTGGCGTCAGCCGTGCCTTGGGACCCTTGGTGCAGCTCATCTGGGACCGGGCCTTGGGCTTACCCATCGAGCGACCCAAGAGTATCAACCTGCTGGGGTTGAAGAAGTGATTCTCACGGAATGACTGACGATCGTATTGCCTGTGATATCAATGTTGTATTTCATTTTCTTTCGTAGCATTAGATGTAGATCAATGATAGATTACCGTCATTAGCTGAACAAAAGTGTAGTTCTATACTTGTATACATGGGGTATCAAAAACACATCAATCACTAGTCCACCCGCACCCCTTCACACTATGACTCTCAACCCTCACCTCCGTCATCGTATGGATCCCCGTCTCACTCATCCCCTTCAACTCCGCCAGCGTCGTCTCACTCTCGCTCCGTTGGCCCCGCGGATGCGAATTTGCCTTCGGATTCATATGCGCACACGGCGCAAGTATCCTCTCCTCCGAGTCCCCGTCCGAGGAGACCTTATCCCGTTCCCGCTCCCGCTCTACGGCTGTCGACATGATTGTCGTCGTGGCGGGGATACTACTATCGAAAGGACGGGAGCCGGAGCCATGGATATACCCGGTGGGGCGATTCGAGGGGGAGGTCAGGCGGTAGGATTGCGATCGGTAGCCGTCCGGGTGGCGGCGGCGGTGGGTGGAGGTTAGATGGAGCGAATGGAAGAGGGGGCCGTAGGTTGGGATGCAGGAGATTATTACCTGCCGTCAGTAAGTTAGCGAGCTGGCGAGCGACAGGAGCGTAGCGAGCGATGACTGAAGCGCAGCGAGCGATGGGTGGAGCGGGGAAGGGAAGGGTGCTTACGCCAAGACTAATTTCAATGACAGACCAAAGGACGATAGGCTGGCTATCTGTGTACGTTTTGAGGTTCTTGATTGTAAAAATGCGGATGATTTGGATGATGGTGACGAAGAAGCCGAGGGCGAAGACGGCGACGAGGGCGGCTTTTTGGCGGCGCTGGAGGCGGAGGGTTATCAGGACGGGGAGGGGGAGGGCGATGATGATGCAGTCGAAGGCGAGACTTGTTCCTAGTCTTGTTAGTGCTGCACTTGCGCTGGTTACTGCTGAAAGTCATACCTGCGAGTGCTGTATGCTGTTAGTTTGGCACGGCAGCACCTAACGGGGACATACCGTAGTAAGATGCAACGGTATCGATGCAGCTGCCTTGAATAGACATATCCCACTGCCTAGCTATCGGGCGACAGGCAAAACACAACACAAACGTAAAAGCCAACTGGTTACAGACACAAGCGACGATGACGGCGATGATGACGATGCGGTAGGCCTTGACGAACCCGCCGATGCGGAGATACGAGGCCAACAGTGAGACTTTGAAGCCTAGTAGGGCCAGCGTGTAGACCGGGCCGCCAACATATTGGACCTGCTTTGGTCAATACTGATTTCCAGTCAAGGTCAGAGGTCAGGCAACGGACCCTGCTGAACGGCACGACATTTTCTTTGGGAAAGTATTTGGCATTTAGTCCAAGACCCCATCGCGATTCTACGCCAGTTAGCATCTCATCCTTGCAACTCCAGTGTTGCAGAGACTCACGCGCAATGGCTATCGCGCCATAGGCGATGGCCAGAATAGAACTGAACAGCGCGGCATAATCATCGACCCATCCGGCGCGCTTGGTGTGGATGCGCACATATAATCGCAAGAGAACAGCGAGAAAGGCGACAATGGGGAAGACCAGGCAGATGGCAATGACACGGGGGACCTGGCTGTGAGGGTCGGGGGTTTTGAGATTGTACACCCAACCCATGCTTGCTAGGGAGGAATCATTTCACCCGACGGTATGAAGATATGAAGCTGTCGACTTGTAGACTGCAATAGACGTGCATGAGTTGGATATGACTATTATCTTTACTCGGATACTTATTCAGGTGCAATTAAGTTTGTGGGATTTAGATCGATATTCGACTGAGGATATCCACTGAATCTGGACAGAACTCCACCTGAGACTATGGTTCTCTGACTATGATTATCTCCTGCTGGACTGGGAATAGAACTTACTAATAGTGAGGAAGATCGGCACACGGTCAAGGAACACACAAGTAAAACATGGAGTGGAACAATGGAAGACGAGCCTTTCCCGGACACTCTCCGATGAATCATCTCCACTCGACTTGGCAAATAGACCGAAAGACCAAGACTGTCTCAGTTACGGACGGGGAGTACAGACCACGGAGTACTCCGTACAGTAGTCCGTCAGTTGATTTCTTTTCCCACAATGGTCCCTTGTCTATGCACATGTATCCTGCACAATCATGTTATAGTAGCATAAGTGGAGAACGAGAACTGCTGATCTTCTACCCCAAACTGATGAAATATAGTTCATGTTATCTTGGCCTGCAATCTTGGTCTGTTCCAGAGATGTGTAGACATCCATACTACCTTAGGACCTTATTATTGCAGTAGGAGTAACTAAGCAGTGCATGTAGCAGGGACTAGGCACTAGACCGAATAGGCAGCTCGCTTGAGAACAACACAAAAACAAAACCAAAAACACCCGGAATCGCGGAAACGCAAAAAAGGCAAGTGATTCATTTATTAAGCTTCCGCCACCGGGAACATCCCTGCTCTGGCCCCCAAACTAGGCCCAACTAGTCTCTTGTTCAGTGTTCATTGGGCCATTGATCCCGCGGTGGATTGCAGGATTTTATGGTAGCTGGCCAGTAAGAAGCACACCTGGTGGTGGAGGAGAGGGACTTGTCCAGGTTCCCCTGCTATCTACTCATGCCTTAATATCGGTAGATGATGGTACGTTTCAGCTTGATGAATGCAACTGCAAGCATTATGAATCATTGATCCTATTATCATGCAGAGTGAAAGTATCCGGTTACCTTTGTCTTAGATTAGCTCAATCTGAATCACCTGATCAAGTGAATCAAGTGAGAACTCTTCTCTAAGCGAGCTAATAGTCTTCTAATAATAATAGGTAGGCTAGTGACACACCAAATCCCAATCACGTTACTCGCGTTACTTGTATGCTGAATAGTCAAGGTGGAGGTATATCTACTAACATATATACACCGTTCGACTGCCGTACTGGCTATGGCTTGGCCTTGCACAAGTGTCCATCCGATGTGACAGTCCACTCGTTCGATCCCACAGCTGTAGTCCCATACAACATGCTATTCGGATCATACTTCGCCTTGATAGCCCGCAGTTTCTGGTAATTTTTACCATAAAACGCCGTCTGGAAGTTCGGCTGCCGGAAATCCGCCTCGTTGAGATACGCCCCTGACTGCGGCGCCAACGCCTCCAGCCGGGGAATGTACTCGTCCGTCATCTTGTGCTGCAGCGCGATCATGTCGGCCGTCGGAGCGGTCCAGTTCCAGGGCGTCGTGATGACGGTGTCGATCAGCGTGTCGCGCCAGGCGGGCAGTACCGCGTTGTAGACGTCGCCGGTAACCGCGGTCGAAACGTTGACTCCCACGCCGATGAAGGTGGCGCCGTCGGACGTGATGGCTCGGTACGCGGCGGTGAGGTCGGCGTTGTTGTTCTGCACGACGGACCGTGGAATGAGCCAGCCACCATACTGCGCGATGCCAACCTCGATAGGGCTCTGCATTGCCTCGAACTCCGCCAGGTAGCTGTCGAACTGCGCCGCGTACGTGGTATACTTGATTCCCAGCTTGGTCAGTCCATCGGTGAACGGCTTGACCAGCTCCTGCAGCTTGGCTACAGGGATATTCGGCCCCGTCAGCGGCGAGATGGAGAAGCTGGTGTTGGTAAAATACCAGACACTCATGGCGCCGGCGTCGACGATCGCCGGCAGCGTCGAATGGTACAGCGCAACCGCCTCGTAAAACGTATCCTGCGAGATGCCAGCATTGGTAAACGTCAGGTTCAGCCCCGACACCGGCGTCCCCGCGTGCGCCTTGGACGTCATCGACCAGACCACCCCGTAGGTGCCGCCGCCGCCGCCGCTCAGCGCCCAGTACAGATCCGCGTACTCGTTGTCGCGGTTGGCCACGATGAAGTTGCCCTGTCCGTCAATCACCTCCCACTCGAGGACCTGGTCGGCCGCCAGTCCGTGCCGCGACGCCAGCGCAGAGTGCCCGCCGCCTTGGGTATAGCCGCCGGCCAGACCGACGGTCGGACACTCGCCGCCGACGACCTCGAGCCCCTTCGCGTCGGCGGCCCGGTACGCCTCGATGCCTTGCACGCCGGCGCCCAGCTTGATCGCCTTGCCCTTGTAGTGCGTGTCGGACCAGTCCTTGATCTCGATGTCCTTGAGGTGGTGCGTCCAGATCCCCAGGGCGCCGGCCCCGGTCGACTTGCCGTTGTAGTCGTGGCCGGTGTTGCGGACAACCACGCGGATGTTGTGTTTCGTGGCGAACTGCATCGCCTTGCCGACGTGCTCAGGTTTGCTCACGTTGACCGCGTAGACAACGTAGTTGCCCAGCGTGCAGGGCTTGGAGACGGGGTGGAACGGGTCGCAGGTGCCATTGGTGAAGAAGGGGGCCATGATCGACGAGGACGATTCATAGCTGCTTTATCAGCTCCAGATCACAAAGAAAAAGAGGGCATTACGTACTGCAACTCAGGAAGCTGCCATTGTGCCTTTAGAGCATCGCATGTGGCAGCATCATAGTTGGGCGCATGGCAGGGAGTGCCTAGTGGAACTGTAGCAACCAGTCGGCCGTCAATCGTCTGGTTGAAAGCGGACCAGACCTGAGGGGAAGGCCAGCATGCTTCTCCAGGGAAGCATCGACAGTTTGTTTGGGAGGTGTTGGAGGCAGATGCCGTAGAAGACAAAGCCAGCAGGCCGGTCAGAATCGACCAGCCGGTGTTCGTAGTAGGGAACATTTTGATCACTGTTCACCCATGGAATCAGTTGACGTCTCGACGAGGAGGGACGACAGACGAGGGACCTCTTCATTTATTAGTCCATTCCCTCAGCATCCGTCTGTGGCATCCGACGCTAGAAGCCACCGCGTGGGCTGGACAGGAGTTAATCCGATACTAATTCCTTAGTCGGTGGAGATTCTTAATACTAGACTAATCAGTCGAAATTGTTCGTTCAATATACTTGAGGGATTTTGTCTTGCTGATGGCTTCCCATTATTATTAATTGTCAACTATCCTCGGCATCTCATTCCATGCGAAGGAATATGCATATTCATCCCTTGATGCACAGCTACCCAATCCACTATTTATCTTCATAACACAATGTATCTGATACTATTTCTGCATACTTCTATCCAGGTCCAGACCTACAAACGAGCACCTCCCACCAGCGTCTCCCACTCCTTCTTCCCAAACTCAACATATCCATCTGCCCCCGGCGGAAGCCAATAAAACTTATCGTCCCGCCCCTCAGGCACCTTACTCCCAATCTTAGCCGGGTCGACCCCCTCCTCGCGCAAGGGCACCTTGTTCTGCTTGTGGTTGTGGATATGCGCCGACGTCTCCACGATCCGCAGAAACACCGGAACAGCGTACCGGGGCAGTCTTGCGCGCGCAAACGCAGCCAGACCGCGAAAGTCGAATGCCTCTCGCGACTCCGAGCTGAGCTGGAGCGCTGCGCAGCCGGCGCGGCCTTCGTGGTTGGGGACCAGGACGCCGTAGACGTTGGCTTCTTGGATGCCGGGGTATCGACCTAGGATTTCGGCCACTTCGGCGGTTGCACTGCGTCCATTAGTATTTGACTTACTTTAACTTCTGAGGGGTGGAAGAGTTAGCTTACACGTTCTCGGATTTCCATCGAAAGGTATCGCCTAGCCGATCGAGAAAGTACCACCGGCCGTCGCTCTGGCGGCGTAGCGCATCGCCGGAGCGGTACCACAGATCCCCCTTTTTGAAGACGTTGCGCAGGAATTTCTTGGACGTGGCGCTTTCATTGCGCCAGTAGCCTTGGAATGCTTGCTCGTTTGGAACATTGACGAGGATCTCGCCGCCTTTGTCGTATGGGGCCCGGATCGCAAACCCCGTCTTGGGGTCACGCAGGACATCGCCGGTCGTGGGATCGATCGCCACAGGCACGAACGTGTTATGCATAATGGCTCGCATGAGCAGTCCGTGGTGACCGACACTCCCCGCCGTAAATGGGCCCTTGTTGAGATTGAACAGCCCGAAAATCCCCTCGGTGCTGTTGAAGAACTCGGCCACGGCACTGATCCCGAACCTTTCCCGGAATTTCTCCCAGATGTCCGGTCGCAGTCCGTTGCCATACATGCAGCGAACGTTGTGGTTGCGGTCGTCCGGCGAGGGCGGTGCGGCCAGCAGGTACCGTGCAACTTCGCCGACGTACACAAAGATCGTGGCGTGGGAGTCTCGGATATCGCGCCAGAAGTTGCGCACGCTAAATTTCTTGCCTAGGGCAATGCTGACGCCTGTGGTGAGGCAGACCATCATGGCGACGGCCGATGTGCCGTGGTACAAGGGCATGCAGCTGTACCAGATGTCCCCGCCGGGACCGTCGGTGTCCTCCATCGATCCGCGACGCAGAGCGAGCGTGCTGTACAGTCGTGCCATGGTGAATGCGCAGCCTTTGGGCATGCCGGTGGTGCCAGAGGTGTACAGTAGGATGGCCGGATCCGCGCCCGACATGTTCTGTGCGAACTCCTTGGGTGGCTTGGTAGTGGGAAAGCTGGATACTTGCGAGGCGAACGAGTGGTCCAGGTAGGTAAGTTCCATGCCGAGTTGGCCTTCGATAGCTGCTCTGCTATCTTCGATGCGCGCGCGACATGCTTCATCGTCATCCACCAGAACAAGCTTGGCTCCGCTGATCTTGAGACAATGCACCAATGCATCCCCGGTAAGACTGTAGTTGATCGCAGCGGGGGCACATCCAATACTGCAGAGAGCAAGCCACGCGATCATAAATTCGGCCCGGTTCTGCAGGTAAAAGGCCACCAGGTCCCCTTGCTTGACACCTTTGGCCAGAAAGTAGTGCGCATATTGGCAGGCAAGGTTCTGGACGTCCCGGTAGGTATAGATTCCCTCCCGTGTCCACATGCACACCATATCCGGATACTTCTTTGCTGTTTCCAGGAATACAAACCAGACATTTCCAAGACCCTTGGCGGCTTTTCTCGTCAGCGTGATTTCAGTGTACGAGGGAGGGCACCATACCAGCTTGTTCAAAGGAACGAGTACTTTTCCATGCGATGTACAGAGTCGAGATGTCTTTGGTGACGTGGAACTTGGCGTTCAGATACGCCGCCAGCGTAGCACCTCCTGCTACTGCGGCTGCTGCGACGCCTACAGTATTCGATTAGCGACGCTCTGGATGTCAAGACATGGAGACGTACCTAGACTCATTGTGCGGATAGTGATAGACGTAAACCCAGTGATCGGTCGTTGTAAACGTTATCAAAGCAAGAAATAGTAAACCAAAAAGCAAGCAGTGAATGTTGTCTAATAATTGAGACAACTATTGCCGTTGCCGAGTTGTTGGTCTATTCCTCGGTTCATCATCAACTTCTCCGCATCTGGAATTTACCGTAACTGTCGGTCTCGCGAGGCGGTCTTACTGGTTCGGCACTGACAGACACATAACATACTAGGCCGGTAAGGGATGATAATCATCCATCTCATTGGTGATTATTCTTTGGCAAAAGAATTCAGCCAGTCTTGTCTGAAGAACGAGAATGCGGGGAAGTGAGCTCCACCAGCAACTGGTCATTCATTATGATAAATCATATTCCATCAACCATTCACTCATACACCACTCTTCAGTATCATTCTTCAAGAGCTGCCTGCAGGACCAGGACCAGCAACACCATCACCAGCAGCAGCACCACCCTGCTTCTTCTTTTTAATCGCCTTCTTCCGCCGCTTCGTCGGATGCGCAGTGGTATTCGCGGCAGCAACAGTAGCAAGAGCAGCAGCAATGGTATCGTACATCCTCTGAAAGTTCTCGTTATCAAAGTACTCGTACTCCTCGTCGTCGTATTCTTCATACTCTCTCCTCTTGCGCTTTCTGCCTCTGTTCTTTCGCTCGCCTATCTCGTGACGAGCGGCTGCATCCCAGCGTTGTCTGAACGGGAAGGGAGGAGCAGAGAGATGGACGCCACGAAACACGCACTCAGTCGCTTCGATGGCCAGCTTGCTTTTCCAGTTTATCTTGCCATCGCTGTCGCTGTCGCTTGCGTCGACGGGGGCTTGCTCGGCTGGGATCTCGGCGGTAGGAGCGGGGGTCACGACGTCGAGTAGAGGAGAGGTCTGGTCGGGCTGCTATATCATCATGCATCAGTACCATCAGTATTCTGACCGTAGACTATGCAGACGGATTGAGATGACTCGCCTGCGCGTAAGTGACGACCAAGTCCGAGATCGCGTGTAGCGTCTGGCAGCTCTCGGCACCAGGACAGGTCGGTTTGTAGCACGAGCTACAGGACTATCTTCTTCAGTAGTATCCTGTGCATTGTAAATTGTACTTACAGCCATGCTTTCAGTTGAGACAACAACCAGAGCGGATTTGGTGTTGTTGTGATGGTGTTGTGATGATGGAGTCTGGATCGAGCAAGAAGTAGCAGGAGGTGACTCAGTATACAGACCCGTTGTCTACCTCGCGTTCGCAGCCTACATGGATGATATAGGCATTGAAATTGTTGTGAATCAGCTAGTCGATATTGAAATAATATTATGCTACGTTGGTAACTACGCCTGAACTCTATCCCAACAGCATCTTGCATATCAGGTCCATTCTGTCCTGAGCCACCACAGACATAAACACTATCTTTGGACCTGTCTGACTGGCTCGCAGACTGTCATCATATCTGTCGTTTCCAAGGAACCAACCAGTCTGAGCTATAAAAGCAGTTCTGGAAGAAAGGCGCCTGCAGCAACTTCATTAGGGTAGTTCCCTACCCCTTCTTGTAACTACCATCAAGCTAGCAGACACACCTTCTACATCTACTATAGTAATAATTCTAGGCGCTATATTAGTATAAGGACTGATAGCCTTACTTAGCCCTAGATATATAACAGAAACTAGAGCCTAGCAGCTCTAGCCACATCTATAGCGACTGGGTCCTCTTTAGTTGCCTTGATCTCTAATGCTGCATTTTTATACCGGCTAGTTATTCATCATGTCATAACCTAGCAACCTTCTTCTCCATCGTCTGGCTCAACCAAACCTTAAACGTTTCAACCAACCCATCAATTTCCTCCGCCGTATTCCCAGCATGAAGGCAAACCCTCACCCGCTCTCTACCCGCAGGAACAGTAGGCGCCATAATCGCGCGCACCACAAACCCCTTTTGCTGACACGCCGCGGCCAACTGGCGCGGGAAGCGGCTACGCGCGGAGAAGATGGGCGAAGTCGGGAAGTGATCCACCTGGAAGGCGGCGGGGTCCCAGGCGTCCAATTCCGCGAGCCGGTCCCGGAAGTACGCGACCAGCTGCTGCAGTTTGGTCTGATGCTGCTCCGTCTCTCCCGCTGCCAGGAGCTCATACGCAGCGCGGATGGACGCAAGGAAGGGGAATCCCATGGCGGTGGTGTAGATCAGGCTTCGCGCGTAGTTGATCAGGTAGTCTCTTGTGTCGGGGCAACAGAGCACAATTGCTATCCAATTAGTTTCAATCATGTAGATCGGAATTGACTCAGGGCTTACCACCGTGACTTGCAAGCGCTTTGCCGAACGTATGCACCCGGATGAACATGCGCTTCTCGACGCCTAGGCCCTGGACAACGCCCGCACCGCGGGGCCCAAACACACCGGTGGCGTGCGCCTCGTCGACAATAAAGTAGCCATTGCCTCGGGGGAGAAGCCGATCAACCACCCGGATAAAGTCCTGGATCGGCGCAATGTCGCCGTCCATGCTGTAGATGGACTCGATGGCGACGAAGACGTTGCGCGAGCCCGTCTGGATCAGAGGGTCGGCGGCAATATGTGACTGGAGGACTTCATCCAGGCTGTCGGGGGAGCTGTGTGAGAACGGCACCCGCTTGCCGGCTCTCGATAACCGCATGCCCTCGCGCGCGCTTGCATGGATGAGTTCATCGTACACGATCAGGTCTCCTGGCTGGGGAACGCAGGAGAAGACACCGACGTTGGCGTCGAAGCCGGAGTTGAATAAAAGTCCGCTGGGAGCGCTATGGAACTGTGCGATGAAATTTTCGAGTTCCTCTGCGTAGGTTGAGTTGCCGTCCAATAGACGCGACCCTCCGCTGGCGAATGGGTACAGTGGGGGAGCTTGGTGAAGGAGTTCTAGAAAGCGTTCTCGAAAGACTGGAGATGTCGACAGCGATAGAAAATCATTCGAGGAGAAATCTACTGAGGATTGAGGTAGCACAGTCAACCGTCGACGAGAGGACTTGGCTTCTCTGCGAAGGAGTGCTTGACGCAGTGACTCCCGGAGGGACTTGGGAGGGGAGCTATCCATTAGAACAGACTATGGTAGACTTGTCACAAACAGATTATCCAAAAACGTAGACACACAGTGACACAAGGGACAGCTGATCTGGGGTAAATAGATAGACTAAGGAAATAAAGACAGACCGTCCAAATCCAACAAACCGGAGTGGAGCCCGGAATTGGTGATTAACAGCATCTGTGGACCGGGTAGGTACTTTCAGGAATCATGCCTTGTGACAGTGTGACACTGACACATTTTGATAGTGAATAATAATAATGTAATAGTAATAGTAATAGTACAAATAAAATTATATTAGAATTGTGGTCATTGCTTCACGAAAGCTAGCACTACTGCCAGGGACCGGGACCAACTGTTGGTCCCCAACAGCAGGAAATGTTTGGTATTGGTGGGACATTCCTTGGTGCCTTGCTGCCTTGGTGCCTAGTGGGCTGGCAGGTATCCGGATTAGCCGTAGCGCCTGATGGATGCCTCGGCCAACCCACCCAGTAAGAAGTTATAATAACAGCCGAGTATTATTATGGGTCCTTGGAAAGATGATTCACCGAGATCACGAAGTAGATCGCCCTGCTTATAGTCGGCTATGCGGCTATCGTCGATATCACTCACATCTCTACCTTGATAGTGAGGTATCGCTGTACAGGTCACAGCACAGGCTGATTATCTGATGCCTCCGGTTCGAGCGGCCTTGTGGCGCACACTGCGTGCCCACCAAGTCTACGGTGCCAACACAGACGTAGGCAAAACCATTGTGTCTACTATTCTATGTAATGCGGTACAACGTCGCAAGGCCGAAAAGGCGGCATTCCTGAAGCCAGTATCTACAGGACCATTGGATGAGGCAGATGACAGTCACATCCAACGCCATGCGGCCGGTACATTGACCAAATGTCTGTATCAATTCGATGAGCCGGTGAGCCCGCATATTGCTGCTCAGCAGAAGAACTTCGTGGTATGTTTGTGAACCAATTGCTGCTCCGAACAAGCTGATAAAATAGATCCCTCGGGACGATGATATCCTCGGTTCCGTGCACAAGACACTCTCCGAATGGGCTCGCACTGGAGTCAGTTTCGCTCTCGTAGAGACTGCCGGTGGAGTCCATTCGCCTGGGCCGAACGGTAACTCGCAGGCAGATCTTTACCGGCCCCTTCGTTTGCCGGTGGTTCTTGTCGCAGATTCGCGACTTGGGGGCATCTCGTCTTCCATCTCGGCCTACGAATCACTACTGCTTCGCGGCTACGATGTCAATTCGGTGCTCCTGTTCCGCGACGATTACTACAAGAACCATGAGTACCTGGGCGACTACTTCCGCAACAAGAGCATTCCCCTTGTACCATTGCCACAGCCTCCCAAACGCCCGCAGTCGCAGGATGCAGCGTCCCTGGCGCAGGACGAGGAGGCCATGGCAGGCTACTATCAGCAAGTCGCGCAGGAATCAGACGTCCAAGGTCTGTTGGGTGAGCTGGCGGCGAGAAATGCCGAGAGAATCGATCGTCTAGAGTCAATGGCTAGTCGGGCCCATGATACGATATGGTACCCCTTTACGCAGCACCATGGCATGACTGCCAAGGATATCACTGTGATCGACTCTGCACATGACGATTACTTCCAAACTTTTGAGTCGAGCGGCAATGCAGACCAGGGTAATTTGCAACCAACGTTTGACGGCTCAGCGTCGTGGTGGACTCAAGGTCTTGGTCACGGCAACCCGGAGCTTGCCTTGTCGGCTGCATACGCAGCTGGACGATATGGACATGTCATGTTTGCTGGAAACGTTCACGAGCCCGCGCTATCGCTCGCAGAGCTCCTGAAAGACACTCTCGGAAACCCTCGGCTCCAGAAGGTCTTCTACACCGATAATGGAAGCACGGGGATGGAAGTGGCTGTGAAGATGGGTCTACGTGCGGCATGCCATCGCTACGGTTGGGATGCCAGCAAGGAACAGATCAGTATTCTTGGCCTCAAGGGAAGCTACCATGGCGACACGATCGGGGTCATGGACTGCTCGGAGCCGTCGACGTATAACCAGAAGGTCGAGTGGTACCGCGGTCGCGGCTACTGGTTCGATTTTCCCTTGGTGAAAATGTCCCAAGGGACTTGGAAGGTTGAGATCCCTAAAGAGCTGCGAGACTCCTTGGGCGGGGATCTTGAGTTTTCCTCGTTGAGCTCGGTATTTGATCTGGAGACGCGTGTCAAATCAGAAGCGGGACAACGCTACAGAGATTTCATACGCACTACGATCGAAGATCTGGTCCGCAAACAAGGAATGAAGTTTGGTTCTCTCATCATGGAGCCTATCATTCTCGGAGCCGGCGGAATGCTCTTCTGTGATCCGCTATTCCAGCGATGCCTCGTGGACGTGGTCCGCGGTCATCCAGAGCTCTTCACGGACAACCCTACAGCTACAAACAGCCTAGGATCGGAGACATCCTGGTCAGGTCTCCCAATCATCTTCGATGAGGTCTTTACCGGACTCTACCGTCTCGGACGCAAATCAGCCGCCTCCTTCCTGAATGTCCACCCTGACGTCGCCGTGAACGCGAAACTCCTGACAGGCGGACTTCTCCCTCTTTGCACCACGCTTGCGAGCGAGGAGATTTTCCAAGCATTCTCCAGTCCCGAAAAGAGCGACGCCCTATTGCACGGACACAGTTATACTGCGCACGCCGTCGGCTGCACGGTCGCCGTGGATTCCCTGCGAACCATGACGAAGATGGAAAGCAGTGGGTCATGGAATGCGTACCGCGGGGACTGGAAAGCAGTCGATGTGTCTGGGGAAGATAATTCCCCGGAGGTCTGGTCGGTGTGGTCCCGCGATCTGCTGCGGGATCTGTCATACGCGGACTCGGTCGAGAGCGTTTTCGCTCTTGGCACTGTGCTCAGTATCTCACTGAGAGACGCCCAAGGCGGAGGTAAGTCTAGTCGTCTCAGCATGAAGATGATTTCGACCGATTCTAGCCGGCTAACATGTGACGTCGTCTCCACTACTCTAGGCTATACCTCCACCGCAGCTAAGGGCCTGCAGCAGAGATTATCTGCGGGCGGGCCACAATTTAACGTCCATTCCAGAGTGCTGGGAAATGTGCTCTATCTCATGTCGAGCGTCACATCGAAACCCGAGACTGTGCGAGGTTTGGAGGGGCTGCTCCGGTCGGCATTGCTATAATGCATCCGCAAATACATTAAGTGACGAATGACGAGATACAAATCCAACTCCGTAGATGTAGATAAGAGTCGATCCGCGGGAAACAAAAGGGTCCGAATTCGCAGACCATGGATTCTAGAATCAAAACCAGCTAATTTCGAACCAGGAATATGAGATGGAAACCTGCAGATCCTCTTGCTCTTGACGATCCCTTCACCGAATGGCCCGACAGAGAGGAATTCTCAATTACCAATCAATTCTCAGTATGGGACATGCTAAGGTATTATCAAATTGATTTGCATCAGTCAAAAGATAACTGCCAGTTCCGGTTGCCCGGGCAGATGTCCAATTGGTCCATCCAGAAATCCATTCAGGGACAGCGGAGCCTTTTTCTCGTCAGAATCAGGAACGAGCTACGAATAGTTACCGAGAGGGGTAGGAGACTCAACGCTGGAGGATCTACATCATCAAACATTGTGTATTTCAATTACGATAATAGCGAACAGAAATACAAGAGCATAGATGAATGTAGTATTGAACTGCACTGTGGATCACAATACTTACATGGTCAGTTCTGTATTCTGTATCCCCGCTCTGTATTCAACCATTGATGGATGCGGTTGGGGTCAACAAGAACTGTACAATTCCGGAGAATAGTGACTCATCTATTTCATAATCCAATTTCATACAATTAGTTAACTATTAGTTACTTTGCAATACTATTAATCAATTGACTTTCTGGATTCTCTGCAAGTGCTGATTCCAATTAGCGGCAACCTTATTGGACCTTTTTCTCTGTCTCCAACCCCTCCCCACACTCTTCTTCTTCCCTTCTCCTTCTGATCGTGTCATACCGGTGAAGAACTACGGAGTAAGGTAGACGGATCCTCCCTCCCAACTACGTGTACTGCCCCTCCTCTCCTTGTCCACACTCCCGAGGTTCAGTCCAGATGCTAGTCTGATCAATTAGCCTCTGTATTGACCATTATTATCGCTCTCCCTGGTGTCATTCATATCCCTTCTTCTTCACCACCACCACACCGCATACCACCCACACCATGTCGCTATCTCTATCACGGTCCCTGCACAGGGCCCTTCTGAGGAGATCCTATGGCACAGTCCAAGCTCCTCCCAGTGCTGCCTCACTTACAGCCAACCGCATTCCTCCCGCCCTCCAAGAAGCAACCGCCGCCACGGCCCCGCGCACCAACTGGTCTCGGGAAGAGGTCCAACAGATCTATGAGACTCCTCTGAGCCAATTGACTTATGCTGCGGTAGGTCGATCACACCTCATTATTCTCGATGCATACTGACTTCTGACAGGCCGCCGTCCACCGTCGCTTCCATGACCCCGCCGCCATTCAGATGTGTACGCTGATGAACATCAAGACCGGCGGCTGCAGCGAAGACTGCTCGTACTGCGCACAGTCCTCCCGGTACAGCACCGGCCTCAAAGCCACCAAGATGAGCCCCGTCGACGAAGTGCTCAAGGCCGCCCGCATCGCCAAGGACAACGGCAGCACCCGGTTCTGCATGGGCGCCGCCTGGCGCGACATGCGCGGCCGCAAGACAAGCCTCAAAAACGTCAAGGAGATGGTCTCGGGCGTGCGCGCCATGGGCATGGAGGTCTGCGTGACCCTGGGCATGATCGACGAGAACCAGGCCAAGGAGCTCAAGGACGCCGGCCTGACCGCCTACAACCACAACCTGGACACCTCGCGCGAGTTCTACCCCTCGATCATCACCACCCGCTCCTACGACGAGCGCCTGCAGACCCTCTCGCACGTCCGCGACGCCGGCATCAACGTCTGCTCCGGCGGCATCCTGGGCCTCGGCGAGGCCGACTCCGACCGCATCGGCCTCATCCACACCGTCGCCAACCTCCCGTCTCACCCCGAATCGTTCCCCGTCAACGCCCTCGTTCCCATCAAGGGCACCCCGCTCGGCGACCGCAAGATGATCCCCTTTGACAAGCTGCTGCGCACCATTGCCACCGCTCGTATCGTCCTGCCAGCCACCATCGTCCGTCTCGCCGCCGGCCGCATCTCGCTGTCGGAGGAACAGCAGGTCGCCTGCTTCATGGCCGGTGCCAATGCCGTCTTCACCGGTGAGAAGATGTTGACGACGGATTGCAACGGCTGGGACGAGGACCGCGAGATGTTTGAGCGCTGGGGATTCTATCCCATGCGGAGCTTTGAGAAGGAAGGCTCCACGCAACCTGCCGTCGAGGCGCCCCCTGCCCCTGCTCCTGCTGCCCACGATAGTGTATCTGCTGCGCCGGCCGCAGCTAGCTCCTAGTCCTAGTATCATGAATGGTCAATGACATCAAGCCTGTATGTCTTTTTCGTACTGCACCCAAAGTAGTTCATTCGCCGTACATGATGATTCTGGTCTGCGGTTTGCTCTAGAACAACTGGCAGTAAAAACATGTTCATGCTATGGCACCTTTCCAGTCCAGAAGTTGAAGAAAAGGACACAAGGATAAGGCATTACAAGCATCTACTACATTCACAGATCCATGTGGATGGCCATCGTCATGTCTAGCTGCATTCACTAGGACCTAAATGTAAGACACTACTCCAGATATACTACATTCAGAGCCTCATGTGGATGAAACAGTGAATAGATGCCCAGATGATTCACTTTGTAGTGATGGAATAGAAAAGCCAACTTGAGCGGATGTCTTCCAGCTCTCCTGGCTCTCCTGCTTGCTTCTTCCTCCAACTCTCTTGTTGTTGATACATCAGGATATCGATTACTGTACCAACTACTACTGACAGACTCGACTTTGATATACATATTGAACACCGGGATTATGAGTGGCATGTCAAGCTATTGATATCTCAGGCATGTGAGTATATATCTTCTTCTTCTGCTCCGGCTCCCTTTTCTTGAGCTTTCACTGTCTAACTATGTCATTCAAGCTTGGAATTTCGTACAGAAGTTGATCCTTCTATTTCGAAAACATCAAACTTGAAATCAACATGGCGCAGCCACTGGCAGGTTACTGGACGCTTCCTGTTATTGCGTCTTGCCTCTGAGGTAGACCCTGCAAATCATCCTTATCAGGAACGGATCGACCACTTATAGTCGAATATCATCACCATGGCCAACACAATTACTTGCAAGAAGTACTGGTGTATAGGATGTTTGCGGACCACGAGTAAGAATTTCAACACCCAAGGTGGTCAGCCTTTCAAAATCAATTGCAAGATGGACAGTAGCACTTCTATGAAGTGCCTTCAGTGTATCGGTCGCCGTTCCCACTGTGAACCCGTACGTTTTGTTAGCCTTGCTGAACGTTGTTCCGCACTAATGTTGTTTTGTTTAGGTCGCGCCCAGTATTGCGGATAACGCCCTCGACCTCAATGATCATCATCGAGACATTTTATCTTCATGAAGAAGATATAGAACCAATTGTGGTCTCCATTTCTCTGCTTTAATAGACTATTACAGTTCTATTAAAGTGGACAAATGCTCTTGGTAGAACCCACTGGTTCATCCGAAGATCAAGTGCACGGAACGCACTTTGTTGGCTCGACCAGAGCATCTCTGGCTGTTCGGCCACAAAGACTTGATTCAAGTTGTCGACGATCCAGCCTGTCTTCTGAAAGATGAGATTGTCCCGTTCCTGGTGGTCTTGATCCAGTGGGCTTCCTGTGAACTACTTTTCCGATGCGAAGAGGATCCATTGTATATTCACGGATTATACGATGGTCTACCTTTTTTCAGCCGTCATATTCCACTCAGCCTTTTGCCGGACCGAATTAGCTCAGAGGTAGACCTACATTGCAATGCAGACATCTACCGATCGATCGTCCTCAGGCTTTGTCGGAGTGTCCTGTGTTGAAAGCAAAAGCCAAAAACAAACAACTTCAGGAGATTGACATGCTCCCAACCATTAACTGCTGCCTATGGACAATGGCGCGCGAAGCTCATCGTGCAGGCAGCCGACAGACCCAATTGGCCGAGAGCCTTCCAGTGCAGCTGAACCGAAGACGGGGAGTTCCATCTTCGCGCCTCTAGCCGGAAGTGATCCGGTTCTGTGGCTTGTACAGGCCCTTTTCTGGTCGAACACTGACTTCTTGCCTTCCCGGTAGGGGGAATCATAATCGGATGTACATCCCATGGAGTGCACGGACAAAATTCCCCAGGGAGACATCAGGAAAATTGCAAATGGTCCATAATTTTATGCCCATCAATGCTACAACGATTAAAATGAATCACCCTTGCGGAGGATTGAGCCAGTTATAGCCAACCTATCAAAGCATAAGTAGAAGGTCTTTTTCAAAGTCGACGCCGCGAACGGCTACTGGGCCGTTCCCCTGGCAGTTGAGCATTCCTTCAAGATGGGGTTCAACACGATTCTGGGACAGTGTTGCTACCTACGCATGGGGCAAGGTCTGACAAGGGCACCTGAAACATACTCAAAAAGGATCTGGCTATGGGGCCCATCCCTGGGCTGCACCCTGAGCCTGCCCCTCGCTGCATTACCAGACGTCGGTTTTCTGTATTTCATGGATGATGCAGATGCAGCTCGGGGCATTGGTGACATGATCCGATCTCTTTCTCCATCATCACTACTTCCCAAGACTTGCTTGGGCAGGTCTGACCCTGAATCCGGCGAAGAGCACATCTTTGACTTGGTGGAAAAGTTTCTGATGCCACGCACTCATGTGGCGGCTGCACTTCTTGGTCAGCTCCGGTGGGAGTGATGAACGAACTCAACCTACTATTCAACGGACCTATCGAAGATGCTCTAGATTTCATCAAAATGGCCGCTCAAGACTTAGTCAACAGTACGAATGAGACTATGAAACGCTTTGAGGCTGCGCAAAAGTCACGCCCAATCATGATGGCATCGTGGTACCGCCACTTCCTACCATCTGCCAACATGGTTCTGGGGCAACTTTGCTTCTAGTGAAATGTGGAGCTGAGTACTGCTGTTTTACTCCGACCAACTCTCCTCCCAGTGCCAGTCATAATGGAGCTTCACAAGGGGCTTTGAGCTCCAGGTTCGCGGTACCTGAGGCGGTTCAGAAGATCCGCTCCGCTCACAAAGGGAGCCTGTTCCTTTAGGTCTTCGAGGCCTATCGCGGCAAGTGGTCACATTCCACCAAGAATCCACTCATCCTTCAGGGAACCAGTCCATTCAGGGGCTATTCTATTCGATGCTTTTAGCTGGAGACCGAGGTAGAGGCCGAGGTACAAGAAGAGATCAAGATTCTCATAAGCGAAGATAGGAGCAAGGCGTGGGAATGGATCACTAATAGGAGAACGGCCATCTATGTATCCATTTAGACCAGCTACAAGTTTTAAGATACAGACGATTATATTTGCGGATCGAGCAAGCTGCTATTGATATATTTCTGAAGAAGGGCCGTTGCGTATTCATGATCACCCTCAGGCATAACTGTACAGGGAAATATCTGACTTATTATAATAAGAACATGGGAAGGAACTGGGTCACAAAATAAATAGACAAACACCGAGACTCCCCGCAGAATGATGAAATCAGGATGACCACGCTGCTCGACAGTTCGGGCAGGACAGGCCGATAGGATCCCCACGCGGGGTTCGAAATGTACGCTGAGTTGCAAGCCACACGTCGATGCAGGCTTTGTGGTAGTTCGTACCGCACTGATTTTTGCAATATACAAGGTCGTCAAGATTGTCTTCTGCGTTTTCATCGTGTTCATTGTCGGACGCTGTGTCGGGCACAACATTATCATTTTCGTCGTCGCTGTCTTCTGATCGCTCGCCGTCTTTATCACTGTCTTGTCCTCGTAGAGGACACAGGCAGATATCACAGTCTCCTTCAATTGGTTTGCGAGTGGTTCTTCTGGGCTCACTCTGAGGGATGGTTGGCTCCGCTACATGAGACTCAACGGCTGGCGACGAAGCCTCAGTAGATGTCCGGCTAGGAGAAAGTTCTGGTTCGGGTTCGGGTTCAGGCACGTCCTCCCTATCTTCTCTTTCTTCCTCCTCTTCCTCTCTGTCAATAGCGGCCGGTTCTTCCTCCGTTACAATAGCAGCCGACCTCTCCAACCGTGTCGGACTCAAAGCCCTTTCTGACAAACGCTGACCCGCCGACCCAGCAGCAAGCGAACGCGCCCGACTGTCCACAAGCTCTTGGAGCGATTTCAACATAGCAGTCAGAAGAGTCTGCTGCTGGAACGCCCGCAGCTTAGCCCGCCAGTCGCGGACCAAGTCGTCTGCCTGGTATTGGTGGAAGCGTGTGCAGAGAACTAGCGGGGCCAGCTCGATGAGCAGACCGTCGACGGGTAGGCCGTGCTGGAGGAATCTGGTGCCCTCTTTGAGGATGTACGAAGCCCTGTCTCGGTTGTCTTTTCTTGTTCGCATTCTGCAGCGGCGCCGTTGCGATGGGGCGTACCCGTAGCAGGTGGTCTCGCATTCGGGGTAGACTTCGAGAATGGTAGATAGATCGGGGTAGGACATTGTGCTTGCTAATGTGATAATTACGAGGCTCTGGGGTGAGATGCCAATTCTGAGAAATGTGCTGTTGACTTGAAGACAAGAACGACCGCAGACATCTCAGCCCTTATATGCCATTTCTCCTATACACCTTCAGCAACCAACAGACTCTATCCATCTTCACGATCATGACGACACAGCCACTGGCTACAACTGCACCGACTGTGCCACAGCACGGTATGCGTCTGAAAATATCCAAAGCCAAGGATGATTAACCTCTTGGGGAAAGGCATCAAGGCATCCAAGTTTGAAACCCTGCTCGGTGACATGAAACAGCCAATTGTTCTGGCCAAAGTGAAGCCACATCGCTCATCAGGCCTTGCCAGTTCACTGATAATTTAGGCATCGACATTCTTGAGCGCCTGGGTAGGTAGCCTTGTGCCAACATTCCAAGGAGGATAGTGGCTTGTATGGTTACATCTGGAAGCCGCCCATTCCATAACAGAACAAGTGCGACACTCTTGCCAGGGCTAGAAGTGGGCTATCTGCAAGTTACGACTCGCGTGACAGTAGTAATGTGGTGTTGGTTACTGACATACCCCATAGTTCGGCGCTTAGCAGGGATCTGATGGCCCCTACCCCAGTCTAGCTCGGTTGCGGATTGCTGTGCCGCTTGGGCTGGGCTTGGGCTTGGGCTTCTGAATGCTTGAAATAGATACAGTACCTTGTTCTCTGAGGCGGTGCATGCTTCCAAGGTCAAGGCCGTAATGGGAAACCGCGTGGGTTCCAATCCCTCTCTTGTCGGGGTGTGTGAGCCATACTGGACGGTTGACCAACTGAGAGGCTGGATCAACTGCGCTGGTTATGATATGATATGCTCAATAACCATGATGACAATAAATGTACGCTGTCACTTTGATTTTTCGATTCGCTCTATCTTTCTAGGGACGTGTTGGGTAAGCAGCTTGGTATGGCAACACAGGCCCCCGCAGGATGGCATATCAGTTGGAACAGGCTAACAGTCGTTTGTGTCATGTGGGATAACACATACTGTCATTGGCCAATGGCGTAATTGATGCTATCCTGCTCCGTCTAGATCCTAGATCGCGCCTTGGAACGAAGTGAGACTACATAAAGGGGCGGGAAAAAGAAAAAGAAAAAGATAATGACAAGAGTGGGATTCGAACCCACGCGGTTTCCCATTACGGCCTAAACGTAACTGGGTGATCATTAGCTGAGATGTCGAAAGACAAACAGGACACATGGAAACACTCACCGCCTTAACCACTCGGCCATCTTGCCTGTTATTGGGAGTTATCCATGGTAATATATAACTTACTCGATTCTATAGGCTCTGTTCCGTCTCAAATGCTGAGGACCGCTGTGCTTGTAGTGGAAAGATTTCTAGGAGAATATTTTTGTATAAATATATGCTGATAATGGAGCTATATAGGTAGTACTATTTAATCTATTAGTATTTGGTTGTTGTTGACCTGTCTGTTGTTGCGGAAGGGCTGCGGTGGAGGGTTCTGGATATATATCCAGGTGATGAAGGCCCATGGTGTACCCCATGGACGAGAGTGAATATCAAGGAACCCGTGTGGATGTGCTAAATCACTGGTATGGTTAGAAGTCGGCTGTTGAGGGCACCTTCCCTTCCCTTTTGTGATGTTATGTCAAGGCTGGCTGGCCTCAGGTGTGTTGGCTGCCCCAGGCTCCATTGCAGACTCAGGCTCAACAGCAGTAAGCTTGTTTGTCTCCGCGAGAAAATGCCTCACTGCGGTTTGGAAGGTTCGTGGGGAGTGTAACCAGGCCTCAGGATATTGTAGCTGGACCGGTTCTGAAGTTGGCCCTAGTCCGTCCTCCGTTGGCTTGAGGTACTTTCTGCGGCAGAGGGTCGGGGTACTTGCCCTTTGCAAGTAGTAGCAAGCACATATGCCATGCGCCCATATTGGCAGGCTGTAGCCCCAGTGTTCTATGGTCATAAAGTCAATTACTCGTGAATCTGCGAAGGGCGAAAAACCGAAGGGGAAAAAAAAAGGATTAAACCACTACTTCTATTCATGACTATGCACATTCTGCTCAATGGAAACCAGTGGCCACCAATTAAATGCATGCAAATACACGCAGTAGCTTCCCTGCCTTCCAACTGCTGCTATCCAGGCCTATTGCCAAATCTAAACCATCGACTTTTCCACGTTTAGGTCACCCGTTGCTTGAGTCTCGGACCTGCTCATGGTGGTATATCGACTAAAGTCCCGAAGTATCCTATCTCTGCCAGTTTCCTTTTGACTGGTCCGTCTGAAATAAATGCGCTTGCACCACTTCCAAGCCTCGCAGCCAGCGAAGAAAAGAATCGCTTCGACAAACACCACACCCCACTCCCATGAGATACCGACATGCTTGAAAACAACGTCATTGATCACAGGGATGTACAGGATGGGGAAGGTCGTGATGAATCCGATCATGATGCCGCTGAACAGAAACTTGTTGCGCCAGACGTCAAACATCCACTGGGTGAAATAGCGCTTGGAACCGGGCTGCATGCGGAAGAAGCTGCGGCGCATATCAATCATCTCCCAGGCGAGGAAGAGAGCGAACCATGTCATGCACACGAAGGTCGTGGCTCGGGCGCGGAACACACCGTCGCATTCGGGGCTGTGGTCGCTGTTGCAGCCCGAGGCCAGGTTGCCATCTCCCCAGCCGAAGAGGACGAGCGAGAAAGAGGCGAGACAGAGAGCCGCCATCCAGACGCCGTAGACGATGGTGTCGACTATGACTTCCCAGGTGAAAATACCTTGTTTCTGTTGTCGTCAGTATATGACCCCCAAAAGAGTGACTGATGTACTTACGCTTTGAGGAGGACGGTCCATGATATCCGGAGCGGCGATTTCCATACCCAGTCCCATATCCGGGAGACCGGAGGTGATCATGATGATCCATAGAATTTCGACAGGAGCAATAGGGAACACAGATTGCCCGTTGTCATCTTTGAAACATAGACCGATCAGAAGCGTGAGGGCGAGACCGACGTTTTCCGCCAAAAGATGCAAGACGAATTTCTGAATATTGTCAAAAATACGACGACCCTCCTCAATTCCATTGATAATCGAAGCAAAGTTATCATCAGTCAACACCAGTTCCGACGCGTCTTTGGCCACATCAGACCCCGATTGTCCCATAGCAATTCCAACATCTGCCCGCTTCAAAGATGGCGAGTCATTGACTCCATCACCGGTCATTGCCGCAAACCGACCCCGACGATGAAGGGCATCAATCATCCGAACCTTTGTGTTGGGAGCGCACCGAGCAATCACAGCAGGAAGAGTAGGCAACGCATCGATTTCCTCGTCTGTCAACTTATCAAACTGACTGGCAGTCATCACCATGGCGTCCGCAACATCTTTGGCAAGACTGTCCATGTTGGCTGGAATGATGCCAACCTGCGCTGCAATGGCTTGCGCAGTACCGGGGTGGTCGCCCGTGACCATGTGAACCGAAATCCCAGCGCGATAGCACTCGTCAATAGCGCCGGCAGTCTCAGGCCGGGGAGGGTCATACAGACCGATGAGTCCACAGAAAGTGAGATCTTTCTCCACTTCCTCACGAGCAGGGACATCTTCCCCTTTGACGGGGTTGTGATTCTCCCGGCAGGCGAGGCAGAGAACCCGCAAGCCCTCCTTTGCGAGAGCTTCCATGTTCTGCAAGATTTCCTCCTTGATGTTCTCGTCCAAGGCGATCGGGTCGGAACCAGGTGTCCAGGTGACGGTGGTGCAAGCCTCGATGACACGTTCCACCGCGCCCTTGGTGAAGATCATCTCCCGATCATCGTTGTTGTTCTTAAAGATGACAGACATCTTCTTCACGGTGGAATCAAACGGATATTCAGCTTTTTGGCGCCAAACAGGCTTCTCGCCTTTGGTCCAGCGATCGCGTCCCCAGTTAAAGCGAGAGGCAAACACCTGAATCGCAATATCAGTCGGTTCACCACGAGCCTGCCATTCATTGTGCTCGGACTTGTGCACATGGGCAAGGTTTGCCATTGCGGCCACGTTCAGATATTGCTCCAAAAGAGGACTGTCCTTGAGCAGATCCTCCGGCCTGGAAGGCTCTCCATGAGCGTCAGGACCAACTTTGACCGGCGGGTCAGGCAGCAGGCTAAGGTCGCCCTCTTCCGGGTTCAAGGGGTTATTGGAAGACCCCACCGAGTAGGTGCCAACAGAGGGAATCCAAGCCCGCTTGGCGACCATGCGCCCCTGGGTGAGGGTTCCCGTTTTGTCTGAGCAAATGTTAGTCACAGCGCCCAGGGCTTCAAGGGAATCAAGCTTCCGGACAATGACATGTCTTTCAACCATTTGCTTGGTTCCAACCGCCATGGTGATGGTCAGGACCACCACCAGGCAGGCCGGGATCATTGCAAGACCCGTTGCGACTGCGTAGATGATAACCTCCTTGTCATTGCGGAACCCATTGACGCCCATGACAATGATGGCGAAGATGACGGCAATGACGAAAAGGGCCAAAGCCAGTTTAGAGAGTTTGCGCTGCAGCGGTGTGCCAACGTTGATTCCCAGGAATCGTCCCACGGCGTCTGTGCAAGTCAGGGTCCACGCCTGCACGTACCATCGCTTCTTGGTTTCTCCCTCGGGACCGCGCTTGACGGGCCGCTTCCTGGAGTCGCTGGCGCGGAGAGCAGCGGCGATGGCTCCAATCTCGGTTTGCATCCCGGTGCCGATAACAACGCCCCGAGCGCGGCCTCTCGTCACCGTCGAGGAACTATACGCGATGTTCAAGCGATCGCCAGGTCCCGTGTCTGGGTCAAAAGTTGTATCGACCTCTTTCTGCACTGGCAGCGACTCGCCAGTCAGGAGGGCCTCGTCGGTTTCGAAATTCATAGCATCGACGAGCCTATCGACGGTTAGTGAACGGAACGATATTATCTGGTAACTCATACGCACCGAAGATCCGCAGGAACCGTGTCTCCAACTTTGAGTTCAACCATGTCCCCAGGGACAATCTCGTTG